GGAAATAGGAGATTATATAGCTTTTGGAATAATTCATCAATTTTTTAAAATTAAACACTATCTACAGATTTGCATTGAAGCGTTTTTTATGAAAGTGATTTTAATCACTGTCAGATATCATTATACTTGACTCAACTATGCCACGTCCCCACTGTGCCGCGACCCCATTGTACTATGTTTTTTTTATAAGTTAAGTTGAGATAAAAAAAAATTGTATCAAAAAATTTATTTGTTAAGTTACTTCTGATAAAATTTTTTTTTTATATATTATTATTATGTATTAATAGTTATACTTATTATTGCTATTCTTCTGTAAATTTGGTTAACTAATAATTCAATTTTTCAAAAATATTTTGTAGTTAATTAGACTGGATAAGAGTATAATTGAAGGACTTCAGGATATTGTTTTATTGTTAGAAGATCAATTGAAACCTTTAGTTCAAGCTGAACTTTCATTATTAGTAGATATATTATATCGGCCAGAATTATTGTTCCCTGTAGGTACAGAAGCAAGGATCCGATGTGAAAGTGGTGGATTTATTCATAGGTAATTTATTTTAATTTTTAGTAGAATATGTGATATTTTTAAATGATAAGATAATGAAGCTCAACATTTTTTTTTTTTTAATTTTATTTTTGAATTCTTACTGCATGATATGACTAATAAATTTAAATCTTTTAAACATTTAATTGAGTTAAATGTTATATGTAATTCAATTTTTAAAAAGTTAAAACATCATTTTCATGTGTTCAAACTTCTGTGGATTGTCTTTTATAGTTATTGTAGTTATGAGCTGATAACTGAAAACGTGGATACATCCCTAAATAAGCAATACTTGTAACTTCTAAAAACATTCACTTCAATCAAATTGAAAAAAAAACACTATAACTATAAGTTTTGAATTACAATAATATTAAATCAAAAAATTAAAAAAAAAGTTAAANTAAATCAAAAAATTAAAAAAAAAGTTAATACCCAATCTATGTATTAAAATACTTGTAACTCCATGGGTACTTGTCCTAAAATTGTTATTGACCAATCAACTTTTTTTGTAATAAAAGATGGATTAAAAGCTAAAAAATAGCTATTTTGAAATTTTGTAAAAAATATAAAAATGTTAATTTTTTTTTTTTATTAGTTATAAATAATAAAAAAATTATGCATTAAACGTAATCTAAGAAGATAATAATTATTTTTTATAAATGTTAATAAAATGTTTATTGAACCAAAAGGTATAAGAGTTGTCAGTTCTGGTTTGTCTTGTATATTGTTATGATATTAAAAAATTCGATTTTTACCATTTTATAACATTTCAGAATATTTAATTATGTTATTAGACGTTTTAAAATATTATACAACAAATAAAATTTAAATCATAAACATATATGTAAATAATTCCTTAAATGCCTTTAATAATAACATGACAGCACAAAATAATTTTTTTAATTTTAAGCCCAAGTTATATACATTAGAATTAGTATAATATTACAAAAATATTTTATTTAATTGAAATTAAAATTTTTATTTTATTTAAAATGAAGACTTATCAAGCATTCAGAACAATTACTAGAAGAAAAAGAGGATAAATTGTGTGTCAAAGTTCTAAACACTCTACAAGAAATGATGACTATTGATCTTGAATATGGCGAAAAAGTAATATTAGTTTTAGAAAATGAATAAATATAATACATGCATCTTTTATTATAGGGAGATATTTTGAGGTTAAGTCTTTTAAAGAGATATTTTGGAAATTCTCTTGATCAAAAACAACAAATTGCAGAATCTATAATACAACCGAGTATTAAGCATGTAGTAACAATTGGTCCTGGAGGTATTTGACGTAATTTGCATGTAATTTTAAATTAAAAAAAAATATTTAATCAATTTTTAGCTAAATTTTTGGGACGTGCTGGATTAACTCTTCATGAAGTACAAAGTCATTTAGATCATGATGGAGCCTCTGATTTGGTTGTTGAGCTAATTATAAAATCAATTAATTCACCTCCTTCAATTTTTGTTGAAGCTGTACAATTAGGTATTGCTTTATTAGAAGGAGGGAATCCAATCATACAGCGAAGCATGTACAATAAACTATTAGGCGGTGATTTCTGTCAACTATTTTTTAAAGTATGAGTTATTTATTTTGGTAATGAAATGAATTTGGTTCATGAAAATACTTAGAAAGTTTAAAAAAAAGTAATGAATAATTAACTTAGTTTTTTTGATATAGGTATTTTTTAATAAAATGAAAGATGCTCAACAAGAAATAAAATCCACTGTCAGTGTTAATACTTCAGATATGGCTGTTAAAGATAATATTGATAAAGATGACCAAGGAAAAGATTTTGAAAGAGGTTTAAAAAAAAAAGGTATTACATTGTATAATTATTATTCCTTATTAATACTTAATGAATCATACAATACTTTTAAATATATTGAATAATTTGGTTGTCATACTTAGTTATTCTCATGGCTTATAATAATAAATAATTTAATTATTATAACTCTTTTATTGTTTTTAATTAGTAAAAACAAATGGGATGATGTTAACTGATGAAATGAGAGAGGAATTAAATCAAGCAGCTTTAGCTACTAGCCAAGCATATGCAGGTGCCAGAAATTTGTCGCCTGGTATGTTAAAAACACTTCCTATGTTTCAATAAAAATAACTAATGAAAACTTTTTCTTGTAGTCGGCGAAGAAGAAATAAATCATACGACAACTCATAATTCTATGTTAGATGATACTTTGATTGAAAAACTTGAGAAACAAAGAGAAAAAGAAAACCAAAATAAATTATCTCCTAAAATTCTTGTAATGCAACCAATTATGAGATTTTTACAACTCCTATGTGAAAATCATAATAGATATTTACAAGTAAAAATTAATTTTCACATAAAAATTAATAAATCAACTTAATATAAAAAAATTAATTACAGAACCTACTTCGTAACCAAAATAACAAATCTAATTACAATCTTGTTTCTGAAACATTAATGTTTTTAGATTGTATTTGTGGTTCTACAACTGGTGGACTTGGGTTACTTGGTTTATATATTAATGAGTATAATGTTGCTCTGATAAATCAAACTCTAGAAACTCTAACTGAATACTGTCAAGTAAAAAAACTTAATATTATTAAAATATTTTTATTTGTTTATACTTATAAATTGAACTTTAGGGACCCTGTCATGATAATCAAAATTGTATCGCTACTCATGAATCTAATGGATTAGATATAATAACTGCTTTAATTCTTAATGATATAAATCCACTAGGAAAAACTAGAATGGATCTAGTTTTAGAACTAAAAAATAATGCTTCCAAGTTATTATTAGCTATAATGGAAAGCAGAGGAGATAGTGAAAATGCTGAAAGAATTCTATATAATATGAATCCAAAACAACTAGTAAGAACTTAAATGATTTAAACTTTTGTAATAAACAATTAAGAATATGTGTTATTTAATTGTGATAATCTAGTATAATATTGATTAATGAGCAAGATGCATATAAATTTTTGATCAAGTACATCCTTTTTTCTGCTTCTTATATTAAAAATAATTTAAAAATCTACTTTTTTTAATATTCTTATTTTACATAGGTTGATGTTGTATGTCATGCCTTTTACCAAGAGACTTTAGAAGATGATGATGTTGATGATTCATCAACTGAAAGTGAAGATGGTGTTTCCCCAAAAGAGGTAATAAATTCATAATTTCATTAAATATTTTCTACATTTAATTGAATTAATACATTTTAGGTAGGACACAACATTTATATTTTATGCCATCAACTAGCACAACATAACAAAGAACTTGCATCTTTACTAAAACCATCCGAAGGAAATATAGATCCTAAAGTTAATGAAGCATTAATTTACTATGCTTCACATACAGCACAGATTGAAGTATTATTATTTTTTATTCTTGTGAGACATATTTAATATTTTCAAATAAAATGTTTATTTTTAGGTTGTTAGACATGACCGTACATTGGAACAAATTGTTTTTCCTATTCCTGAAATTTGTGAATATTTAACACATGACACAAAAGTAAAAGTTTTTCATACTGCTGAAAGGGATGATCAAGGATCAAAAGTATCAGATTTCTTTGAAAAAACTGAAGATATGTTTGGTGAAATGATTTGGCAAAAAAAACTAAGAGGTGTGTTAATTATAAAAATTGTAAACTTTTTTATGTAATGTTATTGAGTTGATTATAGGACGACCCTCATTATTTTGGGTTAGTAGTTTTATGTCACTGTGGAGCAACATATTGTTCAACTGTGCTGTTATTATAAATTTGATAGTTGCGTGTTTTTACCCATTTGAAGATGAAGTGCCAAGTAAGTAACAGTCTTTCAAGTATTTTATTTATACATGTATATAAGACTTACTTTATCTATATTTATATTTTAGGTATTGGGTCACATGTATCTATTTTAATATGGGTAGTATTTCTAACTTCAGCATTTGTAGTGTTTGCTCTTCCTGGGTATTCAGGCCTTCGTACTTTAGTGATTTCAACCATACTAAGATTAATTTTTTCTATTGGTCCTGAACCAACACTTTGGTTGTTAGGAACTGTCACAGTAAGTATTTTAAGTTAGTTTTTTACTTATTCCTTAGTCACATTTTAATTGGATAAATATTTTAACGAAACTATAAAAGGTGATTATGAAAAGTATCCATATAATAAGTATAATGGGAAATCAAGGAACATTTACAAAAAAAATTGATCAAATTTTAACTGATGCTGAAATATTATATCACTTGATGTACATAATATTTTGTATTCTTGGATTGTGTATGCATCCATTCTTTTACAGTGTTTTGGTACGTTTCATTTATATAATTTCTTTATTAATGTTGACTATATGTCAAATGATATTTTCAATAATTTTTAAATAATTACATTCATTCTTAGCTACTTGATGTTGTGTATCGAGAAGAAACCTTATTAAATGTTATTCGTTCAGTGACAAGAAATGGACGTTCAATAATATTAACTGCAGTTTTAGCTATGATTTTAGTTTACATGTTTTCTATAATTGGCTATATGTTCTTTAGAGACGATTTTCTTGTAAATGTAGATGATGAAATTAAAAGTAAAACAATAATCTAGTTAATTAATGCTAGTATATTTTTTTTATTTTTACAAAAAAAATCTGATTTGTAGCAGAGTCTATGTCAAACATAGTAGAAAATGCTGATGAAACATGTTCTATTGGCAATAATTGTAGTGACATAGAACCTAAAGGAGATTCTAAAATGGTGATTTTAGATGGAGAGGTAAAAGAAAGAGCTTGTGATTCTCTAGTGATGTGTATAGTTACCACCCTTAATCAGGGGCTAAGAAATGGTGGGGGAATAGGTGATATACTTCGTGCACCAAGTAGTCAGGTTAACATTTAATAATATTTATAAAAATTTAATATTTATCAATTTATATAAATTTTTTATTTTAATTTCAGGAACCTTTATTTGTTGCTAGAGTCATATATGACTTGCTTTTCTTCTTCATTGTGATAATTATTGTACTTAATTTAATATTTGGTGTTATAATTGACACATTTGCAGATCTTAGAAGTGAAAAACAAGAAAAAGAACTTATTTTAAAAAATACTTGTTTCATATGTGGTAAGATAACAAAAAATAAAATTATTATAATGTGATAATATACAAATATTTAAAATTATTTATCTGACAAATATCACATAATTATTATTTCACAGGACTTAATAGATCAGCATTTGATAATAAAACTGTTAGTTTTGAAGAACACATTAAGTGTGAACACAATATGTGGCATTATTTGTATTTTATAGTTCTTGTGAAAGTTAAAGATCCAACTGAATTTACTGGTCCAGAGAGTTATGTATATGCTATGGTTAAAGTATGTACTCATATATTTGATAAATAATAAGTTTTTTCAATTTTATTTTATTTTAGGACCACAATTTAGATTGGTTTCCTAGATTAAGAGCAATGTCTTTGGCAGCTGTAGAAAGTGAAGGGGAGCAAGTTGAGTTAAGAAGTCTTCAAGTTCAACTAGAAAATACCCAAACAATAGTGGCATTTTTATCTCAACAACTATCTGAACTTAAAGAACAGGTATATAAATATACATATTGCATTGTTTTGAAACATTATGTTTCAATTATATTTTTATCAAAATTATTATGTTTTTATTTACTATTTTTTTACTTTAAATAATTAAACATTAGATGACTGAACAACGAAAACAACGACAAAGAATAGGTTTATTAAACTCTACATCACCTTATGTACACAACATGGCTTTATAAAGTATTTATTTACCTCACTTTTTGTTTAATTATCTTTTGTAGATTAATTAAAAAAATATATGAACTATTTTTTATTAGAGTCCAATATAGCAATTGTAAAATATAACAATTGCTAGTATTACATTTTTTATTTTATTAAATTTTATTTTGAATTATTTTTAATTAATTTGAAATAATTTTACTAAGCACAAAAAGTTATTTAAAGGTTAATTATTTATTAAACTTCTAGTAAATTTTAAAAATAATTAACATAAATAATTATTTTTGTTAATCATTTTATTTTTGTTATCTATCTATTAATTTGATTGCAACTAATATTTATCTAAGTTATCTTATTTATACATTTGAGTGATTCATTAGTAATTATATTTAATGTGGTGATTGGTGCTCCAAATTATTTAACATTAATCAACTGTATTTATATTATTTTAAAATAATGTAGTAATATTTTTAAAAGTACTTAAAAATAATATGTGATAGTTTAATATATTTAGATGTTTAAAAAAGTTAAAACTTATAATATCATTGTTTGTTATTCATTTCAATTTTATTAAAACTATTTATAAATACAATGTAATTTTTTTTGTTGCCATCAATTCATTTTATTGTGATTTTTTATTAATTTTATATATTTTTTACTAATTATAATATGTTGTGGTATCATGGAAAATATGTTATACAAATTAAAATTTTATGTTAAGTAAAAGTTTCATTTTTATTTTATGTTATTGAATATTTCAATTCTGATATTTTTTTTTTACAATAATTTTTCAAAGATTAATTTAAACTATGTAGCCTATATATAATGGCTAAATAACTAAAAAAATAAAATTGAAATCTAGTTTTATCATTTTTAAACCATTTCAAGAGTAAATGATTTATAAAATATCAAAAATATTATTTACCGATATTATAGTGATTAAACATTAGTGAAAATTATATGTGATTATATAATGTGCAATTCAATTTTCTAGCAATTTATAGAGTTTTAGATACTTAATTTTGACTGTGTAGATTAATTTGAAATGCAATGCATTATTATTGTTATAAAATACCAAATTTTATAAAAATCTTATAATAAAAACTAATTTTGTTTAATTATACATTGTTTTATATTACTATTTACTTTACATTCTAATGAGTTTAATGCACAGAACTGAGATTTTATAGTTATAAACACATTGTATTTGTAATGATTTTTTGTTGTTTATTTCAAAATTACAGTCATATGTAATTTTTTTATAATATCTATTAAGTTATGCTTAAGGAGTTTAATAACCTGTGATTTATATTGAAGACATCTTTAATAATCTGATTTATTAATAATTATTATTTATACAGGTTTTGATTCAGAATGTTTTATATATCTAGATACTTTTTTTTATGTTATAGCATTATAGATTATACATTTTGTTGAATATCATTATAAAAATTGTTTGACCATTACCATTTTTTATAAATTAAAAATTTAATAGTTTTACTATGTTATTTATTTATGTTGAATTTGTAAGTTGTCAATAATTGGGAATATTTTTAACAGGTGTATTATATTAGAATAAAATAATTCTACCTTTTTAATAATATAGTATTGTTTTATTAGTTCCGTTGTATGTAACAATCTTCATCAAGTTAACTTGACTTCACTCAACATAAATGTAAAGAGAGAAAAAAGTAATACTTTAAAAATTGTTTTCAAAGTAACTAATAATTATTTGTCTGAGCCTCAAAATCTATAGTGATAGCGCTGGTTTTTATATCTTAAATGTCTTACATACTAATACTATCAATCTAAATAGAATTTAGATTAAATCATAAATTATGACCTTTACTAAAAGTACAATATTAGAATGAGGCCAAACATTTTTTATTAATAAAAAAAAATGGCTCAAATTTCTTTATATTAAGTCATAAAATATTTACTTATGGTCCTTTTATATTAATGTGTTTAAAATGAAACATATTTTTATTATTAATTTAGAGCTTACAGAATTAGAACCATAATGAATCAGTATTTTAGCTTATTTAATTTCAAATGCAATATTTTTTTAATGGTATAAATGGTTAAAAAAACCTCCTCCTTTGGCGGAGGCCGCTATGGCCCTTAATTGAGCCAATAAAGCACTAAAAAAAATATATATTTTTTGAAATAGCAACATAAGTTTTAATTAGCATATAAAATAGGAAATTATTGAATTAGGAAAACGACTGGTCGATATTAACTTTTGGATAAGTATTTGGAAAGTTATTAACATCTAAACGAGAGGAATGTTGCCACCTAGAAATAATTAGTCAAAACTTGTTATCAACGTATCATTTTCTTAATTAAATCATTTTTTATTTTATATAAAAAAATTAAGTTCACACACTTTTAAGGTATAATATATGAATAAAAAAATTTAAAAAGTAATTAATGGAAACGGAAATGCATTATCAGTCTAGGGTATTAGAAAAGAAATTATATAACAAAATAAAATGTGCATACATATTTACTGGAGAGGCCAAACAAATTATACTCACAAGATTATTGTATTAGTTTACCTATTGGAATACAATACATTGTAAATATAACAAGTGAGTTCAATTAGAAATTGTAAAGAAAAAATCTTTAATTCAATTAATGACTTCGAACAGTAACTCGATAAGATGTTAGATAAGTATAAAACATTTTTAAAGTTTCCACAATACATTTAGTTATCATTAAATCGCCATTATCGCTCATAAGTTTAGAAAATCACTTTATTATTTTTACGTAAACGTTCAAACAAATTTTTGAAAAATGGTAAGAACTATCAAAATGATAATTAAGTTTTATTTTATTTTAAATATTACAAACAAATTATCTATGACGAGTCAATAAAAAAATATTATTTTGTAAACTTTAATAAAAATATTTTTTTCAAAATAATCATAAAATAAATTGAAACACTTGAATTAAATTTGCTTAGTATAAGTTAAATCAACTATGAGATTGAATATTAACTACAATACCAGTTGGTATTTTAGATAAAATTAGATTTTTTTCCGCCATCACTTCATTTTAGAAATAATTATTGCAGTCAATAAAGAAAGAAGCATCTGGCGTGTTTGCGATAAGAATTCCAATGAGGCTAAAATGTAAGTTCTATAAAGATCAGAGTATTGAACGGTTAACAAGAAATTAGGGATGAGAATGAGTGTAGCAGAGATGTAAATGTTAAATGGATGAGTAGGGTGACTAGAGAAGATGGGATAAGGAACAAACATATAAGAGAGAGAGAGGTGTGGTGTCAATCGTGGATAAGATGAGAAAAATGGACTTAGATAGTTTGGTCATGTTATGAGGAAAGAAGAATCTGGAGCTGTAAGAACTGTTGTGGAAGTTAATGTTGAAGGAAGAAGAGAAATACCAATAAAGAGATGGAGGGATGTTATTGAATGCGATATGAGGACGGCTGATGTGGGAGATCGTGTCAAGTGAAAGTTTAGGATATAGGTAGCCGACCCCAAGTAGTTGGGATTAGTTAAAAAGAATAAGAAAAGGTGGCTTTGGGGAAGAGTATGATATTGACATCATCATATACATGATTTAATGTCGATGTATAATTTTGATAGGATGAAAATTTTAATTTAATTATAATATATTTTTATGATATATGTAAATACTAATGCGCCTATTTGTACGGTGCCATGTGTAATAATCCAAAAATAAATTAAGTTTCACTTTAAAGTCATATTTTTATTTTTATAAGTACTATTTTTAGAAAAAGTTGGGTCATTACATAAATTTCATATAAAATTCAAACTACTCAACTCACATAAATTACGACTCTATAGTTAAAATATCTGTATAAAATTTAAAATTCGTAGAGATAATATCTAACTCATTTTAATTATATCTATAACATTTCGTAGTGAAAAATTAAATTTAGTATAGTAGATATTTAAATTTTTTTTCAAGATTTATTATTGAGAATTCATGTTTTTTCGCTAGTAAAATATTAATTAATTATTTAAAATATTTTGATAGTAGCTATTAACTGACATATACCATTATTGTCCTTATTTATAATCTTGTTCTATGAACTCTTAATATTGTGGAATAAAGAAACATATATGTGATAATTATTCTAACAAGCTATTTTGTCAATAAAAAAAAAATTTATAATGTGTTTTCATTTATTTAAAATTATTTAGAATTTTTTTATAATTTATTATATATATATTATTCAATAGGTCAAAACTAAAAATGAAAACAATTTTTAATTTATTAATTTATTGGTAAGTAATAAAATAATCATTTTTTAGCTTAAAATTCAAATGATGCCATATTTTGCCAAACGATTAACCTCATTGAAAGTGTTGCCATTAAGAACCCGAAATTTGTCATCGTTCCAAAAAGCTCGTTTTGAAGTAAGAAACATATAAATTTTAATAAATTAATATTTTGTAGATCTATAATAATACTTAATCAAAAAAAAATATGTCTTGATTATTATAAAATGAATAAATGAATTTCAGTATCAGACATTTATATAAAAACTAATTTTATTAAAATATAAAATATAATAAATATTTAATTTTTATCAAAGTAATTATATATTTTTACTACAGACGGTAAAAAAGTGATGTAATTTCCTTTGTACTTTATAATTTTAAATTTTCATTTTGAGGATTTTGTTTTTCTGCTCAAAATATCTAAATTAATACATTACTGATTTTAGCAATACATATATTATCTGAAAGTCCGTAATTTTACAAATAAGATGCACAAATAAAAATATGTCAATAAGAAAAAAAGTATAGTTGGAATCAAGCAAAGTGGAGACGAGACATTTTTAAAACTGTTAATATGGAACTTGCTATCCGATATTAACTATAATATTATAAACTCTTATTTGCTATAAAATTACTGTCATGAAACGTATTGTTTCGTATAAAATTTATTAGATCCAACAAAAAGTACATGATTTTGAATTTTAGAGACCGATTACTTACAGAATTCTATAATTAAACGAATGACGTTCTTACGATTTTTTCTTAAGATTAGTCGTGAAAACGTCTTCCTTTTTTTAATTGTACAGTACTAAAAAAACCTTTAATTTTATTTAATTTTTAAATATGTAGATTTTCCGTTGTTATACAAAAAACTTAAGATTAATCATTTTCACCAAAAATTGAATGATTTATGGCTTTAAAAGCACTACTAGAAATTAAGTTTTTGGGTAGGTTTTTTGTTTAATCGTAAAGTAAATCATATTAGCCTTGATTTAATGCAGGTTAAAAGGAGATATCTTTTTGGAACACTGTCAAAAATTGAAAAGAAAAAAATTTCAATAATATTTCTAACCTCTCCCCACCCCACACAGTACTTTGGATAATGTTTGGATTTGCAAAAAAATGTTGCCAGCAAAGTAAAACGTTTAAAGTATTGTGAATAAAAATTTGGTAATGATTCCACTAGTTTCGAAAAGTTCATTTCAATTTAAAGTCAAAACTATAAATATTTTATTTTTATTTTATAAATATAATATTTGTCTGACACATTAGCTAAATAATATCTCGGTTTAGATGGCTAATTAGGTCAAAAGTCATCTAAAGGATTTTTTGGGTAAGAAGTGGTGCAACACCCTATATGCACCTCATATGTACGCTTTTGTCATAGTTAAATTTCGTGTATTTAAGAATATATTGACATCACACTCTTCCCCAAAGCAACCTTGTCATCTTCTTTTTAACTAATCCCAACTACTTGGAGCCGGTCACCTATATCCTAAACTTTCACTTGACATGATCTCCCACATCAGTCGTCCTCAAATCGCATTCAATAACATCCCTCCAGATGTTTTTTGATCTTTCTCTTCTTCCTTCAACATTAACTTCCACAACAGTTCTTACAGCTCCAGATTCTTCTTTCCTCATAACATGACCAAACTATCTAAGTCCATTTTTCTCATCTTATCCACGATTGACGTCACAACTCTCTCTCTCTTATATGTTTGTTCCTTATCCCATCTTCTCTAGTCACCCCACTCATCCATCTAAACATTTACTTCTCTGCTACACTCATTCTCATCTCTAATTTTTTGTTAACCGTTCAATACTCTGATCTTTATAGAACTTACATTTTAGCCTCATTGGAATTATCTTATCGCAAAACTAGCCAGACGCTTATCATCACTTTTAAAGCCACCTCTATACTAATATATAATTATGTAGTAAATTAAAGTACTATTTAGAAATATTTATAAACCTCTCATTTGTTAAAAATATTTACAATTGTCTTTTTTCTAAAGAATAGAAAAATTCAACCAGTCGAAAACAAGTAGTTATGCAATGGGAAACAATATTATTTAAAACGGTATTATTTTACATTGTCAATCGATATCAATAGAAGAGTTACGCAAGTTAAATAACTATAACCCTCGTTATGTTTCTAGTTTATGTTCTATTATATAGCAGGTGATGTGATACAAACAACCGCAGTTATATCAAGACGGTAGAGGATTTTTGAATGTGTACGATCATCATAATAATATATCGTGTGATGAAAATATTTTAAAACAATTTATTATTTAATCTACTTAGATTAATTTACAATGCCGGTAGTATCTTCTTGTTGTCGGGTTTGTTCCAAATTATTTGATTCTCACGATTGTCTACTAAAATGCGATCAGTGTTTTTTTTTTGTTCATAAAAATTGTTCAAAACTTTCTGCTGAAGAATTGAAATGTTTAGCATCGGCAAATAGAAGTTTAAAGTTTTATTGTGAAGATTGTGATGTTGGTAGATTATCCAAAGGGTTTGATAGACACATAAACCATTCTATAGAGTTGGTAATTAAGAATATTTTCATAATAATTTTTGTAATAATTTACCTATGAAAATTATAAAAATATGTTATTTCAGAATATGATTTTCGTAACAAAAGAATGCATTTAAAAATACGCTAATTAAAATTTCACAAGAAAAAACTAAACCTACAGTTTTTTTTATTACACATTATTTTAACGATAGTTTTATTTATTATGATTTAAGAATAATAATAATTATCATCACAATGATTCGTCTAACAAATTAAACTAATAAATAAAAACAACATTCTAAAAGGGATTTTCATCAGAAACGAAACTATACTTTTCTAAACTATTTTTACGAATTTAGATTTTTCTATCGCCTTTAGTTTTTGAGATAATTACTAAGTAGTAAAATTTTTTACAAAAGTAACCAAAAATTATACAGTCAATCCATGCCAAATCATCCAGAATAAAAATTTTTATGGTGTATTAAACAGATATATAACTAAAAAACTAAAAAAGATTTTTTTTGGAATTAGGTCCCCCGGCAGAAATATAGCACTTAGAATACTTATGATTTTATCAAATTTCTAACTTTGTAGGCTTCTAAATCCTAAGAAAATTGTTTTAAATATTTGAAATTTAGTTCAAACATAGATCATACACTATTCAATACCGCATTTGAAAATCATTATAAAATAATAACTTCTTAATGGTTTTAAGTGAGCTCAAAAGCGCCATTTTTAGAAAGTCGTTAAAACTTAGAATTTCACATAATTTTTTTTTTTTTATGTAAACATTAAGTTATAATAAGGCCAAGTCTAAAATTTTAATTCGATTAAGTCAATATTGAATAATATGTGTTTTTTTTTTAACATTCTGGCTATTTTTAACATTTTTTACATTAAAATAGCCATAGCATAAAGAATAAACCCTGAAAATTTAAGAAAAATATGAGGTGGTCGTGCAACCGCTTCTGGATGATTTTGCAAGGATTAACCCTATAGATTAAAATGAAATCTAACACATATTAGAGAACGAAATAATAACAAAATCTTTCTATATTAATACAACTTTACAATGTTTTTTGTAAAATGTTTATATTTATATAAACTTAATCATATTTATGTTTGATTATTATATTATATAGAAGTAATCAATAAATATATTTCGATTTAAAAAATTATATTCAATAATGATTCTAATATTACATAAAAAGTTTTATTATTAAAAAATTAATTATTACCTGAATATTTCAATTGCAGCATTTTTTTTATTACTAAGAGTTACATAGCTATTATAACTATGATTTATTTATAATGATATATGACAATATATAATGTAAATGCTAAAAGTAATGTTCAATTTTTCTCATAAATTTACTATTAATAGTAATTTATAAGTTATTGATCAATTATCAATCAAAACAACGCTATTTTTAAATTCTGAAAATTTCCTATTTTATGTTAATAGATATTAAAAATTAAAATTAATAATAATTTTGAAAAAAAAATTAATACATTTTTTATTAGTAATTACTTGTGTTTTACTAATTAGTAAATATCTCCAAAATTATAGGCAATAGAAACAGATTTGAAATCAGGGCGAAAAATTGGTTTAGCATTAAACCAATTAGTATAGTAAAAAGGTATATTTTCGTCTCTGATGATTAAAAGTTTGATTTTGTAGACCAGTGTAATTATAAATAAAAAATTTGTTATAAGGCACAACTATTAATTTGTTTTTTGTTACAAAAATATTTTCGTGATTGCATGACTTACTTTTTAACCTTCACTAAAACTTTTACTAAATTAGCAAGTAGTATCAACAATTTCTAATTATAAATAAATCATGGTCGGATTATTGAAATAGTTAAGTTATATTCACTAATTAAAACTTATCTTTTTCGTTAAAGTTTACTATTTGGTTCATACATCAAAATGTTAAAATGTGGAACATCTGCGTCATTTAGCGGTGATCATATTGCCTATGATTACTTTTGTCGTTAAACGAACGTCACTTGTACAAAAGGGGAGCTTATACAAAAAAAAAAAATTGACCTTGTCATTTTTGTTTTTAATTTAAGTATGCACTTAACGGAATTTTAAAACAAAATTGACTGTCAAAAAAACAATGATCATACTTTTTAGTCATTTAATATACTTGTGTACGAGCATTAACGCTTTATTTAGATTAAGGCAATGAAGCATACAAAGTAAAAATGATTTTATTTTGTTGCTAAAACTCACATTCTTAAGTAATGCAGAAAAATATTACAAAAATGATTTAGTGTACCTTATAGCCGACTTAGCGAACGCGTAGGTTTTCAAATTGCAAAACGTTGATCATTAAAATAATTGATAATTATTGTTTTCTACTGGAAAATATCATACACCCGCTAATATTTTCCGCGAATGGAATCGAGTGATTTATCAAACAGATAAAGCCGTACACGGTCTCTAATGGATATTATTTTGCTTAATAAGGAGTTTGCCTCGAATCCTTGCCATTCTCACAATTATACACCATAAATCATTTGCATTGCCGTGCGTTATGACTCGTGGATCACTCTACTTAGAAGTTATCGCATGTATACAACACCGTCCCAAACACCGCCTTTGTTGACTTTGTTTATGATAAGTTCATTTAAATGAAAAAGCCAACGACCACCGACGACCTCCCTTTTAAATCTATGCCCTAATAAGGCCTCATAGTTATAACATTACGCGGTAAAATTAACGTGTGCATACGTCTCCAAGTCATACCAATGTCAATTAATTGTTTACACTGTATTATTGTAAAACCTATAATCAATTCAATGCAACTGATATTATCATCAGTGGTTTTTGTTATTTTATGTATACAAACATAATCAGTGGTAGTAACGATTTCGTCTATGATATAATCAATGTGTTTTTTGCGAGTATATTATACATGACTTATTCATAGATTAAATACACATGTATTTAATCTATGACTTATTGTATAAGACTTACATATTGTGTGCACTTAAAAAAAAATGTAAAATGTTACATTTTTTCAGACGGAGTCGGTTGCCGAAGACAGTGATGTACACAAGATAAAAACATCTTTTGTAGATCCAATAGACCTTTTTAGTCAATGGTACAACGAGCATATGGCAGTCAATGTTAACGTTACTTCCGCTAAAGCATTTAGTTTAGCAACCATCTCTAAGTATGCTATTGTAAAATATACCTCCATTCTAATCTGTAATAATATTTTAAATAGTAGAACTGCGTGTACATAATGGGTGTTAAATCATAAATAAATCACGTGCGCAAAACTAAACAGGAAACCGAAAATTTATCAAGCTAAAATATAATTATTTTTTAACTGCTAATAACTAAGTATTATTTTAAAATATTGCGTCATATTAGTTAGAAATATATTACAATTTAATGTTAAAAATAAATTCTTGATAACAAATTGGCCGTGAATAACAACAATATTATTTTTGAATTCGTAATTTTATAATTATTATTGTATTGCACTAAAATTAATCAATATATAAAAGTAGAAGTATACAGTAATATATTACGAGCAGGGTAAAGTGGTCAATTACTCTCACGCTCATCTTGAACGTTTTACACAAGACTAATAGATTATGTTTTTGCTATATTCTATAATACTATTTAAATATTGTGATTTATTAATATACTACTATTTTGTCGTCATAAACAAACAGAGGAACACTAGTTACATAAAATATTTGTACAATTTATATCGTGGTTATCTAGTTGGATAGTTTCCTCGAGAAGAATAAATTGATAACTAGTTTTCGCTGATATTATTGCATGTAGCATACTCTAACGATTCAGTTTTTTTAATTTTTCAGCAAGTTAATAGCGTGTAGAAACTGAACTACGCACAAAATAATGCACTAAACATGGGCCACGCCACACCCTTACTAACATAATTTATACACTCTTTTTTTAAGATAAACAATCATTTAAAATTATTTTGTAAGCGTCTCTTTCGATTTATTTAGAAATGTTTTACGATACGTTTGAACATATTGGAGGTGTATTTTATTATTGGTCAGTATGTTGTTGAACTCTTAAATGGGATTGACCTCTCGTTCAGCTGTATCATTTACAACGTTCAAATTTTCTTTCCCATTATGGTAATTTTCATTAAAAGGCCATTCAATTGGATTTTTATTAAAAATTTGTCGTTATCTTTAAAAAATTTAAAAAAATATAATGATATATATATTAGTATGCTTGTATCATATACTAATAAAATGTTGAAATACATCTACATAATACGTTTAATATTTGTTTATTTATGAAATACTTATAGAACTGGGAAGGTATCATGCAGAAGCCTTATTCTCCGTCGTTTAGATAAAGATGGATTTGTTATGATGACAGACGGGAGGAGTAGTAAATCAAAAGAATTGGTAAACAACGAAATTTTTATATAAAACAAGAATTTGCTGAAAAAAAATAAATGGCAATTTTAAAGCTATTTAATGAATAGTAATTGAATTAACAAAAACATTTTTCGCTTTGAGCTGTACAAAATTCACTTCTCATTTAATAATTTGGATTAACTTCTTGCAGGCTGAAAACCCTGTAGCATCTATGGTGTTTCTATGGTTGGGTAAAACAACAAGCAATGATAACCAGACCAGACAGGTTCGCATAGAAGGTGTAGTGAACAAATTAAGCACAGATAACATGCAGGAGCTCTATGACATTGAACCGTTGTTTTGTAAGATTAGGGCCCAAATTTGTGAACAGGGTCAACCCGTTGAATGGAATAGACTTAAACGTGATCATGATCTACTGCTTAACAAAGTGATCAATGAAAATATACCTCTTCCTAAACCGGATCACGTGTGAGTAAAAATATTCGCAGTTAAGTCTCAGTATTGATCCAAATTACTTATGTATATCCAAATTATTGATCATTAGTTCACAGCTTCGTATGTTAATTACTTAAGTAATTTTAAAAGTATTTAAGAAGTTATACGTTTAGTTATATTAAATTAACTTTTTATTAGTTCAATGTAAGATTCACAAAATTTATTAACTTATTTATTTAGACACACTTTTACAACAATGGCAGCGCCGGAACCGGTGGGTCAACTCTTTCTCGGTTTTTGTGTCTGTATATGCGATTACTTCCGCTTTTACTAAACCGAATTTCTTTAACGATACGTCAAAATATTATAAAACGTAACTAGTTGAAATTATAAATACAATAATTTTGAACGATTTTCCTCGGTTTTGTTTATTAAGAGATAAAAGTTACAGTCAGAGGTGTCGTGGAGCGTATACGGGGGTATACGGCGTATACCCACTTCTTTGTTTTTCTGTTAATGCGTATACTTATAAAATCATGAGTGATACGCGGGTATAAGGCGTATACCCACTGATAGTTTTCTTATTAGTGCATATATGTATTTATAAAATAGTTAAAGAGTATAGACTAAAGAATAAAATAAAAAGTAATACGTGGGTATCAAATACAGGTATGTTTGTCATATAACACAAATTTTGAATAACTCTCATCAGTTTGTTTAATCCCTAGCCATACCACATATAAACATATATCTGAAGTTATAAACACACAAATATTTTAAAAATAGAATATAAATGTAAAACAAAACACTGTCAAAGTGTATAAATAAATATCAATAAAATAAATAGGATAATGTTTATCATTTAACGACAATTTTATTGACATTTGACAAAATTAAAAACATCGACCAGAAATTAACGATATAGCACATACTAAGTTGAAACTGAATGTTATTGGGTTAACCTATAGCTGTTGAAATTGGTAATTTGTATTTTTCCGTAATAAACCGTTTACCAACCAATCTAGTATTTAATATATTACCTATAATGAATTAAGATAGTACTAACATGTACCTATTCACGTTTATTTCATTTATGTTTTAACGATTTGAAAACAATGATTGTAAGATTATTTTATTACTGCATAAAGTTTATTGTTTATTTACAAAAAATATAACAGTATCTAATAATACACTTATCGATTATATGACTATGAAATTTAATTTATGTAAGAACTTAGAAGTGTCAGTAAAAATATTAGAGTAATAGTTTGGAAATTGGAAGGAGCAAGGCCATATCTGGGAGAGTTAGGAGTTTTAGTTGCATTATGTAATAATTAAAAAATACATATTTTTAACACAGTTAAAACCTCACAATATTTGTATTCCGTGCCCCAAAACTAGGTTATAGTTAAGGCCTTTGAAAAGTAGTGTAGGGGTGGAATTCCCCACGTTTCCTCATTTAGGTTTTTAACTTATCTATTGATCAAATTACGACTACATCACTGTTGAAATGTATAAAGTTAAAAGTTCAACAAAATAATTGTGAAATATTGTATGTAGAAAATATAAAGTGCAATGGGGGGTGGGGGGGGCGGAGCCCCCCACGTTATTATCTATTCATAATATAGGTGTATACCCATAAACATTTTTAGGACTACACCACTGGTTACAGTTGTAATAAAACAGACAAAGTCGGTGTTTTTAGTTTTCATTTAATATTAAAATATATTTTTGAAAACTAAACGGATTATTGTGAAATTTTTATTGATGGTACTCAAACATTTGCCTGGCTAACTACTATTTTTTTTTTGAAAATTCAATCATTGACTAATGTGCTGACAGATTAAAAAATCATATTGAATTTTTTTTATTTCATAATGATTTTTGATAATGTTTGTTCAAATCCTATCTTTTTTAGCTTTGATGCGAAGCTGAGAAGGTATTAGTTTTACTATGATGTGTTTTTATATAATTGATTGTGATTTAGTATAATAAATGTCCAATTTTCAAATTCATTATCTTAATTCAAAAATGGGGGCGTTGGAACTATTTTTTACATGGGGCAAAAATTAAATGACTACGATCGTTCCTGCTTTTTGTACAAAGCAAAAGAATTGGATAAATCTATTTATTATTTTAGCTTCGATGCGAAGCTGAAAAGGTATTGGTTTTACTATGATGTGTTTTTTTTGTGTCTGTTACCACTTTTTCTCAACTCTCACCGAACAGATTTCTTCAACGATACGTCAAAAGATCACAAATCGTATCTAGTCAAAGACATTACCCTCAAAAATTGAAAAAATTTCTCTCGTTCCCCGTAAATCATGGAAATCTCCAAAAAAATTACAAATTTAAAAATCGCTAATTTTCGACATTTTTTCAATTTTTTTTTATAGATGCATGATGTATTTACTTATCATTTGGTATATTTTTTTTATAAATCTGACTTTTTACCTGCCTACAGGGGGGGATTCAAAATGACAACTTTTTCACAAAAAATTAATTTTTGAAAGTGTTCCGGAAAGTCTGACACTTTTATATATATCTTAAATTAAAGCTAAAGTAATATACTTTATTATGGAAAAATAATTTCGGACTTTATTTTGTCTTCACGGTGAAAATGGCTACCGTATGCTATTTTTGTGTTGAAATTCTCGTTTTTTTGTTTTACATTTTTAACTTTATTATGCTATAACTTTTTGAAAAATGTTTATTATTAGATTATTCCAAAAGCTACATGATCTCCTATTTCTTTATTTATATTTGATTACAAGTTTTATAATTTACAAGTGTAATATATGAATAAATATATATGTATACATATATATTTATAATATATAAAGGAAAATGGTGTTATTTAAAAAAAAAGTACGTCGAATGAAAGAGGGATATAAATATTACTTCTCATGAAAAAATTGTATTGATCCAAACATTTTTCAAAAAGTTATAGCATAATAAAGTTAAAAATGTAAAACTTAAAATCGAGAATTTTCACACAAAATACTATTTGCTAGCCATTTTCACCGTGAAGACCAAATAAAGTCCGAAATTTTTTTTGAATCAATGTTATATTGATATAAGTTATACTTAAGGAATATTTAATATCTTGTTATTAATTAAAGGTAACAAATATTTTATATTATAGTTTAAACATTATAAATGTCTTAATAGAAATAATTAAAAATAAACAAAAAACATAATTTCAGTAAATTTATTTTTGTTACGCCTTTAATTATGTAATCGTCTAAAAAAACATACATGTATAATGAAATCTCATTAATATTTTTATACATTTTCCAGAGTCGCCTACAAACTTGTTCCTAACGTGATGGAATTTTACGAAACTACAGGTATGAAAATAGCAGATCGCCTACTATTTGTCAAGGATGATGCATTCTGGAGATCAAAACGCTTGGCCGCATAACTCACATAAAATATTTAAATCGTTTTTTAATAAATTTATGTTTGTTATTTTTTAATGATCATGGTTTTTGCACTGACTTTGAATGTTTTTTCATCTGGATATTAACTGCACATTCAGTTGCTTTTGGTTTTTAAATAAAAAAATCAATAATAAAATTTACTTTTAATGTAATACAAGTATTTAGTTTCAAAATTCATATCATTATAAGGCAAATATCTAACAAAATTTTAATAAAAATTTTCTAACAATAAATATTTTTATTTATTTGTAATTGTTTTAAATTCTGTAAATGAACTATTTCCCGTTTGATAAGTTGCCAAAAACACCGGAGTAACTTAACACTCAAACAGTACTCAGTCGGTCTATAATAGGTAGACATTAATGTGTTCTCATTTCTGTTTTCGTCCAAAACTTTACAGTTTTACATATAAAAAAATCATATGTTTGTTTAGTCTTTTACGGTGCAACACAAAAATAAAATCTCATTCAATATTTATAATTTTTACTATACAGGTTTCATTGATACTTTTATAATACTTTAAATTAATGATAATACTCATTACACTCATTAAACTAATGAAAATATAATACGTCTACAAAACCATTAATATTTTATTTTATCTTGTATTAGGAATCGATACTGTTATGTTTAACGGTGAATTATTATTTTTGAATAGTTAGTCCTGCCTAAAGAGATAATATGTAAGAATGGAAATTTAAAAAACAACTAAGTCAATATTTATAGGTTTTATTTATTTAAAATATAATAATGAATTTATGATTGATTAAAGCTGAACGTAGCGTAACATTAAGATTATTATAACAAAAAATTAATTTAAATTTTGCATTCATGTGTCAGATTCAAATTTAATGTTTACAACTCTAAGATTATAATAGTAAGATTCATAAATATGTAATTTACGGGTGATAGTATGCACTTTTTACCTCAAGGATTTAAGATTTTGTTAAATAACCCTTAAGAAATAACAAAAAAAGAAAAATAATAATTATTTATTTATTGATATTCATGTATAATTCAAACCAAGCGTGTTTTACACAAATACTTTTTCAAAGCAATTTATCTAGTCTTAAAATATAATGATAAAATGTACAATATAAAACTATAGATAGTTTGTTTATAAAAATTTAATTTTGTTAAAGATAATGATATTTAAAATAATTCGTCTAATAGTATAATATCAATAGAACAATAAAATAATAATACAACACATATTTTTAAATTATCATTTGATTTTTAAAAAACCACATATGTTCAATGAAAGTTTTTGAATTAATTAATTATAAAATAACAAAAACCTCTTCAATAGCTCATCAGTGACAATTATCTTAATAGAAAAAAATCAATACATGATTATAATGTTATTATTAACGTTTTCAAATCTGATTTTTAGCTTCTCATTTTTTATGCCGTAAACGAAATAAAGAATGTATAGATTAATCAAAAATTAAAAATATGGACAGTCCTCTGTTTATCTACTCAGTTATCTAGATGATAGTATTTACAGTTTCCACTGTGTCTTTCAACATTGATAATTTATTTTTTGTGACGCTTTTCATTAACATTTTATTTGTATATTGCGGAATCACAGCATTTCCAATGTGTATTAATGATTGCTAAAACAAAAAATAGGATGATCATTACAAAAATTACATACATTAATTACTTTTTATGCTTAGGGTATGATGAGAAAAAATTAATTAGGAGTTTACTTACCCATACTGTGTGAGCAAAATATCCAGTTGTTACAGTGGCAGCTCCTATCATTTTTAGTGCAGATCTGACATAGTCATCAGGAGACGGTACAAACCAAGATGCTTCTGTTAAATCACTCAGTTTGGTTGTAACGAACCCAGGCATGAAACACTGGACTGTGATTCCATCTGGACCGTATTCTGTAGCCAATTCCTCGCTGAATTTTTTTATAAACGCCTAAAATTAATTTATTTAAAAACATTTAAAATGACTTTATTAAAAAAATCAATGGATATATTTACAAAATCAATAAAAAAGAACTAACTTTAGAAGCACCATAAACACTTAATAAAGGAGATGGTAAATCCGCAGATAAAGCAGAAATATTTATAATAATTCCATGATTGCGTTTTTTCATACCAGGTAAAACTATTCCACATAAATGTATTACAGACATGATGTTGCATTGAATAAGGTTTTGATATAAAGGATTATTTTTATAATGTTTCAAAAAATAATTGGGAGAGTATGACATTCCAACATTATTAACCAAAACTCCAATGCTCATGTCTTTAAGTTCTTTTTCTAAACAAGTCTTGTATATTTCTATGTTACTTTCTGTGAAATCCATTTCTATTATTTTAGTATTGACGTTGTATTTACTCTCTATTGAACAAATAACAACTATTAATGTTAAAATATATTAAATAAAAGTGTTTTTTTAAATATTAGGCTATTGATTAATGCTGTTAATAATGAAATAAAATTTCAAAAGCAAACCTAATTGATGCCTAAAAAATAATTATTTTTATCAAACTCAATTAATGCACAACAATAGTCTTACATATAGACTTTCAAAATTAATTAGTATAACTTTTCACTTACTAATTTCATTAGCTTGAGTTTCTAACTTGGATTTATTTCTACTAATGAGGATAACATCCATCCCTTTTTCAGCCAACTAGAAACAAAACAAAGTACAAATGTAAAAATTATGGTTTTATTAAATTTTTTTTGTTAAATAATTTTTAGCTTCCATGCGAAGCTGAGAAGGTATTAATTTTACTATGATATGTTTAATTTTTTTTTGTGTCTGTTACCACTTATTCTTAGCTCTCACTGGACCAATTTTGATGAACAATATGTCAAAATATCACAAATCGTATGCAGTCGAAGACATTACCCTCAAAAACTGAAATATTTCCCCCGTTCTCCGTAAATGGGGAAATCCCCCAAAAATAATAATTTTAAAAATCGATAATTTTCGACATTTTTTCAACTTTTACTAAAAACTGTCATAATTTTTTGAAAAAAAGAAGAATAGAAATAAAATATTTTTTATATATACATTAGGTAATTCAGTTTTTCCACAAAAAATTAACTTTTAAAAATGTTCCGGAAATACAGATATATATATATATATATATATATATATATCTTAAATTAAGGTTATGTAATACACTTTAATTTACAATAATTTATTTACTTTTTTTTTTTTTAAAAGAAAAAAGTACAACTTTCTGTAAAAATTTGAAAATTCAAAAAAATTTAATAAATTGTAGTACAAACACTTAATTGAAAGTTTTTTTAAGAAATTAGTGTAAGCTGCATTGAGAATCAATCCCTCCTAATTATTTTTTTTTCAAAAATAATTGGTATGACTTAAAATAAAAATGTATAAATTTTTAATAATCATTTTTATAAAGGAATTTATTAGAATTGATGCTGAGAAGGCTTGACGCAGAAAAATTTGCTTAACCAAATTTTTACGCTTATATAAAGTCTGTAATTTGATTTTTTTTACCATCTCTTTTTTTGAGATTATAATTAATTAGCAAAACGTGTTGATTTTTATGAAATTTTATAATTTAAAAATGTACTTTTAAACTTTTTTTAGCCTAACTTGCAAGTTTCAGATTGATATAATTAAGTGGAATATTTTATGAGTATTTAAAAATCATATTGTTTAGATTGATACGTGGTTAGAAATTTACTGTATAATTACTATTGACAATAAATTTATGAGAACAGCTCAAAATTTCGTTAAAATTACTCTTTTTTTGTATTAATATCGGAATAAATAACTTCAATAAAAATCATACTAATAATTTCTATGTAATTTTAAGTGTCTAAATAGATGCTATGATTGAAATATTCAAAACTATATTCCGTATATTATAATATACTGATATTTAGAAATATTTCGCGCTTAGTTTCCACCTATGATTTCATCTACTAATGTGTTGTTAAATTTCTTTTTAAGTTATATTTTTTTTTATATGTTCACACTCGTTTTTTACTCCTTAAAATTAATCAAAAATCATACGTGATAGAAAAAATCGAAATGCAAATTAAAAATCGGCACGAAAAATTGATCAAGACAAGTATAATTTTGACTCTGATGAAAATTTATTGTGCACCAATGTATTTATTCATAATTGACAAAAAATTATTTTCTGAAAAGTTTTTGCATCAATTCCTTTAATTTTTATACACGCTTGCCATAGAAGTAACGAAATATACAACCATTTATTAATTTTTTATAATTTCTCCGAAAAAATTACAATACAAATTATTAAGTATCAATATCATACTATATTTAATTGTAATAATCAATACTTATTCATATATTAATATTCATATATTCCCGAGTTCTAGTCTACGTAAAACTAGATTTGACATTAACATTTGTAAAATTATATTTTTATTATTAAATAACATATATATGTGGATCCAGGGGGAGGGCGCGCGACTCTTTATTGATTATCGTCTCCTAATAAAGAAGAGGTCGTTTAAATGATAAAATTGGTAAAAAATTGATTTTGATGTCTATACATTTTTTGTATCTCCTCTTGAAAAATTGTAAATCCATCACTGATATATATATATAAATTTATAAAAAAATAATACGGTTAATACCTGTTCGGCGTATGATTTCCCAATTCCATCGGTAGCGCCAGTTATAACTGAAATAAAGAATTTTATTAATTAGTTGAAACAGTAAAAAATTCTTTTATTTAATATATATAATTATATATTTTTAGCTTGAAAAATACATAAGTTTTAGTTTAATAATAAAACATCTTAGTATTTTCAAAAACATTTAAAACTTTTGCCTTCTTATTTTTATCTTTCTCAATTTAATTGTATAATTTCCTTTAAGAGTAAAGAGATTATTTAGCCTTTCAGTAACTTTTAGTATAAAAACATTAATATTAACTCTTCAGAAAGAGTGGATCCCATGTGCAATGTGCCTCCCCCCGTACTAGCCCTGAACTCATAAATACTAATGTAAAGTTGGGCAATCTTTGTCGAATTAAAATTTAATGTTTTGAATTAAATTTTAGTATATCGTTGTTAATACAGTACGTATTTCAATTTGTACAGGTTTTCAGGGTGACGAAATTATACATGTTTTTATACAAGTAATTTTACTTTTATAACGTACAATGAAATTACGAGTCTTACAAAAATTATATATACATTAAAAAATGTCCAGAACACTTATAATATAATTATTGATAAAAATCTCATTTAGACAATTTTTAAGATACCCATTGTTACAGAATAAGCCACGATATAATGTAAATTATACAAATTGTACGAAAGTGAATTATTGATAACAATAATGCTTTAGTTACTGTAAATTATTTAACTTCAGTTAATGGATTTAGTTGTGAATTTAATTATTTCTTACACATTTTATTAAAATAGTTCATCTACCTCAAACAGAGTTGTTAAAAAGCATGCAAAAAAAAAATCTGTCTAAAACATAAATAAACAATTTAAAACGTCTCATAAGACCAATGTAAATTTCGACATTTTTGGTTTTTTAAACAAGCAGTATTTATGACAACCCTGACCTCACACATATATTCAATCTGCTCAACCGGTTTATCGGTTTCTACTTTTTCAAATAAATGGATATGAAGCTTAATACAGTATTTTTTCGACGTGTTAAATAAAAGATATCAATTCACATCTTAGTTTATTCGTAATTATAGTTGCATATTTAATAAACAATAACAGATAACATATTTGTAGGTATTAGTTTATGAGTATTTTTATGCTCGTAGAGTATTAAAAATAACATTTACATTGATACTACACAAGTCATTCGGAATTGTTATTCCGTAAAACTAGTTATGAAGGTTATATTTAGCTTATTTGTTTATGTTCAGGAAATTATTTCTTATAATTGCCATATTATGGATGAACCTTTCAAAATTATTAAATGATAAATTATATTATAACGCCATTGATGCCCTAAAGGAAAACGTCGTGTTTAACATAATTTAACTAAAATTTTGAACATAATAAAAACAAAGATATAAATAAAATAACATAAATCTTTTAAGTGTATTTTCACTTAAAAAAAATTCAACTTGAAAAGTTTTAATTTTTCGTTTCTAATTTGGCAGGCCTTTCAAAATTCGACCACTTTAAATCTCTCTTTTATTAATGTTATAAAGACTATAAGTAAAAAATATAAAGATATAATTATAAGACAACTCATATGTATTTTATTAATATATTCCCTAAAAATATGTTATTATTCTTTTATTTTAAAGGCCTTAACTTAGTTGCGAACTCAGTAGATATTCATCCTAATAATCATATATAGCCTTTAAAAAATTCGTTACAATTTTATAAGACATTTTTTTTTAATGGATACTACTTTTTAAGGGCATAACATATACGAGCCTAACTTGCATAAGCTTTAGTTTATATTAAACTCTTTGACTACTTTTAATAATAGGTTGCTTACCTGCCCAATTTCCAGATTTCTTAAAATTCACCAACGATGAGATTATATAACTAATAATGGATTTAATAATTCCATATCCTAATTTAAGAATAGTAACACATATTGTAAATATTCCAATGTATTCGACATACTCTCGAGAAAATTCATAAATTTCTTTGAAAGATGATATAAACGTCATATTGATTTGAAGAAGAAAACTGTTACCTAGTACGAAGAGCTATGTTGAAATATTTATGAGAAATATAAGGCTCCAGATTAAAACACGTTTAAAACGATCCCCTACCTGCACGACCTATAACCTTAAAATTACACATGAATATTAGATTTTGATATAATCATATGGAAGAAGTTCAGGATGGTTAATGAGAGGTAGGTAAATCATTCGAATGCATTACTTCTGGAAAACTGGTTTTAAAGTAAATATTTTCTAACCTATTGTAGTGATGAATATGTTTATTAATATTTAAAAACTTTAAAAATCAATCTACTTATATATATATATATAAAAAAGCATGTACAAAGTGATTAATTTGTCGTTCACCGCTACATTTCTTCTAAGATAACAATTTTGATATATATATATATATATATATATTTTTTTTTTTGTTATATTTTAACTAAATTAATATAATTTGATAATGTGCAAAATTTGAAGCTATCCGAGAAGTTTAACTGTTTTAATAGAGCATATAATTTGATTTTTATGAGTAATTACTAGTAATAAGTACTTTATTAATTTAATAAAATTACTATCATTAGATATATAATTTTACGAGAAATTAAAAAATATTGAAATTTTTTATATAACAAATAAATGGTAAAAACTCAATTATTAAAAAAAAATTAAATAGAACTCAAAAACTCGAAAAATTACTATATTATTTTTACAAAAAACTTTACAAATAATATGTATTTTTTGACGCTTAGGCAGTGGTGTAAAATATTTGGTTACACAGTTACTCAACTAAAAATATCATACTGACTTATGGAAATTTTTGGAACATTTATTATAGTAAAGTATTTTAGTATAATTTAATTATTGAAATAAAAAGTGATCTAATTTTAATTTCATTTAATTATTTAATAAGAATAATTTAAAAAAAATTACTTGTTACTTTAGTTTGATCGATTTATTTTATAAGCTTTCATGCTAACTTTACTCTTAAACTTAAGAACAGTAAATTGTCCTTTAGTGGCTTATTTAGGATTTTATACTGGAGGTTTAACAAAAAAAAAAAATGTTCTTACCTCCTCCTCATTGTGCTATAGGTAGTTTTTAATAATTTCCTCCTAAGTAGAAATTTTTTTCTAGCAATTTTCCCAAAAATTCAACTAAAGATAATAATCAAAACTCAAATAATACCATTAAAGTATAAATTATGTTGAATTTTTATAATATATTTTACATTAATTTTACTCTTATGTTTTCGTTTTGCAATTTAATTAAATTAATCTAGTGAATTTAGTGAGAATACATACTAATGACATGTACTTTCTTTATTGGCAATGCTATGCTAATATAAATATGTTAGTTGACCTATTTTTGTTTATAATCAACTCAAAATGAGTAAAAGATTGTTGCAAAAATTTTCCATAGCATCTTGTTAGTTATAAAATTTTATTGTGTCTTTTCCTCTCCTATTATGAATTTCTAAATACGCACTTGAGTGAAGTCCTATTTGAATTATTACTGGTATAAGTAATTAATTAAAAAAATAACATCCACTGTAATTAATTAATTTTTTTTCGTAAAAGTTATGTAACTTCATTACTTGTTTTATTAAATAATTTTTAAGAGGTTTAATTCTTATTTTTTTGAGTGATTTGTTATTTAATTTACACATTATTATTGTTGTATAGCTAAATTACTATTTTTTAAATATTTTTTGTAGGCTGTAGCCTTGAAGAAACTAAAAATCTCTCAATGGCATGTTTAAGATACATTTTTTTTCAGTTAGTTTTAAACTATAAATACACTTTTGATTTATCAATATTTATTTTATGAGCGTCACGAATTTAATATTCAAATAATAATTTAACGTGAGAAAATTAAAAACACTTTTTATATCTGTTATAAGTTATCCAGCACAGTGAGGATGTAGCGTAGTGAATATAAGGTCAGATTTTAATCTATACGGGTAGATTGAAATTTGGCAGTGATTAACATCACTATCATAAAACATTTCAATGCGAATGTGCGCAAAGAAAAATTATTGTAGAAGAGATTGGTACCCCAACCACTCTCTCTTAATATGCCTATGAAATAAGTATTAATTTGTATAACAGCCTCCCTAGGAAATTTTTTCTAAAAAAATACAAATAGCTTTTCTGAATTTTGTGATTTTTACACAAAAATAATACTTTTTCTTTAACTTTGACGTCCATTTTACAAAGCAAATAGGTCCTAAATAAAAATTTGAATGAACTACAGCTGTAATAGACAGCCATTATTTTATTTTATCATATTTTTATTTCAATTTTTTTTTGTATGGTTTTTTTAAATTTCATTATTGTCTTCATATATCCAGAGAATCTTTTCTTGACAATAGATTCGAAAATAGAACTACAATATTAAATAAATATTACACTAAATTTATTGAATATGATATAAAAATGATTTGCCTGAAAATTAATAAAATTGATGTTCGATTAAATATATAGATTGTTTAAATCGGTTAGACTCCAAAAATCAGGATTCGTAACATTATTAATATTATTAAATAAAAATAATTTTAGAGAGAGAGAAAAATTAGATATAATTAGTCCCTCCAATAATGTTGTAATTTCAGCTAAAATTAAAATTTTTTATAAANTATAAAAATGATTTGCCTGAAAATTAATAAAATTGATGTTCGATTAAATATATAGATTGTTTAAATCGGTTAGACTCCAAAAAACAGGATTCGTAACATTATTAATATTATTATATAAAAATAATTTTAGAGAGAGAGACAAATGAGATATAATTAGTCCCTCCAATAATGTTGTAATTTCAGCTAAAATTAAAATTTTTATAAAATTGGCGCACAAATATTAATGTTATTGAGTTGAGAACTCAGTGTTTGTATTTTTTAATGTATTTTTCAATAAACATATCGAACAATTCTTAATTCTAATAATTAAGTAAAAGTTAACTTATTCTCGAGTAGTTTTTCAAATAAGTTAAATGTCTAATACTGTTCTGAACTTTGTCATTAATTTCATTTATTTGTTGTGTTCGATAAGTATTTCAAGTATAACACGTTATTGTTCGTGATGTTTAATTTATTGATAAAAAACAGCAGAGTCCAACAATATCATTATGGTTGGTCTGATTTAACTTTCACGTCAATAACAAACGCGAAATCTTTTCATTCCACCAAAAACTGAATTGAGAAATTAATCTCTTTTAAAAATCCAATTTCTCATCCTAATTAATTCTGTATTCCTATTTTATTAAATATGTGAAAGTAAAATACACAGTGCCAAAACGGTCTCGTTGAGCACTCCGAGTTCGTAATGCTGAAAACTTTAAAAACACAGGAAAGTTATAAATTCGTGACGACTACAAAAAACGCATCGTATTTACATAGTTTTATTATTACTACATCTCATGGACGTCGGCCGTGTGTTCTATTTTGGGGAGCGTTTTGATATTGGCGGCGTCGCGGCAACAGATGTTCCGTTTCCGCGTCCAAACAGTACGAGTTTGAATGATCCGTACACCGATGTTATTGCGCATGCGCGCATCTAAACTCATTGCAAACCATACAGAGTGAAACTCTAGTTTCAACGATAATTAACGATGAAACTAAATTGATTCAAGACAATATCCATTGACAATCGTACTCTTGTCTGTGTCAATGCGACCGATCACGGTCGTGGGTCACAATCGACGTGTTGTCGTTTTCCTATTATTTTGTTTTTTATTGTGCTTCAATGCCAGGTTAGTTGAAAACCAATCAAGGAAATCGTAGTAGGCAGTATCGACCAGGCTTGTCCCCCAGCAAAGTAATTAAAAAAAATTCGCATTTAACGTTGAAAGTAATGCTTTTCAATAAATTAAAAAGGGATCGTTAGTAGCCCTTCTACTCAAGACCATTAACCTTCAAAAAAATATCGCCATGATCAGGTGAGTGAGTTGTGCGGAGAAAAAGAGTGGTATTTATATTTACTCGTTTCCTTAAACATTTGATGAGCAAAAGAAAAACAATTGCCGTCAACTGAAAAATTCTTGGGGTATATTTTTTGCACTGCTATTGCTGAGAAGTTATTGGAAATACGTATCGTAATTGTATTTTAAGGGGTTATGTAATTCGAACATTTTTTTATCCCATTAAAAAAAAAAAGAAAATATTTAAAATATCGATTTAACTTTTATTGGTGTTCTGACAATCTTATCTTCATATTTACTCCGGTGTTTCTGCAATAGAATTGTCATGTTTGAAAAACAATTTCATAACTGAAGTTTACTTATTTTCATTGGAATGAGATTTGTTTTCATCTGAATATTTCCCTAGAAGCAAGTACGATAAACTAGCAACCACGCTGCTTTAATTATGCTCAATTTAAATTGTTTTTTTGTATAATATGGAAAATCAAATGTTGAATAAACGGATTTTGAGTGTCTTAAACTTTAACAGTCGCCTAAAGTATCGTCTTAATATCTCGATGAAAAAAATATACATAGAATGTTCAGTAAGTAAGAATCTGGATTTCTATTGTTCCTATTTCCTTACTTATTGAACACTTTGTATATTTAATCAGGTATCCTATAATACTGAACCTTCGCTGTAAAATTAAACTTTTATTTTCTGATTGAAATTATTATTATGATTAACTTTATAACTTATAATGTAATTTTATATTATAAAATGTTAGTTGTACAATGAAAAAATGTCCACAATTTTGTTTATTTTTATATATTTAAAAAAATAGTTTAAGTATAAAAATCAATCACGGCTTATGTTAATCATTAGTTCAATAGAATATTTCTAGAAACTTATGAATTTATCTAAATTAATGAACTATGTAGACAATGTACTAAGTACTCAAATAGTTTGATAATCAAAAATAATATTAAATTATTTGACAGTCATTAACAGTGCGCGCGTATACAACATAAATGTAGTGATGCAAAGTAAGCATAAAAATTGTTATTTTGTCCATATTATTGTCATTTACCGCAATTATGTAGCACAATTTCAACGAACGAAAATTTAGTAAGTTCTACATATGTGCGTCGTCATCTCATGAAATAAATTCGTTACACTTTTAGCGCAAAACTTAATTAGTTTTCGCAGTTTCTAAAATTTGTAATGCACTAACAGTGATATTTCAAGCAGAGATTTAAACGAATGCAACGACATTTTAAAAGGCATTATCAATTTTTGGTGCACTCTGTACATTGTTATACTGTGCAACTGTGTGTGTACCAACGTTTAGTCATTGGTAGATACATAATAGTATCTACAGACTGTTCACACACGTTCAGTACCAAGCGTGTGAATAGGCCCGTAGTGTCTTCGCGTGCTGTTTAGCTGATATGACGATACATTCATGATCACGGCCGTTTTGCGCGCAGTGTATTGTTGCAATAAATCGTTTTTATTTCATTTTAGTGGGGAAAATTGTCGTCAGTCTTTGCTGTGATCCGTCCGCAGTCTGTGCCGTACTGTTGTCGTGCTGGATAGTACTTGCGAACGCTAATCATGTATCATAGGTAGTCGTCGATATCGACGGATTCTTTATTGTTTCGTCATCGTTTTGTCCGAGGAAATTGGTGTTAGATTATTATAATCTAAAAAATTGTACACTTTGCTTGACAAGAACATAAAACGAATCGGACACAACATTATTGGATACGTCACTTTTACCGAACAAAGTAAGTGTAGTTTGAAGCTTTTATTTTTAAACTTTTCACTAACCCTGACCTTATTTTACGAACTTAATCCTTTTTTAGACTTCTAACTTCCTATATTTATTTTTTATTAGACACACCTTTTCATAGATCTATTTAATTGGCCTTAACAGTAATTTGTTATTATTGTCTTTTCAGAATAAATTAAATTTTATTGTTATTTGTTTATTTCTTATAAAACTAAATTTACTTTTGTAGTTTTTCATGATTATTTAAATTTTGATGTAAAATGTGGTCATCCTTCATCCTTAATTTATTCTTATTGGAGTAAAATTTTAAACTATATATGTTTATATATCATTTGTTGTTATTGAATTATTGTATTCTGGTAGGTATGAAACTTTGAAGTATTATCAATATTTCTATTATGCAGTTGTTATCTACCCAAAAATATGACCTGGCCCAGTTGACATTGATTTAAATACAACATTTATTAATAAATAAAAATAAATATTATACTATAAAATAAAATTTCTATCAAAATATTTCCCTGTTATGCACTCCTTCATTCATAGTATTGAAATTTTCAATGAGATCTCTAGAGGTTTCTACATTTTTTACTAAATTAAAGTAGTTTTAAGTATAGTAGAAACTGTTTTCTATTTTAAGATGGCAACACTCTCTTTGAGAATATCAATTGTTGAAAAAAATGTCACTAAAACTATGCAATTTGATCCAACAACATCTGTGTATGATGCTTGTCGATTAATCAGAGAAAAAATATCTGAGGCAAATTTAGATCAACGTGAGTACAAAATAATGAGTTAAATTTTATATTTGAATTTAATTGTTTTAAGTTTTAAATTGCTTTTCTAAGTTTTATCTTTAGTATTGATTTAATTTTTTATTTTATGAATTGCTAGATAATATAAAAAGTTATTGTTGTAAGTAGTGCTTTATTGTATAGTTTAATTATATTCTAATTTTTAAGTTTAATTTTGAAATTGTGTTATAAGTATTTTATAATCCTCAAAATAATTATTTTTTATACAGAAAATTAAAAATTGTTTTTATTGTATAGCATATTAATACTTTATAAATATTTTAGCTAAAGATTATGGATTATTCCTTGCTGACGAGGATGTAAAAAAAGGAGTATGGTTAGAACCTGGACGCAATTTAGAGTATTATATATTAAGAAATGGTGTAAGTTTATTATAATCTATTTGTTTAGAAATTAAGCTAAAATTTTACCATAAGGTTCGACTGATCATAAAAAAACAAAATAATTGATATATGATTAGATAGTTAAAGTTTTCTGAATATTCTGAATCAATATATCCTCCTGAATCCAATTAATCATAGCTTGCTTTTACTATTTTATTAAATACATAAATAACCTTTGATTTTAATATTCACTTTAAAGTTTGAATTTTCCATACACCATTTATTAAAAAATTGTTGTTACATATTTTTTTTTCCAAATGTTTATCATTAAGTAGAATTATTAATTCTTAGCTTAATTGTATACATAATTCAATTTTTTATAAAAATGTCACTTATTTTCTGAGCATTCCAAGACCCCATATTTTATACCTTTGATGCACTTTTATGTTATATATTTGAATTTAACTATGATATTACAAAATAATTTTGTTTGAGGCTTTTATACGTAAATTTATTTTGTATTTTTTTTTTAATTTAAGGATTTACTGGAATATCGCAAGAAAATTAGAACATTAAAAGTCCACATGCTTGACGGTACTCTGAAAACTCTACTAGTAGATGATAGTCAACCGGTAGCTAATTTAATGGTTGTTATTTGTACAAAAATTGGTTAGTAATTCATTTACAAATTACATCATTTTATCATAGTTGTAAATACAATTTTTTTTTTTAGGTATTACTAATCATGATGAATACAGTCTTGTTAGAGAAAATCCCGAAGAAGAATTTGAAAATAAAGCAAATTTTGGAACATTAACATTAAAAAGAAGAAAAGATGATAGAGATAGAGAAAAAGACGCTAAAATGGAGCAGTTACGTAAAAAATTAAAAACTGATGATGAAGGTAATTTTTAAAATATTAGATATCTTCTCCTTTTTTTAAATAACAAACCAATTTAAAACTGAATCTATAATATTAATTATAAATAAATTATTTATTTAAAATTATTAATATTTTTATTATAGTTTTAATTTTAAATAATATTAGCCACAAGTGATCAATTTTTATTGTAATATAACATATAAAATATATTTAACTATATAATTGTATTTAATGAGTTTCTTGGACGGATTTTTCACTAAGTATTTCATTAATTCAGTATTAGAGTTTTAGTAATTGAAATTTTATCATTTTATTTTTATAATGTAAATCCTGTGTATTACTATGAAGGTATAAAGTCATAATTTGAATAAAATTAAACTTAATTTCTCCCCTCCTTAAAAATATTTCTATATAGATTAACATGTAATTTTCATCATAATTTGTGGTGTTTATGATAGAATTATAGGAACTAAACCCCTTCTTAATCCCTTTAGATTGTGCCTATGATAAAGTAGTAACTTATTGAATTATGAACAGTGTTATAATAATTTAATGCAAAATAAGAATAAATATTTGTAATAATTCTAGTAAATTGGGTTGATCCATCTAAAACACTCAGAGAACAAGGGATTGATGAGGGCGAACCAGTATTATTAAGAAGAAAATTCTTTTTTTCTGATGGAAATATTGATTCACATGATCCAGTTCAATTAAATTTACTATATGTTCAAGTAATACATAAATTTAATTACATAAAAACAAATAATTTTAATAATAATACACTTATTATTAATTAAAAATATAATACAAAATTTCAGGCAAGAGATGCTATTTTAGATGGTACTCATCCTGTCACAGAAGAGCTGGCTTTACAATTAGCGGGCATTCAAACTCATATACAGTTTGGAAATTATTGTGAAACTAAACATCGACCCCCATTTTTAGAGTAAATATTTCAAAGTGATTGTTAACAAAATAATTTTTTTTTTTAGATTTTAAATTTGAAACATAAGAATTAAGGTAAAACATATTAAGATGCAATTTCCGTTGGTGTGAAAATTAGTATAGTATTAGTTTAGTGGATTAATTAAAAAAATTTTTTTAATAAATATCAATTATATGAAATTGGTTAAAAGTGCAAATTACTAACAAGAGGAGGTCACGTTGATAGGATTATTGATTTTCAAATTCCATTGAATATATAGTTACTCTTATTTAAAATTTTTTGTCAATGCTCCCTATAAATGAGGAAAATCGATTTTGAAAATTTAAACTACCTTAAATAGGTTTTTTTATCTTCCGGCAAGCACAGCATCCTGTTGGCAGATTGGTAATGAGCATACCACAAGTGCTGGAAGTGCGCGAATTTCGAATCATGTACTACAATTATGCTTATTGCATTTTTTTTAAAAGCATTTATATAATTTTGTAATTATTAAATTATATTTTTATTTTAACATGATGTTTAATTATTTTTCTTAATTTGTATATAAAATAGTTAACTTTATCATTCTTCATTTGCTCAATTGATCAACCCCCTCCCCTAAATAAATGTATATAAACTGAATTATAATCGTTAAGTTTTATTTTTTTAATGCGTGAAGTTTTAATTTTAATGGATAAAATTATTTACATTAATAATACTATACAGGGTGATTTTTTTATCATAACCCACTCAATTACTTGCAGAATAATAATAATTTAAACATTTTTTTTTTTTATTATCTTTAATTACACATTATTCTTGAATTTTTAACTATGTAATACTTTTTAAGTTCATCCCTTATGCCTTGGAAGGGGGTCAACTTTGTTTTTTTAAATGATAACACATATTTTTAATTTAATAAAATGTTTGAGTTTTTAATTTAATAGTAAATGGCATTTGAATTTTTAATATAACTTAATTCGTTTATTAGATATAATCATTTAAAGTTTCAAATTTTTGAATTAATATACAGGTATAATACACAAGGGATTACAAATACAGGTAGCTAATTGATTTTTTATGACATCGATATTAGCAGGTACACAGCATTGTTATTATCAATGATAGTAAGGCACATTGTTATGAGTTTATAAATACACTAACTGACAATACAGAAAGTATATCTATTGATAATCATAATTGATAATAAACAATCCGTGACTGAGACAGCAATGTCATAAAAATCCAATTAACTACCTGTATTTACAATCCCATGTGTATTATACATGTATATTAACTCAAAATTTTGAAACTTTAAATGTTTATATCTAATAAGCTAATAAAGTTATATTAAAAATTCAAATGCCATTTACTATTAAATTAAAAACTCAAACATTTTATTAAATTAAAAATATGTGTTACCATTTAAAAAAACAAAGTTGACCCCCCTCCAAGGCATAAGGGATGAACTTAAAAAGTATTACATAGTTAAAAATTCAAGAATAATGTGTAACTAAAGATAATAAAACAAAAAAAGGTTTAAATTATTATTATTCTGCGAGTAATTGAGTGGGTTATGATAAAAAAATCACCCTGTATATATATAGTATATTTTATATTATAAAAAATACTTTTTAAAATGTAAAAATTTAACATACTCCGTGTAATTCAAACTTCTCATTTCTAGTGCTTAAGACACATGCGTTACCAATTTGCCAATAGGATGCTGTGCTTGCCAGAAGATAAAAAAAACCTATTTAAGCTAGTTTAAATTTTCAAAATCGATTATCCCTGTTTAAAGGGAGCATTGACAAAAAATTTAAAATAAAATAACTATATATTCAATGTAGATTAGATTCATATAACTCTTGAAAATCAGTGATCCTATCAACAAGACCTACCCTTGTAAAAGTTAAAAATAAGTGCAAAAAGTACATACTAATTTAAATATTAAAAAAAAAAATGTTCCATTGTTTTTAGGGTAATGAAACTGACATATTAATCAATATTTTTGCCCATTGTTATATAAATTAGATAAAAATGCTATAAAAGCAAAGTCATCAATAATTTTAATGTAATACTAATTTTTTAAATGTTAAAAATAGAAGTACACTTAATGATTTATTTTATTTGATTATGTTTTTATACGATATATTTATTTTAGCCTAAAAGAATTTTTACCTCAATCTTACATTAAAATAAAAGGAATAGAGAAAAAAATTTTTATGGAACATAAAAATCATATTGGTTTATCTGAATTAGACGCCAAAGTTCTTTACACCAAAACTGCACGATCTTTACCTACATATGGAGTCTCATTTTTCCTTGTGAAAGTATGAAGTTAGTTCACTGATACTTAGCAATTTAACTACATGTGTTTTTTTATTTTATTATAGGAAAAAATGAAAGGAAAAAATAAATTAGTTCCACGACTGTTGGGTGTTACAAAAGATTCAGTTTTACGTTTAGATGAAAGAACTAAAGAAATACTAAAAACATGGCCTTTAACAACAGTACGCAGATGGGGAGCATCCCCTAATACTTTTACTCTTGATTTTGGAGATTATTCTGATCAATATTACTCAGTACAGACTACGGAAGCTGAACAAATACTTCAATTAATTTCTGGTTATATTGACATAATTTTAAAAAAAGTGAATAACTTTTCATTTTTGATTTTAGTATGTACTTTATTAGACTTAATTATAAATTTATTTTTAGAAAAAATCAAAAGACCACTTTGGAATTGAAGGTGATGAAGGATCAACAATGGTGGAAGACAGTATTTCTCCATTAAAGTAACTTCTGTGTTTTATTAAACTCTTATCAAAATTATAGATGTGTTAATAATAATAATAATAATAAAAATATTTTTCTAGAGCTACAATTTTACAGCATGAAAGCAGCCAAATTGGAAAAGTTAACACAGAATCTGTAGCTAAACCTGCTGTAATGAGAGCTGGAGCAGAAGGCAAGTCATTTAATAAAGTTTTACTGAATATCACTAATAGTAAAAATTTTTTTCATGTAACAATATATAGGGCCTGGATTTAAATGCATTTATAATTTTTTATTTGAACCATTTTGAAGGGTTTCAATTTTGTGCAATTTTGTTGTAAGAATATACAAAGTAAGTGGGTCACAATTTTTTTCCTCGCCTTTATCCCAACTTTAATCTTCTGAATTTTTTTGGGTACTTTTTTCTTAAAATTATTTTTATACTTACGGTCTATGAAAATTACAGAAATAATAATTTTTTAAATAATTTATTGAAAAAAATTTATTTTTCTTTTAAATTTATGAAATGTAAAAATAATAATGACTTTTAGAGAAGATTTTAAGAAAAAATTAAGTAAAAAAACATTTTTTAATGTTTAGTAATAAATTTTTACAAACTTTAAATCTATAATAAATTTACTTCTGATAATTAATAAAATATTTGTTTACCTTTTTTTCTTAAACCTTCTTTAAAAATTTTCATTATGATATTTTTACATATTTTGTAAAAAAAAAAAATATCAATAAATTAAAAATATATTAATTGATAATATTTTCATAGTTCTAAAGTACAAGAATAGTTAAAAAAAAGCAACATAAAATATTTAGGAGATTAAAAGTTGTTAGATTTGTGAAACATCATGAACGATTCTGGCAAAGAAATATTTCTTGTTTTAAATCTCCTAAAAGTTATAACCTTAGTGACAACACATTATCAAGTTTTTCGAGTCAATTAATTGAAGTTTGTACTGTCTGATGATATGTTAAATATAACTTAATGACATTTTTTATGCATATAAATCCAGAACCTAGTAATAAGTAATTACTAATATTTTTTTTTAATCACTTGATTTTTAGTTTTAGTTAACACAAATCTTAACAATACTGATTAATTCAAACTTTTAGCTTTAAGCTTGTCTAAACATTTTTAGTTACTTCATTCCTTCAAAAATATATATAAAAAAAAAAAAAAATGATTACCACTATATATTTAGGGCTGAGTGTAGAAATTCAAACATTAAAATATTTACCAATTGTTTTACCAAAAATGAATTTTTTATTTTTTCTTTTACATAAGTTATAGTATATATATATATATATATATTTATTTATTCTCTTGTTAATAAAATAACTTTTTCAAGTTTTAATAACTTTTTGAACGCCAAAATATAAATATTGGTTTTTGTAAAATGCCTATTGATTAGTTTTTTTTCATTAAACAAAAATAATTTAATATTTTGTTTTAAAATAAAATATAAATCAGTAAATTTATTATTATCACCTCAAATTATTTTTGTATGTCTTTGGTCTATTTTTAATTTATCTAAAATAAAGAAATCTAAGCAAAAAAAAAAATGTCTTAGAAATTATAGATAACAAGTCATCTTGTCTTATAATTTTACACTGAGATGGAGAACAACCTGTTGTGGATATATCTTAAGGTAAATGGTAAAGGCCAAATTTTGAGTTTACTATGTTATACCCTGCCCTTATTTTTACTTTTAGTAATTTTTAGTCTATCCTGGTTGCTCATTATTATGATCATTAAGATTTGTTTTTTTCAATACTCATAGTATATTTTAACTTTCTATTGAACTGTGTATTCTATACTATTATATAGGTTTATAGTTTTTATGTGGTTGTTTTAAAATTGCATGTTTAAAATACTTAATGTTATGTTGATAATTTTTTAACTTTTTAAATATTTTTAATTAATATACTGCTTAATTGCTAAAAACATGTATTACAACCCTGGTAATTGTTATTATTAATGTACATTTTTCATAGTTTTATAAAATTTAGATACTGAAAAATGTGTTAGCAATTTTTTTTCAACTTTGATTTTTTAATATTTATAAGTTGTAACATTTGAGCCTGAAGATATATAATCTTTATAAAAATAGAAAAAAACATTGCTAACAGGTTAATCAGTGTCTAATTTTCATGCTTCAGATTTCAGTAGATATTTGAAAATTGTTTATTTATTGGTACCTGACTTGCATTTATTACAAAATATTGAGTTCATTATTATAGTACTAGCATCAATATAAGTCATTATAACTAATTACAGACATTAACCTAACTATATTCAGATTTTAAAATGTATCTTTGTTTTACGATTTTTATGTTAAAATATTTTTATTCCTATTTACTGAGGAATTTTGTTAGTGTTGGAAGGTAGCTTCTACAACTTTTTACCACAAAGATTTTAAATGTTAATTTTTCTAATTTACATAAAGATGGGTATTATAATAATAAGTTATTTTTTTAGGAGCAAGACCTTATGGCATGGGACATGTAAGTAATACTCAATATACTACTGTCAGTGGTCAGATTAACATTTCACATACTCCATATGTGGTAAAATACTTCAATTATTTTTGTTTAGCAAAATCTTAATTTTTGTATATTTATAGGCACCACAAAATAAACAAGTTAAAGTCTTAAGTGCACCTCAAAAAGCTTTATGTCAAACAATATCTGATAGTCAAGAAATCATAACTACTGTTGAAAAAGAATTGACTACAAAAACTGTCATTCCTGAGTTTGGTAATGATCCTGTAAGTAATACAATTATAATTTTTATTGGTTGTACAATTTTTTTTATTCATAACCTTTGTATTTTATTTAATATAGGTGTCAATTAAATTAAAAGAGACAACTATTGATTCAAATAAGCAAAATATAAGTTCACAAATTGCAGCCTTGAATGCAGCCACAGCTCAAGTAGTTACTTTAACTTCTGGTAACTTTGGATTTTGATATCTTACTTAATAAAAAATATGTGAATAGATTTTAAATAACTTTCATATATTTTTAGGAGAAGTAGATTACTCTAAGGTTGAAAAAGCAATTACATCTATCACTACAAATTTACCAGAAATGAGTGAACATGTGAAGGTTTTAGCTGCATTAAGCCCTTCTGGTGATCACTTACTTGATGCAACTCGTAAATTATGCTCTGCGTTTACTGAACTATTGAAAGCTGTTCAACCAGATTCAAATACTGTAAGTTTGACTACATAAATACTTTAAAAAAATTAACTATACAAATTAATTTTATTAGGGACGTCAAAATCTTCTTAATGCAGCCAGCAAAGTTGGGGAAGCATCTCAACAAGTGTTAACACAAATTGGAGATGACACTGCTGATGAATCGCGTGATATTCTGTTAAGTTTGGCAAAAGCTGTAGCCAATACAACAGCTGCTCTTGTAGTCAAAGCTAAAAATATTGCAGCAACAGTTGAACCTCAACATCAGTCTCAAGTTATTAGTGCTGCAACTACATGTGCTCTTACAACTTCTCAATTGGTAGCTTGTACAAAAGTGAGTAATATAATTTTTATATTTTTAGTGTAGAATGATTTTATTTAATATTAATTTCACTATGTTTTTGTTTTTAAGGTGGTTGCCGGAACTGTTGAAAATCCAAATTGTAAAGAACAATTAATGGCTGCGGCCAGAGAAGTAGCTATGGCTGTTGAAGATTTAGTTTCTGTTTGTAATTTATCAAAAAATGACCGTAATCAACATTTATTACAAGACTTATCAGAAGCTGCTCATCAAGTAACTACAACTTTAAATCAGCTACTAAATAGACTTCAAGATGCTTCCAGGTTTGTTTAACATGCATAATAGAATTATTACCTACACAAAAAATGATCAATGTTAAAATATTAAAAATTTCCATTTTTAATTAATTAAATAAAGTAACATATTTAAAAAACAGTAGCATAGTGGGGTCATGGCACAGTATAGACGTGGCATAGTTGGGACAAGTATAGATGATATCTGACAGTAATTAAAATCACTATCATAACAAACTCTTTGATGCAAATCTGTAGATAGTTTTTAATTTTAAGAAATTGATGGATTATTACAAAAGCAAAATTAACTACTATTTTTTGTACATTTTCGACTACCATTTGCATATAGAAGATAGGTCGTTGATACAAATTTTTTTTTAATTTATAGTATGTAACATAAGCTTTAATTTAACATATATTTATATGTTGCAGTATTTTTGGAACATTGTCAAAAGTTAAGTTGAAAAAATTGACTTTTGTAAAAAAGTTATTTTGAATTCCCCCCATGTGGGTAGGTAATGGTTAGAATTTCAAAAAAATATTAAATGAAAAAAAAATACCTTAGGTTTCTATTTAAAAAATAAATAATTTTTTTACATTCCTTTTTGAAAAAAGTTATGGCAGTTTTAAGAAAAAAAAAGTCAAAATTTAACGATTTTAAAAATTGTAATTTTTTGGGGGATTTCCTTCACTTACAGGGAATGAGGTAAATTTTTTCAATTTTTAAGGACAATGTCTTCTACTAGATACAATTTGTGATATTTTGGCATATTATTAAAATAAATCCAGTGAAAAAGTGATGACATAAAAAAAAATTAATATACTTTCAGCTTTGCATCAAAGCTAAAAAAGTTGTTTAACAGTTTTAACATTTTTGAACCATCTCAAAGGTATAAATGAGATAATTTGATTACTTTTTGTACTACTGTGATAATACCTTGAAAATATTTGATTTATTTTGAAATTAATCTAGAGCTGTTGGTGAAAGTCTTAGTAACTTAGTTGATATAGCAACTTCACCGGTGAATAAATCAAAGAGATATAATTCAGAAAAAACTTACCAACTAAAGGAATACTCAAAATCATCAAATGATACTGGTTTTGTTGATAAATCAAATTCTTTATATAATCCATTAGGTTAGTCAATATAAAATAAATATCTTATTAATTAATAGTTTATGTAATAAAAATATTTATATTTGTTTATTTCATTTTTTTAGAAGATACTGTTGATATTTCAACATTAAATAAAAAATATGAATATAATCATGATACGAACATCAACAATCAAAATTATGGTTATTTTAAATCTTCCCATGATTTCCAGTTACAAAACTCTTTAACTGAAACTGAAAAACAGCTAGTATGTAAAAATTAAGATTATTATATATTGAAATATTTTAAGCTGTCCAAAAGATCATAATCACAGTAAAAAAAATATTTAGATTATACAAAAGTTAGCGTCTGGTGGTTCTCGTGGTACTCAAGCATGTATTAATGCTGCAAGTACAGTATCAGGAATTATTGGAGATTTAGATACAACAATTCTATTTGCCACTGCTGGAACTCTTCACGCTGAAAATGAAAATGAAACATTTTCTGATCATCGAGAAAATATTCTTAAAACTGCTAAGGCTCTTGTTGAGGATACTAAAACTTTGGTGACCGGTATGTATTATACCAGTGTTATATATTATTTTATGATGAATCAAGTGTAAAAAATAATTTGTAAATACATTTTTTATCATTTAAAATTTTTATTCAACTTCTATATTTAGGTGCAGCTTCATCGCAAGAACAATTAGCTGTTGCTGCTCAAAATGCAGTATCTACAATTATACAATTAGCTGAAGTTGTAAAATTTGGTGCTGCTTCTTTAGGTGCTAATAATCCAGAAGCTCAAGTATGATTAAAATATTTTATTTCAAACAAAGACAATTGACATATTGTAATTATATCATTACTTTTAGGTTATGTTAATAAATGCTGTAAAAGATGTGGCTACTGCACTTGGAGATCTAATACAAGCAACTAAAGCTGCATCTGGAAAAAATATCAATGATCCTTCTATGAACGAGTTGAAGGATAGTGCTAAAGTAAACTATTTATGATACATATAAATCACCAAAGGATACTTTTTATTCATATCATTTTTATTAGGTTATGGTAACCAATGTTACATCTCTCTTAAAGACTGTTAAAGCAGTGGAAGATGAACACACACGAGGAACTAGAGCTTTAGAATCAACTATTGAAGTTATTGGTCAAGAAATTAGAGTAATTTTATTTCATAGATTTTTGTACTAGAAATTATTGGCTTTAAAAATTTTTCTGTTCGATTTAAATTATTACTGAATAAATATTAAAAGTTGATTAATTATTAAAAATTTAAAAAACTAATATATATATTTTACTATGTTGAAAATTTCATATAATAATCATATTTATTTCTTTGGTATATTTTTCTGTAATTTGTGTATTTTTTCTTGTGAATCAACAAAAAATTTTTTTATAATTTATTGAAAATAAAATAATTATATTTCTTTTTGTTTTTGCAAGTTAAATACATTAAATAAAATATATTAATGTCTTATTTCTTTTTTAGGCACTTAATTCGCATGAACCATATAAATCAACAGCATCAGTAGAAGATTTAGTTCGTTGTACTAAACCAATTACAATGGCTACTGCTAAAGCAGTTTCTGCTGGTAACAGTGGTAAACAAGAAGATATTATTGTTGCTGCTAATATGGGTCGTAAAGCTATATCTGATATGTTAACAGTTTGCAAAGTACTAATTATTGAAAATTCATGTTTTATAAATAACTTATTACATTAAAAAAAAAAAAATTAATAATTTTATTTAGGGTTGTAGTAATACTGTTGAAAATGCAGATTTAAAGATTCAATTATTAAAAGCGGGACAAAATATTGCTCATGAATATAGAACATTGTTGCAAACCGTGCTACAAATTGTATCAAAACCTAACTCTAGTACTGAAAATAAATCACAGCTGCAACTAATTTCTCGTTTGATTGCCCAATATGTCACAGAGTTGTTATCTGTATCTGAAATGATTAAAGGTATTATTTTTGATTACTTTATAAATAAGTAAAATGTAGAATCTATATATTTTTATTATTGCTTTTTTATATATTTTTGAGTTATTGAATTTTTTTTTATTAGAAATAATTTTACAATTATACTTTATTTTTTGCTATAATTAAGACTTAAATTTATAATTTCTTCTTATTTAAAGTTGTGAATCTGAGTTTTATTTTTTCATTAATTAAATAATGATAATTTGAAATTATTTCATGTATTAAAAACTAAAATGCACATATTTTTACATTTAGTAGTTATTAAATTGTATTTTTATTAAAGGTCATGATTGGGTTAGCCCTGAAGATCCAACCATAATTGCTGAAAATGAGTTACTTGGAGCAGCAGAATCAATAGATGCTGCTGCTAAAAAACTTGCTAGCTTACGACCAAGAAGATCAGTAAACGAAGTAAATCTTAAGAAATCTTTTAATTTTATGTTATGCTTTATTAGTTGATATTAATTTCTTCTTAGTTTTTTTAGAACCTTCATACTCTGTTGTTAAAATTTTAATTATTTTGTATAAACATTGCACAATAACTTGTTTAATTTAGATTTTTACAATCTATTTTAAGCATTATAATAAATTTTGGTTTTTTGTTTTCTTTTATAATAAATTAGAAAATGTCTTTTACATCATAATAATGATGTATGGTTATTCTTAATGTAACATTAAGTTTCTTTTGCACTTCATTACATATATATATAAATTATGTTATTCATTACTTAATACTTTTATATAAGTATAGATTTTGGCAAATATTGTTTATTGCTATTATTCAAAAAAAGTTTTTTGATAAATAATGTTTAGTATTGTAGTTGGTAATGAGACTCGTTAAATTGTGTTAAATTTATTAACAAATGAAAATAGAGGTATTAGTTGAAGTGTCTAAATATAAGCCATAAGTTGTACCAATGATGAAGACCTTTATCTATTAGTTTGATTAAACTACTCCATTCTAAACAATCATTCAATATTATTGCTCAGTTTTTTATCATTGTAAAGTATGCAAAAAAATCTGCTTTGGATTGTCCAAAACTGTCTTAAAGATCTGAAGCATATCCAAACTAGAAATGTGGTCTCTTATTACAAAACATCTAAGTTATTGAATTTTCATCTATGCCAACTATGTATCCAAGATATATTGTAATGTGTTATTCTGTTAACATATTTGTTTTCTACAAGAGCTGCAATGGAATTGAGTTCAAAACTTTCAAATTTTACATGTAATATGACTAGTTTTATTTAAATTTTTTTTTAATTATTGAAATTTAGCTTAAAAAGTTATATCTATTTATTTAACTTTAATATCACCATACTAATTACTAAATGGTTGAGAAATATTTTCACTAACTAATCATGTGATTCTGGTGATGGTTATAAATGAGTAAGCATATATCTCTATTTTGTACTAAGATTATTAATTAACTACTATTGCTGTTCTTTACAAATTTATCATATACTTATGCGCTTATAGATACTTACATTTAACTATATATTGTATTACAAAATCAATAAAATGTTCCAATTTTTACTTTACTGTTATTGTACTAATTTGAGCTTATTTTATATTATTTATATTTATTAATATGGCATAGGTTCCTTGGTGTTAGATATTTTTACATATAATACAAATACATTTAAATTTTTTTAATTACAGGAAATGGCAGAGTCATCATCTAATTTTGATGAAGTTATCTTAGAAGCAGCCAAGTCAATTGCAGCTGCTACTTCTGCCTTAGTAAAAGCTGCATCAGCTGCACAGCGAGAGCTTATTGATTCTGGAAAAGTAGGTTTTTAAATTATATTTTAATATTAAATTTAGATTTAACATTAAAAAAGAATGTTCTGTTGGTTGGGCTTATAATGAAATTTATTCAAAGTATTTTATGCAGTATTTATTTTAAAAATAATAGGTTAGTCGGCGACCATTAACTAGCTCTGATGATGGTCAATGGTCAGAAGGTTTAATATCTGCAGCACGTCTTGTTGCAGCAGCAACTCATAGTCTAGTAGAATCTGCAAATTCTCTTGTACAAGGAATATCAAGTGAAGAAAAGTTAATATCATCTGCAAAACAAGTTGCTTCTTCTACTGCACAATTGTTAGTTTCATGTAAAGTGAAAGCAGATCCAGATAGTAGTTCAACTAAAAGATTATTGGTACAGTATAGCTTTCAGAATTTGTTTTCAATATTAATCAAATAATAACTTTAAACTGTAAATTTACCTTAAGGCTGCTGGTAATGCTGTTAAACGAGCAACTGATAATTTGGTCAAAGCTGCTCAACAGGCAATTCAGAATGATGAAGAGAGAAGTTTAGTACTTAGTAAAAGAATGGTTGGTGGAATTGCTCAAGAAATAAATGCCAGGTACATTATTGTTTATATCTCACACCAAAATTAAAACTAGTAATTAAAATAAAAATCTTTTCTTCCAAAAATGTAATACATTTACCAGAATTTGGTGTTTTTTTTTATATTTAAAAAAAGTTGTTTATTTTATTTTAATTTTGATGCGTAGCTGAGAAGCTATTGATTTTATTCAGCTGTTGTTTTTTTTTTTTTTTTTTTGAGTCACTAAACACAATTATTCTGCTTCTACTAGATTCATTATGATATTTCAAAATGTATCTGATTGAAGCTATCAGCATTATTTGAGTTGTATTAATTTAGGTTTATTAAATGAAAATTATAATTAAAAAAATGTTTTTCACATTTATGATACAACTATTTTAATGTACCATAGATCTGAAGTTTTAAGAATTGAACGCGAATTAGAAGAAGCTAGACAACGTTTGGTTGTAATAAGGCAAGCAAAATATAAATCTAAGGGAGATGGAACAAGTCCTACAGATATGGAAAATGAATCTTCCTTTGACCATTATAACAGGTATTTTATCTTTTTATATTTGTTATTTTAAAACTAAAATGTTTCAGTGTTGTTGAATGAGTTTTCAGATTTATTTAATGTTTTCTTTTTGTGGTTTTTTATTTTTTGGACATTCTCTCCATAATATTATAATATTATTCTACATTTGTAATTTTGACTTCATTAATTTTCTGGTTAGGCTATGTTATTTTATATTGTACTTACTCAAATAAATTTAAACGATTTTGTCTTTCGTTTTTTAAAACTCTGACTTTTATCAATCTTATTAGTACAATTTTTTTTGAAATATTTTTAATTTTCTAAATACTGTTATATTTGTTTAGACATAGAGTAGTATTGGTTGAATTTCTGTAATGTAAATTAAATTTTAGTTTTAATACTAGATACCTATTAGGAAAAAATTTAAAATTTTTACCATTAATAAATTATATAATTATTCTGATAGAAATATTTAAAAAGTATCAAAATTAAACAAAAAAATTACCATTCCTTAAGTTCTTTTAACTATTTTAGTAAGTATGTTAAAATTAGTATTATTGTGTAATTGTGATATTATAAATCATAGTAGTTAATGATTGCTTTTTGTTTTTAACTTCATTTTTTTTATAAATATATCCAACTTCTTAGTGATTGATTAAAATTGATGCTAATTTATTTGTCTAAAATTGTATGTTTTTTGAAGTAAAAAAAAATATAAAGTAATTTTATAGTATTGATAACAGTTTGGATATGACTGGAGAGTTTCAATCAAATGCATACAATGTTTACAAATTGAACAACTTTAATGATGATACTAGTTTTAGTGATTTTAATGAAACATTCCATTCTGGCACAAATAAACTGTATTCATTTTCAGGTATTATTAGTTAAAGTTCATAGATATGATCTGCATTTGACTCTTCACAGCATTTAGTATTGCTGGGCCCTTCTTTCATATGTACTCTCAACTGTATATGTATGGCAATGAAATTCAATATTTTGATTTCTGCTTTACAAGTATCATATTGGCAGTATTAGTAATTTCTTTATCATACATTTTTATGATAAGCTTTTTGATTTCGATATTTTTATGCTAGAAATATATCCCTTTCATGATTACATTATAAAAATACTTTCTAAATTAATTTAAAAAATGTATGGCATTTATTTATAGTATATTTTTATTAAAGTCTAGCTATCATTACAATAATGTCAAAAGTATATCACTAATTATTTATTTGATAGTTTGGGGAACTTCATCATTACTTAAATGTGTATTTTTAATTATAATTAATCCTTTTACTTTTTTGTTATAAAAATATTTCAAAATTAATATTAGTAATTTTTTTAAAATCTTAAAAAAAATGTATTTTTATAATTTTAAGTAAAAAAAAAATAACAACTTTCTTTAGTATTTATTTTAAACTGAAATAATAATGGAATTATGCATAAAATTATTTAGTAAATGCTACATAAATCAATAATGTGAAGTAAAATATTCCTTAATGTTGCTCATCTATTGCTATTTAATGCTTCTATTATCATAGTAGCTTTTTTGAAACTAATATTTTTTACCATATTATAAATAGCCTTTAAACTTTCTTAATAAAATTGTACTTTGATAGTTGTACTTGAACATTACAAATAAAACTTGAAAATATATCAATGGTAAGTAATTTAGAAGTGATTGGTTTTGTCAGTAGAGAAATGTTGCTGTAGTTATATTTTATTTGTTCAATGCATGTATTTTTTAAACTAACCAAAATTACCTATCTAAAAGAAAAAATATTAGGGTTTTTACTTGTAATTAAAATGATGTTATTATTTTTTTAGACTCGAACCACAAAAATGTGTGTAATTCAACAACCACTTTTGAAAATACTATTAAGTATAACTGTTCAACTACAATCAATACAACTACTAAATCTTACTCAATGAACGAGTAAAAAGTTTTAATGAATCACAATCAGACTAATTAATTTCAAAAATTATTTTCAAATTATTTTAGGAAAGTGTTTGTGAAAAAGAATTTATATATATATATATCCAATGTTTTATTTTGTATTTCTATTTTATTATTGTGACTTGATTATTTTTCTTTGAAGACCTGTCTTTTTAAATTTATTTACTTATATATGTTATTAAAAATTGATTAGTTCCTAACAATTTAATTTTTAATTAACTAAAGTAATTTTTTTACTTAATGATTAATTATTTATTTATTATTGCGTGGTGTATTTTGCTTTTGCTATAAATCACTAAATTGTGTGAAGTAAATAAATATTTATTGTTATTATAGTATTTTCAATATCTAAATTCTAGTCAAAATATTATAAACTATTAATTAGTTATATTATTTTTAAATGAGCATTTTGTATTTTTGGGCAGGTCTCTGTTTTAAAAACCAATATTTTTATAAGAAATACTGAAGAAATAAAAAAATAAATTTATTACAGCTAGTTAAAATGTTAATCAATTCAATTATTTAATAGAAAATATTTATCTTATAACTTAAGTAATGTTCATAAATTATTATTTTAAAAATGGACTTATTTCCTTAAAATAGTTATAAGAAACCAGCTTTTATATTTTAGTTAAATCGTTTTTTATTTGTATTTGAATTATTTATTTATTTTTATATTATAATTATTGTGAAAAGAAGTATTAAACATTGTAATTGGTGTTTGTAAATATTATAGAAGTAATTAGTGAAACATTCAAGTATCTTAGCTATTGTGTAAAATTTATGAAGAAATTTAGTATTTTATTTAATTTTATGACTATTTGCAGTATATATTAATAAAATATTAATCTATTTTATTTAATAATGTTAATTAATAAAATTAATTTATAGGGAATTTTTAAAAATGTTTCTTATTTTTTCTCTTTTTGTTTTTGAACACTCCCATAACTGTTAACAAATGTTAAAACTCAATATCAGTTTAATAATACTGACACCTAGATTTTAAATCAAAATAATAATTAAAAATTGTTATTAATTGACTTTATTAATTTAGTCAATATATAGTTATGGTATATATCCTTAGCTAAATTAATTGTTTCTATGTGGTATAATATGTATCTAAAAAATTTCTCTTGTATGAAACATCATTCACATAATGTTTTAATTAATAAAAACTGTATGTATTGCAAAATATACTCACCTTACTAATAATTTGTCTTTGTTTTAATTTACGAGTATAACATTATATTTAAATAATGAATAAAAAATTGTTTGTTTGTATTAAGATGTGTATTTTTTATTATTAAAGAAAGATACACTTATGTGAAGTGTATATACAATATAAGATAAATTCATTTAATAACTTAAAATTTTGATTCTGAATCATTTGAATCATTTTAATTGCAGAAAATACATAGATAATTGTAGTAATGGTGAATGTTTTACACTTGTGCAATTCTTAGGTAAATATCAATGTGGTTATGACTATTGCAGATATCCATTGGCCATGAAGGTAAGGATAAAAAAGAATATTGGAATGACCGCCCATGATTTAATCTGATCAGCCGCCTCGTTACAGTTGTCTTCTTCGCAAAAACACATGTGGCCTGTACCTGTACCTTCCATCATACAAACGTGATCCACCATGAACAAGTTAATTTGTAATTTAGATGTACATGTTCTCTTGACATTTTCGTAATCTATCGAATACAAATATTTTTTATTCTATGAATAAAAAACAAAAATTTTGCTCGTTCATTTAATTTTTCTGAACAATAAATAATACTTAAAAAGAATTCTTATTAATTTGCATGATCTATTATGAATTATTTGAATAAAAACAAATTATTTATATATATTTTCAACTCGTTTTCGCTGAACATTTTAGTAAAGAAAGGAACGTATAAGAAGTATAACAAAATCTTACATTGTATATTCCATTATATTAGTATAACTTACTTTTTTGTCTTGGAGTGCTTAAGCCTACTAAGCCCACCAAGTACACCTCGTGCGCACATCTAGACAATTTGCAATTTTCAAATTGCTTTGAAGACAATTGACTATACTAATATATGATAAAAGGCTAAATGTTTCACGGAGAACTTACCCGTTTTAACAAATCGTACCATTTTCACACAACACCCGTTACAGCTATGCAATGGTGGTTGATCCTGTGGCATAGCTGTGTAGTTGAATGGATCTTTACATCGAGGATCGATGGCACTGTCGCATTCATAACAGTAGATCGACCGCGCTAAAACACCAATTTCGAAAAAAAAGGTCTTTATTAAAAAAGGAGTTTAGACATAATTTAGTTGGATGAAATGGACAATATCTGTGTTAAATGAATGTATAATAAAACAAGAATATTTACTAAAAATATTGTGCGATTTTGGCGACACATATTTTACTAAAATCTTTATGATAGCGTTTTAGTTAAAAATCGTAGATGAGAACAGAGAAATAGAACTGAATCAGCAAATTATGTAACATATAATTGATGTTACCAACTCATAAAATTATTGTATAAATGGGAAGTATTAACAGTTAATTGTGCGACTGATTGTATCAAGAAAGTTCAACTCTTACCTTTTAGAATAATTTTTTAAATAGTTATCAATTTGTTATCATAAATCGATCAAAGATTTTTTTTCATTAAAACTATAAGAGTTAATGTAGTTTATAATATTGTCAAATTATTTTGGTGTTATTTTATATATTTTGGTAAGTTATAAGCTTTCTTTAACTAATTATAAGTTAATTGATTATGCTTTATTATATTACGGTTTGAAATGGATTAATTAGAAAAAAAAAATTCAAGATAGGAAACTATAAAATACGATCTAACACTGTGTAAAATTGCTTTGAAACACAATTAAATTTCATTAATGAAATATAAACGTATAAAATGTATAGTTTTAAACTATGAAGAAAACAAAAAAAAAATGTCGTTTCTTTTATAGAATATATGGATTGAGTAGGTTTTCTACCTATACTAGTATAGTAAATAACTACGAATACTGAGTTATTTCAATATTTGATTGATTTAAAAAAATGTATTTTTTCATACTGTACTACAAATAATTACACAAACATATTTTTAAAAAATCTATAGAAGAATAATCGGTAAAGTAATTTATAGCGGCTAGAATAGTTTAAGTTAATCAAACATGGGGACTTACATTATTATAACTAAAAAATATTTAGGGGTTTAAACACTGGACGCCCAATACTCTTCTAAATATTTAAATTTGTCTTATGTAATTGAATCGATGATTTTTTAAGTCGGTAATCAGCGATGCGAGTAGAATTTTTTTTTAACAAAGTTGCCTGAATACTTTACAGTCTGCCCCTAAGATATAGAAATGATTGTTAAATAAAAAGTAATTTATGGCGAAAGTTGTTTTTGTAATTAATTGAATTTGTGTTAGATTTTGATTGCTTAATCATTTTCGATCTAATTTTGGAAGCGGGTTAAGACTTTAAGCTGATTTCCCAAATAAACACCTAAGATATAAGAACCCTTGTACTGAGAACTGATTAAAATAACCATATATGCGTCCCGACCGTGTATTTTAATTCACACGCGACTAATTAAATATTTTTACTGCACTTGGTATTTAAAGACGAATTTTTGTCATTGAAGTTAAGGTAATTATATTTGATATCTCTGACTAAATATTTAATGACGAAATGAAATATATATAATTCTCAACGTAAGCACATAGAGTTTAAATTTTGTACACGTAACATTAAGTAGTATTTTATAGCTTTGCAAGGATAATTTGAATTGCCGAAAGAAAATAAATACAATTATTTAATGTCATAAGAGTCTTGGAAAATTAGTATACTTAAAATTGTTTGTGATACTGAAATATTTTTTCAAGTACTTTACCTTGGTAAGCTGAGCATTCTGTACTAAGGGACTTTACGACAACGGGTACGAGTCCGACGACAAATAGAACAGCTAAACAGCTACGGTTCTTCATAAGACCAACGTGAATGCCAATGTTTTATTCATAATATCATTAACGCGAGATTAAACAATTCTAATTTTATAAGTTTTGTTTTTCCATTGGTATAAGTACGTTCTATAGTAAAATTGGCCAGCAGTAAGCTTACCGTCCTTACGGACGCAAAACGGTCAAATTTGCCGTCAAGGTACAAGATATGTGCAATAGTAAAAAAAAAAAAAATATAGCAAATTGTCGGATTTATAATATCCGGATTACCGCAAAATAGCAGTGAAATATTATTTTTATTATTGTGTCATGCAGAGACAAACGAATGTATTACAATACATTTTCAAGCATTAATTTTTTTTTATGTATATATTATAATACAACGTTTGGCTATGTGTTTATCTTGTGTGTTTTTTTTACTCACGAGGAAAGCACTCCTGTCTGGACAGCGATATATTAATTATAATAAACACGACAGCTGAAAAACAAATAAATTAAAATTAAAAAAAAAAAAATTTTCTACTTTAATCTATATTGTTGTAATTAATCTTAGCTAACGACATTGCGAAACCGTTAATTATTGTTGTTTACTTTTGAAATGGTTATTTTTACTCGCACATTAACAGTCAAAATACAAATTATTATTTACGTCTTCAGTCACAGCGTATTAGTTGCGATAGAAAATCGTGATTTTTAGAGATATTTATTTATATAAGTGTTTATCATAATACCAATCAATTGCTAGCAAAATGAATAAAATATCGAGAAAATACACTTTTTTTTTTAGTTGTACATTTTCTCGGAACACTCTGTATATTCATGGTATTGACATTTTTATGGAAATTCTTTTATTTATATTGTAATAGGTTTTAAAAAAATTTCAAGTAGAGTGCTAAGATGTGTATCAGGATACACGACAACAAATATTTCGTGGAAATCGTACAGTATTATAGAAAATGATTTTGAATCTAGTAACTTGACGAATCTACTGAAGAAATTACAATAATTATAATAGTTTTACATGTCTTTATTAATATTTAAATTCGTCACACGCCTTGTAAAACTAAAATATATTGAAAATAAATCATGAAATATTTTTCAAATAATTGATTGTGAATGGCTTCGGCTCATAATAATATTCATGATTTAATTTAAAGTATTTATCTCTGTTTAGGTTTTTATTTAATATTTGAGTTATCTCATTAGTTTATTTATTTAGCATTATACAAGTTTATTGGTATACGAATAACTGTATAATTTTGGTCGGTCGTACAATGCCATATTAAGTACAGATTAACAATAAAGTAAAAAAATTGAAGAAAAAAATGTGAATTTTACGCTGATAAATCAACTAAACGTTCTATCAAATATTGGCAGTAAGAAGAGCGGCTTGTCGATTATATAAATTTGACCGAAAAATTTAATATGTACGTATCAGAACGTGTAGACTGAACGAAATCTTCTTGACCCGAGTTAAGATCTTTTTCGAATTTGTTGAAAAGATTCAGGTTACCCGTGAGAGTTTTTATAAGAATTTTCATTAAAACATCGGATCGTTCCTTCGAGTGTTGTATTACCTTCCGTGAAGTACGTTTATTTCAATTATTGTTAATCCTAAGTGTTTTTTTGCCGGCTATCAATTGTTTGTGAGTTTCTAGTCTACGTCATTTATCTGTTTCGCACGTATATCTAATACACTCGACTTCAAGATGAATACTATAAAAAATATCGTACGGAACAACATGTCCTTGTGTTTACAATATCAATCATTCTAACTAACAAAGAAACCTCAAAGTGTTAAAAATATAAAGATGAAACACACCAATCGAATACTGTAAAGACTATTAAAACGAATATGAGCTATCTCCCGCACAAGTTTGTTTGCCAAAAGAAAGTAACGCAAATTATCATCACCCGGTAATTGCCAGGGCTTAGCCGGCGTCGAGAAGTGTTAATGGTTGCAAAGCCATTAAATGTTCTTTAAGTCGATGAAGTAAAAAGTTTTCTAAGCGGTATAAAGGCGAAACTTTTCCTAAACCGTATAATAATAATAATAACTATACGAATTCATGTTCTAGTTGCAGCAAAACGACTAATGCGTGCACACGGTAATTGTACCCACACTGGAGTCCTATTTGTATGTGGTAGATTGTTATTAATTTTCTTCTTTCATCCCTCAGGAACAATTACGGCCGTTTTGCGCACAACGATCGTTTCGTGGTATGAATTAAGGATGATTATCGAATTATATTTTAAAGTTGAAAAACTTTTAGAAAAAGCGACCAATCCTACGTAACTTAAATTGCGACGAGAGTATTTCCTTTTAGGCGTCAAATGGGTCGTTATTTGATTAACATAAATATGCGGTAAATACAAAGAAAAAAACAGGTACCCGAGTACGCAAAGTCGACCAAAAATGAAAAGCTTTTACAAGGCGAGTATTCAGTCGACATATTTGCGATGAACTCTACGAAAGCAATGAGAGTTAATTGACAAGAAAAGGGACGGCGCAAAAAAAGGAAAGAGATGATTTTATTTTTCTTGTTGAATCTATCTTGACTACGAATTCATTTTCAATTCTCAAAACAAAATTTACTATGTCTTTAAATATATACGGACGAATTAAAAGTAAAATGTCCAAGTAAAAATATCTGCTGGTTGGTTTTCTTCGGTCTGTCTTAAACAGTCGAATAAAATTGAAAATAAATTCGAGGAATAAAAAAATGAACCAATTGCTCACCAACATAAGCGTACGCAAGTCTTTGTTTTTGGACAGGGGCCATATTTTTTATCGAGTTCCACAAGTGATTAATACTGAGATTCGATTGAAACATAAAACAATTATGTTATTGGTATAGAACTTGTTTGTAATATAGTGGCGGTGTACATCGTTTCCACACAGGGCAAGGCCCGTTGATTTCTGCCGTGCGTACGCTTATGCTCAGCAACCGTTTAAAAAACTATTGAATGTCTTGATGTCGAGCGAACCGTATCTCTGAGAATTGCTAGCGTAAGTTTCTATAGAACATACCCAGAAGGTTTGTCTACCGTTAGTGTTATACAATGTGCTGTCGGTCGTGTATCGTTCACGATCACAACTGCTATCAGCTATGGATCGTACACAGTGTTTCAGTGCCGGATCGGATCCAAATGACGAGCTGAAACGGGACACAACGGCAACACGAGTGTTTTACGGAAAAACAAAATCAAAGAGAGAAACGTCGACAAATGTAAATTGGCTTAACCGGTCGATGGCATTTCGCAGCCAGCCGCGCACATGTGTCACTGCGCTAAATGTCTATCCGTCCAAGATCAACACGGTGGCCGCCGCAGTGCGCATACTATTAATACATTAGGCGGCGTGTAAAAATAAATTCATCGTGGTAGTGGTTGTCTCGTGGACTCTGGCCAACATCCGAAAAGGCGCGACACGCGCCACAACGCTCTTTTGTGCGAACAGCGACGAGGGGGGGGGGGGGTTCCTAGGAAAAAATCCACATAGAGTCGCGTTGCACGGTAGACCGTAATGCTGAAAACTCGTGTACACAACAACAGGTACCGGAAACAGTTGCGTGTCCACATAGGAGCCTCTACCTCTGTGGCAGTTGCCCCGAGAAGGGCGACTCTGAGACTTTTGGAGACGCCAAGGCCAATGAACGCGATAACACTCGGGCATATGTTAATGATCTTGCGTTTATGTATGTTATGTGTATTTCAATAAGCGAGATATCTAAGGATTATTGAAGTGGGACGGTCAAACGTTTTTTTTTTTTTGGGGGGGGGAGGTAAGCTGACAACGGTTTTTTGATGGCTGTCTGCCTTGCTCGAGAAACAGTGTCATGGGGACATCGAATATAAACTGTCCCGGGACGCCGAAACCCACTGAATACGCCACTGACCGGAAAGGGACAATTACACGCGTTTAAGCTTACGCTATTTAATTAATGCGTTGCGATCGAGTCGGATAATTCACTTTTGATAATACTGTACGAATTTGCCATTCAAGTGGGGTGCAGTTTGTACCCATCGGTTGGGTTGGTACTATCTTGGGGCGGTCCAAGATAGTAGCCGCAATGCCGTCGAACACTTACCTGTGAGAATCGACCGCATTTTCTGGGTTGCAGTTCACATTCACCACGTAAACGTCGGCCGTTGGTACCGTGTGCTGCAAGTCCTTCGACAGGGGCGCGAAAACCCTCCGGGTCGGCTGAAAAAAAGACAACCGCAACATATTCTATACGAATGCACACTCGATGAGTGTTATTATTGGGTTTAGAGCCGACGAGGTCGACACTGCTGTCACGATCGACGACATTTCTTTTTTTTTTTCACTCTAATTTCGTTCCGCCTTCACAATGCCAAAAAACAAAAGCCCCCACTTACAAATGCATTAACGATCAAAACCTTAACGACCAATGGTGTGTCACAAGTTCAACAAAAAAAAATCAAAAATAATACATATTTTTACGATCGGACTTTTAAGTAAAACTCCAAGAAATTTAAGAATTACAAACAAAAACATATTTTTAAAACTAACACTCATAATAGTCTTTGCGCGTAACACTGTCAGTCGAGACAATTAGGTCATCGAATTTAATGTTATATGGTTCAAAAGCTTTAGCATCCTATTGAACTTTTCGTTTTTGGATTCAAGCCAATTTAAAGTAGCTTACATTAGGATTCTCGTGACACATTTGGATATGATATATTTAGTCAATTAACTACTAAGGGTTAATTGAATTCGCAAATGTATTAGTTGGATAAAGTAAAAACGACAATTGTATACACCATAACTTTTTATAAAATACAACAAGTATTGTTGGGCCGTGTTTTAAGCCAATATTATCCAGAATGGAATATTCTGTGGTACACTTAGTGTGCATTACAATTATTTGCAAATTCGTATACTATTCGTGACAGTTTGACGTTATAGACAATTTCTGAGTAATTTGGAAAAATGTGATCGTTGATTTAATGTAGTAAAAAATAAAAAATCCAAAACCTGATGGATAAAACAATTGCAATGTAATCTAGTCGTCTCGCCATGTTTAAGTATGAATTGTTTAAAAACGGATGTCCATTCTAGTGTAAATGGTTAATTGAAATTGACTATTATTCTTGGTTGACGATTGAAATAACTAGTTGAATAAAATTACATCTTAAGAGCTATAACCTAATACAATGTCAAAGACCTTCCCTTAAAAAAAAAAAACAGAGTTCACTCGTCGGGTGTAGTTAAAAAAAAATATCGTCAAGTTCTTTCGTCTAATTACAAAAAAAAAATGTTGCAATAATGAAATAAGTCTCATTTGTTTAACTGACCAAGTTATTGGTGTTTTTTAGATCCCAGTACTTATATAATGGGAAAGATTCAAGGACTTTTACTATATCAGGATAAATATTTCAACTCAAACGCAAGCTTTTTACGCCAATAATTTCACTATTGAATCAAATTTATGACTTCAACAAAAATTTGAAGTATAAATGAATTCTGTGAATTTTTTTAATGAATTCAGGAATGCCCTGTACATTATTAGGCTATAACAAGCTCAGCGACGCAATACCAATGTCGAACTTCCAGCTCATAACACTAATGAATGAAATAAAACAGAAAAAAAACCTGATTTATGACCCTCTAAAGTTGTTAGAAACACTTGAAAGTAAGTCAGACGCCCTCGGTCATCGTTGTGGTTAATTCAACGGGCGCTACGCACTGCTGCTAACATCTGAACACCTGAACGACGATAATTATTTCCAATTTTCAAAAAAACACAAACAACAAAAGATACAGATAATATCTGTCGCACCGCGATTTGACGGATATGCGGACGAATGGCTCTGGATGAGAAGATCAGTTAACGATTTGCTGACACACAATGCTACGGGTAATTTTATTTTATTAGTTTATCGAGAGAGGGACCGCGTTTAATTTGTATTCATTGTGCAATAACACAAACCAGCTACGTGCTATTGTACACGACTGTTATTTTCGGTCATAGTTCAATTTGTGGTTCGAGTCAGATAAGAAAACGTATCGTTTTGTGAGATACGCTGAACTTGTACCACTACAGTTTTATCAACAAACTTTATTACTTCTAGTCTTAGGTCTAAGGTTCCACACAATAACTAGTAATCAGTAACGAGAGTAAGTGACGTTATTGCAAATCTTTTTCGAAAGTACACTTTGAAATATTTCTTATGATTATTTTTTAGTTGTCAAACAACTGTTTTTCGAAAACAACAGTAATACTCGTACTGCACTGTTGAATAACGAGAAAAAATATGAACAAATAGTTTCTATTAATTATTTCGTTTATTATTATAGTTTTACAATGTTAATTCGAACATTTCCAACAACCCTTAAAATATTCATCTATTATTTGAAAACAAGTTTTTTTCCTGTCTTTTTGATCATAAAGGTCAATCATCTCCAGCAATTCTATAAAAATTTAATTATCTTTATTAAATCCATTATTTTAAAAATAGTATTGCAAGTCAGTATTCTAAAATGTATTGATCATTAAAGGTTAACAATTATTAAAATAAAAATAATATTATTAATAAATTGAGAAATAATATATACATATAATTTCATTGTGAATTATTTAGAATAAAACAGAGGTAAGGCACAAGTTTAATTTATTTCTACCAAAAATAACTTTTTAGCTGCGCAACCAATACGCCCAAAATTTAAAAAATAATAACAATTTTATCGTTTTCTAAAAAATGATTTTAGAATACAAATACTCTTTTTTCTTTATAGTTTTACGAAAATATTTTTCACTATATAAAACAGTAAAATTATCGAAAAATATCCTGAGTTATAAATGCTCTCGTGTAAAATAAATAAATTACTTTTATAAGAACAATATTGAAATAAGTTAATAATATATAATAAATATAAAACACAATGCAATTTTTTCTCTACAGAGTTATTACTATCCTACGTTCTATAATTGCTAGAAAACTAGTTACCAGTCGTTTTCTTAGTTACATTTACACTATTCGATACAGTTTTATTTGACCAAATAGTTATAAGTGTTGCCAAATTGCGAAATGTATATTACTCCTGTAATATCAACCGGATACCGAATAGTTTGTAATAGGTTAAAAGTTGTCAGACGTTCCAGAATGTCTTTAAAAATTTAGTTGAACATTTTTTTTTACATGCGAAGGTGGGCTCCATCTAACTCTCTCCGTACTTAGGTTTTTCATTCGATTTTCATTAAAAAGAAAGATTATTGTCTCTAGTATACTGTATTAAAATTTATTAGGATCAGCACTTTAAAAAAGATATAGTCGTTTTAAAATGTTTCAAAATGCCATTTTTTACGATAGTGTATTTTTGAGATATTTTTATAATTTCTAAAATCTAGTGGGTTCTTTAAAATTTTCTGTGCTGATCAATTCAACTAGATTAAAATCGAGTTCTTTTAATGGTTTATCCATTAAATCGATCCAATAAAAGTTAAAAATATTCATAGCCAAACATAAAAAAACGCACACAATGATAAAACCACTATTTTTTCAACTTAGAATAAAGCTAAAAAAGATTTGATACTCTTATAAGGTTTAAAGGCAAAATTTCAAAAATAATTAAGAACTGATTAATATAAAATATATAAATACTAAAAGTAATTTTCTTAGCATAAATATTTCTAATCATCATAAATAAGTGAAGTAGTTAAAAACTATTTAATATTTAAAACATTTTAAAAACACGGCAATTTTAATAGGCAAAAGTTAGCTGAATTAATGAATTAAAACAAAAAATAATTACATGTACATATATTTTTTGATAGTTTTATTTTAAGTAATCTAGTATAAAAACAGAGAGTTTTAAAAAATTGAGTTGTATAATTTTATTATTTTTGTTAAGTATTAAAACATTAATTAGTTATTTGAATTTGTATTATTCATTAAGATAATTTATTTTTATACACATTATTGATCATTGTTTCAGTTTAAAGAGTTTATATTTTACACATTGTTCTAGTTAGTATTTTAATTATTATTATTGAGTTAAACGGGTAGTTATTGATTTATATATTATTTAGTGTGCCAACGAGGCAATTATGTAATTATTAATTTATACATATTATTGAAAATAATATGTATTTATTATTTACATTATTTGAATACATTTCTGTGATAACTACACACCTAGTCATTTTCATTGATAGTTTTAAGTTACCTCTGTTACCTGTCTCACACACTCTTTTGTTTACTGTAGACGACCCCTCCGGCTTCAATTATGGACGTGTGTGAGCAGAAGTTCCCTACCTACTCATCTACTCAGTCTTTATAGTGCTTTAGGGCCGATGTAAGTGGAATAGGGTTTGTAGCCTCCCGCCCGTACAGAGGGATAGGACCAAATGGTTTTCTGGAAATTATAGAACGTAGGATACTATTAACTTGAGAAAAGAAATATATAATATTATCTCTTAAATTTATAAAGATATTGCCTGAGCCATATTTAAACAATTAATTTATATATTAAATCAGTAATACTTCTTTTTGAGATGAAACCATTTCCGTTTTTAATTGTATTAATAAGTGTCGTTATTTCCCTATCATTTTTTGGATAGTTTAAATCAGTCGAAAATTGTTCAAAGTCTTCAAGTAAAATGTGTCCATCTCCTATAGTGTTTAATACTTCCAAGGCTCTTGATAATATATCAAATTCATTATTTGTCATCATTTTCAGATATTCTTTAAATTCCAATACTCCATTTCCTAAAAATCAATTATTTTATTAATCATTTTTTTAAGCTAGTTCTTAGTCGAGTTTATTACTATAAAAACAAATTAATTCTTTTTTTGTTCAGTTAAATAATAACTAAAAATAACTTGGAATTAAAATATGAAACTAAATAGATACCAGGTACAAAACCGGGAAAATGTAAATAACTTAACATGATATTACTGGTCGCCTAAATTACTTAATACCATTTTATCATTAATATGGTAATTGATATTTATAAAGTTACATCTAGACGGCATTTTGTTCTGATAACACGTGCAAAATGAGCGGAACATATTCCAAAGACGGTTATGATAGCAGAAAGGACTTTATCTAATTGACTGTTTTCGGATCACAGTGGTTTCTCTTATTCTTATGCAGAAAAATATGTTGTCTTTCTTAAACCGACTTGCACAACTACGTTTACCAATCCTCGGCGCAAATGTTCCTTCTATATCTTCTATGATATTATTTTATTTATTTTTCGCATAAAATTTACACTTTTAGAAAAGTCTATGGATCTTGATAGAAAAGTTTTTACCAATATACAATTAATGAATTTATTTAAAAATATTTTTTAAACTTGAACTTCTAAAAATAAGTTCAATTTTATATAAATTAAAAACCTAGTTCAAAAAAAGTCAATCATAATTCACATAACCTATATTTATTTTCGTTCAATTAAAACGAATTATAAAATATGAAATTGTTAAAAAATTGTAAAAAATGAATTAGTTCATTTCAAGATCTGATTAATAATCAATAAAGTAATTGAAATTTGAACGTCACATACTTCAAGAAATGTTCATCNTGATTAATAATCAATAAAGTAATTGAAATTTGAACGTCACATACTTCAAGAAATGTTCATCAAGCTATTAAATCATAAATTATTAATTTGTATACAATATATTTATTATATATAAAGTTTATTACTTATAAAGTTTATATAAATTTATTATTTCATATAATGTAATAGTTAATAATTACTGTTTTTATCGTATTTCAGTAATATTTCTTCTATTTCTTTTTCAGACATTTTTACCAATGAACGTAATTTATCATTATCTAAATGAAGAACCTGATCTGGATTATTTGGGTTTCTTTTACCAAACCATTGAAATGATTTCAATAACCGGTTGGCCTGTTCATCACTAAATTTGTTGATCTATAATAATATATATTATATAAATTGTGTTCTCATAATAATTTCAAGATAATAAATCACTCAAAATTTTAATGAACTAAACTACACATATGTGTGGACATCCGAATAAAACTCCTTCTTCTCCTTTTTCCTCGTCTTAATCCCAACTACAAGAGGGTCAGACACCCTTATGCTAAATTTCCACTTGACACGATATTCCCACATCACCTGCGCTCACATCATCCGTCCTCATATCGCATTTAATGACATCTCTTTTTTTGGTCTTCCTCTACCTCTTCTTCAATCAACATTCATTTCTATAACTGTTCTTATAGCTTCCGATTCCTCTATCCTCATAAAATGATCATCTAAGTCTATTTTCTCTCATCTTATCTACGAATGACGCTATACATATACTCCCTCTTATATGTTCGTTCCTTATCCTATCTTCTCTAGTCACTCCGCTCATCAATCTAAGCATTCTCATCTTTGCTACACTTATTATCTGCTCTACTTTCTTGTCAACCACCCAACACTCTGAACCATAGATCATATCTGGTTTCACTTCAGTCTTATAGAATTTACCTTTCAGCCTCATTGAAATTCTTTTATCGCATAACACACCAGACGTTTCTCACCATTTCAACCACTCGCACTTTATCCTGTGTCTTACATCCTCATCAATACCATCACAATTAAATATAATATGATATTGATATTTAATAATTTTAGTATTGCCATTTTTTCGGAGAATTTATAAAAAATTATAAAGTAGTTATTACTTTTATGTATATGTATTTAAATGTGTATAAAAATTGAAGGGCTTGATAATTTCGTATAATTTTATCTTCTATACAAAACTATGAAAGTATTAATTTTACTTTTTCTTAGGTCTCACTTGAACGATATTTTTCAACGATATGTCAAAAGAACACAAACTTTATCTAGTTGAAGCTATTACCCTCAATTTTTCTCGTTCCCTGAAAACAGGCAAATCACCAAAAAAATGGCAATTTTTAAAATCGGTAAATTTTAACATTTTTTTCAGTTTTTCTTTCTTAAAACTGCCATAACTTTTTCAAAAATGAATATAACAAAATAATTTTTTTTTTTAAATAGAAACCTTAGGTATTTTTCTTTTATTTGATATAAATTTTTTGAATTCCTGACTATAGGAGGGAATTAAATATAGCAAATTTTTCACAAAAGTCATTGTTTTCAACTTAAGTTTTGAAAATGTTCCACAAATACTGCGCTCTTTAAACATATGTTAAATAAGCTTATATTACGTACTATAAGTTAAAAAAAAAATTGTCCCGGCGATCAATTTCAATATGCAAATAGCTGCCGAAGTTAATAAACATGCTGTTTTTGTGTTCAAATTTGAGTGTTTATTTTAAAATAAAGGGGTTTCCATAATAATGAGGCCACCGTTTGTATAAAAGTTACACGAATCAAATTTACATTGAATATAAGTATAAACTTATTTTTAATATTTTGCATCCTCTAAGTTACAAAAAACGGCTTTTAATTTTTAAACTAGTTTAAATTTATCTTTTTAGCTATTAATGATTGTAATTGAACAGTTGCCGCATCGGTAACAATACCATTCCATTTATTCTGTGACAATACAGTCTATTACGCTCGGAGTACAAAGTTCAAACCTCACTCGTCAAAATGACTTTTTTGCATTTTTTCTTAATTTTATTAAACTAGAGTACATTTTGCTTTTAGAACAATCCACCAATTTCGTAAAATTAAACACTATCTACAGATATGCATCGAAGAGTTTCTAATGATAGTTACTTTAATTACTGTCAGATATCATCTATACTTGTCCCAACTATGCCACGTCCATACTTTGCCGCTACCCAACTGTGCTACCGTTTGTTTTTTTACTATAACTCGATATAATAATTTAAAATCATTTAAATTAAAAAAATAATAATAATTTTGTAATATTTTGTTGAGAGTTTAAAAAAATATATAATAACTAAAAGTTATAAATAAAAAAAATTCGTGTATTTACTCAACTAACGTCTATTTTCTGAGCATTTACGAAAAAGGCATCCAGTGAAAATAAAACAAGAACAATTTTCAATAACATATTTACTATTATAAATTTTAGAAAATTGAAAATATCGTCTTGAATGGTTCGTAATAAATGTCTTAAAATACTAAATATATAGAGTAAGGTTGTAAAAATTTTTTACGTTTAATTTGTCTTCATGCGCCAAAACACGTATGTGTTATTTTATGTAGTCATTCGAAAGAAATAAATCGTAAAATTATTATTTTTAAACACTGTAACAAATATTTATTTTGTTTGAATACAGTGTTTTCCATAGACTGTAAAAATAATTTTCATTATTAGGATGAGGTCTCATTGTAAATATTTATTTAATATCTTAATAAATAATTTCGTTTGTTTACCATACATGTTCACATCAGGATAATCATTGATCAATTACTGTTTTGTTGCAAATTTTTAAATGAATACGCAATAATTTATTTTTCATTTTACGTTACACGTTAATTTTTTTAATTACAGACTGGGCTTTTTGGCATCCAGGATTATTCATGTTCACAATTAGACTAGTTTGCTGAATGGTTTTATAATAATAAGGTAATGTTTCAAATATTGATATTTAGAACTATAAATTATTTTTCAATAAAATAAATTCTCGAAAATATTTTATATTATTTTTTTACAAATTCCTTAGCGTGCAGTTTTATATTTAAGACATTTTTCTTAAAATAAAACATTTTATGTTATATATTTTTGAAATGTCTTTTCGATCTACACACGTATGACAGGACATCAGCTATTAGTGGCGATAATTTTAGTGGTTTGTCACAAAATTAGATCAGCGACTGTCGGGAAAGTACATTTCCACTCTGATGCGTTTAAATCCTATTCGATGAATTGATTGTGGTGCGAGTTCCTTAATCATTTCTAAGTACACATTCGAGTTATGACAGCAATAATGTGAAAATAACTATGACCCCTTTTTCAATATTTTTCGCGTCGGTATCTATATAAAGAACAATTTACTTGGTTTTATTAATTTGTTCAACTGACGTGTTTTTGTGATACTAAATCGATCGTTCAAGTGAAACATAAAGAATTTATTGTGTTGACCAAACTCAGCACAATCAAGAACTACACACGAGGAAACATAATCGGAAGTAAACCTTTCACCGAGTTCTCTTTAGTATTCCCGAGGGTAGTTTCTCGGAAACGGACCGAGTACATGTATGTTATTATGTAATTTTTGAGTATAGAGAGTTTGAACACCCTTTGAAAACGTTGCTAATATGGTTTTAATAGTTAAGTACTAAACTTATATTATGTTCATATTATACGAGTAAGTTGCAACGCTGTTTTTTTTTTTTGTCATTTTATTCTTCAAATACATTAATAAGTATAATGTTATACTGTTTTTTGTTATTTTAAACTTTTATATCTACCCTACAAAATGTGATACTAATATAAACTGTAACATATAATGAAAATTAATACTATGACCCAATTTTAACCTTACAGCTTTGATGCATAACTAATAGCTTTTTTTTTGTACAGTATTCCTAGTTATGTTGTAGATTACAAAAATACCGGAAACTTATACTTGAAAAATTAATTTTTATATTAAAATGTTTGTATTTAGAATAAATTGACATTCCTCGGTAACATCGAGTATTGAAGACTACATAAATTGCATGAGTTGAGTTCATTAATATTTTTTTTGTTAGATTAGATAAAGATTTAAAAAAATATTTCTACACATGAAAGTAGTATTCTACCCATGTAAGAAGACTGTATCAGATTAATATTCCACATTTGGCTGTACTGAATTATTTTCTACTTAATTGAACAAAGACATTTTTCTACCAATCTTAGAAATTGTGATGCTTTAAACAATATAACAAAACTCAAGTCAATTAGCACTTCTGTTGTATTAGTAATTCATTAGTTTTATTTCAATTTTAATAAAATAAACTATGTCTACCCCAATATTCGAGCAAACTCCATCTGTGAATATTTCGTAGTGTGATACATTACAACTGCTCACAAATTACAATACACCAAATCGACTTACATAAGCTTATTTATAATACAACGGAGAATTTTTCTAACAACTTAACGTTATATCGAGTGCACACGAACACTATACGAAATTAATAAAACGTCTTAGTGTGCGTGATATCGATGTGCTGTGTACAGAACCGAACTTATCCCGAACACACATATACCTAACGGAAATTACAATTAAGTTGTTTAAACTCTGTCACGGAATGGCTCAACATCATTTTGGATTAAATTACGGTAAAATTTTTTTCAACGAGTTTGTTTTTCGAAATGAGACACGTTGGAGGAGTGTGGGCGTTTTTCAAATAACGATAGCACTGTGGATGGAATACGTGCATGGTAAAGTGTATGTGTAATAATGGAAAATCGGAAAATAATAAAAAATTAGTTGTAAAAATATCCTATTCGACTAATAAGCTGCTAATCATACCGTTTTATTGGATAAAATGCGGAAAATAAATTGTTTGGGTGCTCGTGGACATGTGTCTACTATTTGACTGTTTACGACTTGTACTACTGTTGAAATTTGCAAAATACTGTAAATTCTATCTAAAAAAATGTACTCATATCAGGTCAATTCCAATTACTCGATGTTTCCAATGCCGTATTTGAGACCTCGCCTCATGAAGGGAGGGGGGGTATTAAAGTAGGTCAACTACTCCTAATAAAAAAATGTAAATATTAAAATTAATATATCTCAAGGGGTTGTGAAGGAGGGCGATTGCTCTAATCGACCCCTCTCAAATACACTACTCGATGTACTGATCTAGTATTTTAATATTGAAATTTTTTGTCTTTCAGATATAACACCGACAGAAAATATATTTTTTTAAAGTTATTGTCTACCTATATATATATATTAGTATTAATTTAAAGTTCTTTCAAAGTTTAGTGCCTAATCGCCTAAGAAAATATTAAAGTAGATTGTTTAAGAGTTATTTCGTCAACATATCCGTTTGAAGAATGCTTAAGTGACATAAGATTATTATCAACAACTATATAATTATTAAAAGTAAACTTTTATTACGTTATTATAACTGTTTCTTACTAAATACTGCTTAGGTAACGACGAACGTCATTCATTATAAATATAAGCTTGAATTCAACATTTAATAAATAACGTTGTTCAAGTGTCGCGCACATTTTTTACCGTAATAACGATTTTTATTCAAAACCAACACATGTATCAAAATAATGTTACAACTTAATTGATGTAGTTAACTGAATTGTTCGCATTATTTAAAGTTTACAAACATAATAATTCATATGTTCTCATTAAACAATTCAATTTGTTTATTTCATGAAAAAATGTTGGTTGATGGATAAATTGTTGTTTAATATGAAACATGTAACATGTAAAGTTTGAACATATAATGGTCTTAATGTTAAACAATGAATATGTAACAATAAAAGGTTAAATTTGATAATTCCTTTTTCAGACGAAACCTTACAGCTTTTCCAAGAAATTTCTACTATAACGCGTTCCTGAATATTTTAATACCCGAATGATTTGATTAAATTCTGCTTTTGTCCCTCGAGGCCAAAGGTCTTATACAATATTTAAATGACGTGCAGTAAATTATTCTCTTTGAACATATCATGGTAATTGTGTACCGAGAAATGATCGTCGTTGTTGCGTGTATGAATGTTAATGATTAACTTTTGTTTGTTTTTCTACAACGGTTTCAGGTGTGCTTGTGAGCAAGCAGCCGTAACCAAAGTTTCGATGAAAAATCCTTTGAATACCGCGCACTCGACAAATCATGTACTTTACTGTGAAATACAAAGTTCAAAGAGTCTGCCAGTGCTTTATGATATCTCCGTGGAAATAATAAGCATCACAAGTCGTTTTTGGGGCTCATTAGATACACGAAAATGTTCGAGTAAAAGCAATTAATTAACATATAACGGCCAAGTGAATTCCGTTGTACCCTGTGAATTTTGACGAAAAATTGAAAGTATTCATATAAAAACTAGTGTTGAAATTGAATGTGTCGAGCTTATATTTCCAGAAACACGCATTAAAATAGTAATATTAAAAAAAAAAAATTATTTGCTAATAATTAAATGATGTCTTTCTTTAGTCTTGTAGGGAGATGAAATATAGACTTTGTGCTGAGGCCAGGCAAACCCAATAGGAGTACTGGCCGAATACCAATTAATAAATAATGTTAAATGAATTGTAATGTATGATTTATATGTTTTGTAAAAATGTCTGGTAAGAAAAAATATTTATACTTAGATAATGATTAACATCACTAAAATATCAAATGTTAGGGAATTTTTTTCGTTTTGTAATATTATAACGTCATTCATTATTTGTGTTTTTTGATATACTATATAGTATCATTAATTAAATTGTTTGAAATTATAACATTATCCTACTTTTGAGTTAAATGCTCTCTTATATTATAACGTAATTTCATTAATACGTCCAACTTTTTGATAAAACAATGTTATGTTATGTATTTCAATTTAAACAATAAAGATTTTAATATTTATTTTATTTTAGACTATTGAATTGCTTTTGAAAAACGAATAATTGAAAAAAATTAAACGAATTACAATGTATTCTGATACTTATAACATTTCATTTTAGGTAATTAATATTTTAGTAAAATATTATTTTAATCATTTTTTTTTAATTACTATTTCGATTATAGTCATTATTAAACATTTAATGTTAATTCCAATGATAACATTTTTTGATGTTATTTATTATAATTTTTGATGTTTAACGGTTAGGTTAAGTTTTTTAATAATGATTTTTTTTTCGTTTTCATTTTCCATTTATAATTGAAATTTACCAGATTATAACGTTATTATAATATTTTTATGCCTTGTCTTTAGAAAAAAAATGTTTAATTGATTTGTGACCTATAATCTCATATTTATGATATAAATCAATAGAAAAATAGTTCTATAGATTTATGGAAAAATTGAAAAATTTTTGTCAATTTTATAGATTAGTTATTATAATTTTATGAATAGCGTAGGTGTTCATTTTTACAGTGATAGTTACTTATGTAACCGTGTAATCAGGTTTAATAGGTTTGGATTATTATCGTGAGACCGAATTGCACTTCATTGATAATCGATCGATTTTTATTGATCGGTGTGTTGATATTTATCGATTGGTACAATGTATCCAATAATTATTTTTTATTGAAGTTATACATCTCTTACAAGTATAATGTAGTCCGCACAATACTAAATGTTTCTTATTACACGATGAAAAATGTTTGTCATCCACGATGGTTTAACGGTGTATTGGATATATACAAATATGCATTTACAGAGTGATTGATTTATTATTGAACACTAACGTCTCCTAAAGTAATAATAATTTTGAATAAAATATTTTCGATTTTGTTTAGTATTAGTTATTTCTTCATTTATAAGTCGTTGAATATTTTTTTGTTTTATCCCTTATAAGCGTACCAATTTTTTTGATAATAATATAAATATTTTCCAAAATAGTTGTTATCGGCCTATCAACATTTTTGTAAAAAAATTTTTTATTTTTATCTTAAAATAAGGCAAATAATAAAATATTTGCTTTTATCGTAGTCCAAGACTGTAAAATTTAGAAGAAGAAAAAAGAAGTAACGCAAAATATTTTCTCAATCAACTGTTATTAATGATGTAAAACCGGATGGGACCTCATAATAGCATTAAAGATATTGGTGCTCAAATTTTATTAAATTTTCATATAAAAATAATTTTTAAATATATAAAAAAAATTCGAATATATTTTTGATACTTCATTTGATAATAGGTGCTGTTTGATTGTTCACTAATTTGATTTCCATTTCTTGTGATTTTAATTTTAACTAAGACAACATTAACGATTGGCGTCCGCAGGGGAGAGCAAAAGGGACAGTTGCCTTTACCTTTTGCTTAATCAATTTTCATAGACTTATATAGTATTATAAAATTTTTCAGAATACATTTTTTAAATTAAGTGAAAAAATTGTTGTTTATATGTTATAAAAAAATTATTTTACAAATTGTTTTTGTAGATTAAATGACATGTAGGTTTTTATTTATTAAATTTATAGAAACACTATATTTTATAAATAATACATTAAACATAGAATGGCGATTAATAGAGATATATTATACTTTTGTTAGCGCTTTTCACATGTGTCAAATGGTAATTTTGATTAGTTGTCTTTTCACAAAAATACTGCAAATAAAATGAAATAAATAAAATAATTTTCGAAAATATACTTCCACGCTTAGTTAAACTTTTTTATTTTAATTATTTGAGACTAATCTCATATTTATACGGAATTTGAGCTCTGTGAATGACTTTTAAATGAACCTCGTTAAAAAATCACTCATTTAAAGAGTGCAGTAATGAATGCATTGTTTTGATAGTTCTACCATAAAATAAATTCAGCTGTCAAGTTGTTTTTTAAAATTTCATAATTAGTTGGAAAATTCTGAAAGGGTGAATAATTAAAAATCAGAATTTTTGTTTTTTCAAACATATGATTGAATATTATGCAATATTAAAACTTCGAACATATGAAACTATTTTGAACGCCACTATGTTTTTTGACATTTAATTAATATTATATGGGTTATAATAAACTACAAAAAAATAATTACTTTTACTATTTCTATTTGTTGATTATTTTTTTTTTTTTTTTTTTTTATACCTTCAATGAGTTATCACGAAAATCTTGTAATTTTCAAGTTAAATAAAAAAATGATGGACAAATTTAAATGTTTTATAAATTCATGTTTTGGTATTATTTAGATGTTATGTTATTAAAATGACTAGCTCGTAATAAATTGTATTTTTTCTATATTTTGTTTTTTTTTTTTTTTTTGTATAATTTTGTAAATAATAAATTTTAGTAAAAACATGTAGGCAGAAAGGTAGACCAAAAAAAGAAGTGAACTGAGATTATAGTGATATGAGGTAACTGGTAATGAGGACGCGGCAGACTGTTCAGTGCTATGGAAGGACTAGAGAACCGACTCCAAATAGTTGGGAAAAAGATGACGTAGAAGCTTCGTTAATTTTTTATAAATGTAAAAATGGCAAAAAAATATTACAATAATTTTATTTCCATCACCTAAGATTTATCACACATTTTTTTTACCTTTTAACATTACCTTTTTTAGTGTTTTAATTAGTAAATATCATGACATAACGTTTATGGATTAAATTTTTTTTTCCACAATGACAAAAATTTGTTGTTTAATTCCTGACTCTACATATGTGTGACATTTTCTCTTTCTCTAATATTAGAAATATTTATATTAACGGGAAATGTTACATATCAAATAAACTATTTTTAAGTGAAATACGAAATCGTATTTTCAAAATTCAATATACTTGACAGTAATGGATAAGTAATGAGCTAATCAAATCAGTGCAAAAATATTAAAATAAACATCATGAAACCAATAGAAAATTGTAAGGCGTTTTGTCTATCAATAGTATTACACTATTATGCAGAGGAATTTTTAAAGTGCTATAAAGTATTTGATTTTGTTTTTAACTTTTTACCTACAAAATTATTCAAAAATGTAATTAAATTTTACAACACTCTATTAACATTCATCAACTTCAGTCTGTAAAAAGATTGGTAATTATACATAATATAAAATTAAATATGCAAATTTTTTTCTTTTTAAAATACAATTTTCAGTGTAATTATAAATATATTTTTTGTTTTTATAGAAACTTTTTATATTATTAAAAATATGTTTTGTGTAAACTCATTTTTAATTGTATAATTCTTGGAAAATTATCTTAATGTTATATTTTATTATGCATTAGTCACAATAGTGACCTAGTTCTGTTTGTGAATATTTTTATCAATATACATTTAATTTCAAATTATGGATACCAGTTGGTTTGCGATTAAAAAATTCTACTTTTTCTTAATTCTCAATTGTTGTATCCTTTTGATTTTTATAGACAAAAGTTGCTAAAAGTTTGATTACTCTTAAAATATGTTTCCTGATGAACTAATTAATTCAATAAAATGGCATATAGTATTTGGTTAAAAATGTAGTATTTGCTAAATGATCGCTGTATCATACATATACTTTGCTTGACGAGTAAAAAAGAATTCTATTTCTGAAATGAATATTTAATGTGGAAAAAAATATATCTTTAACTAATAATAATCAGATCAATTCAGACCTAACTAATAACGCTTATAACTTTAGATGCAATTATTATTTTATTGACATTCTTTTTTTTAAATAATTATTGCATATTTTTTATTATATTTTAATATATTTTTATTCACTGATTAAAATATTATATTATATCATTTATTAGTGATAAATAATTACAAATATGCTTTAAACGTAATCTAAGAAGAAATATAGAAGGCAATAATTATTAAAAAATTTTAACAAACTGATAATTTTATCAAATGTAATAAATGTTGTCAGTAGATCCAAGACACACTTGTATAATTACAATAGTTTTTTAATTTCAAGATTTTTTTTATCTTAATCTTTAAAAAATGTTTAAATAATCAAAAACGCATTATTTGTTGATAACACAAAATTAAGGGAAGGGACAAAGAATGATTTTATTGACAATTTTGACTGGCTATAACCAATTAGAATCTTAAAAATTCATATTTCAAAACTGATTGTTATTCATAATGGTATTTGCATCACATTATTATTTCACTGTGATCTATTATAGATCACACTGATAATAATAACGCATAATTATTTTATATTTTGCTATTAATCGTAAACGTTTAGAGTTGATATTACCGGGTATGATATATTACTATAACCATAGCCATTTATGCAGTCTAGATCATCATATCCATGATATAATTGTCAGTATAAGCTTTTGGTTAATTTTTTTGAACACAACTCAAAAGATTCCGTATTGGCAAAATGTCCACACAGCCGAAATGTGTTCTTTATGTGTGTGTAAATAACAGTTTTATCAGTCGACTCGGAAACCGTAAGTACTGTATAATAGCGTTCACCTATAGTGTAAGGATGAGTGAAAAAAAAAGCATCCGATGAAATAACACTGTGACATTTGTTAAAAAAGATCGAAAATAATCATTTTGGAAATGGTTTGACCGACAAGATGAAAATCATTTTATGGCGAATACGACGCTATACGGTCGATGACCGACCCCTCTTCATATTGATACGTCTGTGGCCATTATCATTTCTTCGATCCCAAGTCAATCAGTCTCCAGTTCCGTCCCGACTAATTTTCAACGTTTTCTCTTTTTTTTTTTTTGTATTGATGTTTTTTTCTCCATAATTCACAAATCCACCGCAATTGTAATAGTATCAGTGGGTTTGCAAATAGGGTAAAACTCACCTGAGAAACAATAATAATAATCGGCTATTGTACTGAAATAATTAACGGATCCGTTGAGATGTCAATCGTTTAAACCGCTTCTGTTTCGCCAAATCCATACTCGCCAAGAGCATAACTGTCCACAAAATACGCGATGTTATCTCACTGATCACAGTGCAGTTATAAATGTTTTTTTTTTTTATTTTCACGCTATTGTGGCCTCGACCTCCTGTAGATCTCTTTTATCGTTGACGTCTAAAAGCACGGGAACGTTGAGTAATGCTTTGTTATGATGTACCGTTGACCAAATACTCCGAGTATTACACACAATATTTCAAGAATAAAATGTGCTTATACGCCTTACTAACAAAATTGCGCGTGTATATGTAACGCCATTGATTTTATTAACAATACCTATCGAAAGTGTCGACATTTTCAAATGTGTGTGCAGCTAAAAAAGTTCCAGTACCCAATCGCACACTTATAATTTTAGCGTTACAAATTTAAAAGAATATTGATTATAGAAAATTCAATTTATTCGTAAAAGTATCGATATAAATTATGTATTCAAGTTCATAATGATGTATATGTCAATTATACAAATACTATTTCTTGCGTACAAATAAAAACTGCGTATATTTCGCCACATGCACCTCACTGTTCATAATGCAAAGCGTATTAAAACAAATTATTTAATACAAATGTAGTGCAAATACAGCGAAATATAACTTCTACATTTAAAATCAAAGTGTAACGGTAACTATTCATTTGGTGAAAGAATATTTATATAGACATTTGTAACGTGTCACACGTTTCAGCATCGAAAGCATTCGTCTTCTTGATCGTCTAAATGATCATATCACAACAATAACAAATATGCATTGTGTTTTCTTTAAATTTGACCACTTGCACAATAATAACATTTGTTGAATGCCTACCCCACATAGGCAAACTAACAACGAACGACTGTTGTTCCTAGGTGGACTTAAGAGTACGTCTTGGATCGAATAAATAACAGTTATAGTTTAGTTCGCTTTTTAATGCTACGGACCTCGAAAAAGTTTTGACTTACACAAAAGAAGTAATGTCATTAAATTTAGTATTCCGTAAAAATTGAGGTAAACACGATCGCACAAAATGCTAAAAATAAAACCACAGAAATTTTGTATATGAGACATGTATGCACAAATATTTATCCACTTTGACTAGATTTTAGATTCAAGGAATTTTTTTTTTTGACCATTTTATTTAATCTATTTATTAATATTTCAAAACTAAAAATATGTGCGAGTGGACGAAAAAATTATTTTTGCTGTCTGAAAAATATAAAATGATTAATTATTGTTGATTGGACATCAACCCTACAACACTTTCTCGGCACAACTTTACGCATATTTATGTTTTTATTAAACGTGTGGCGATACAATTATTGAGTTACAGTTTAACACTTATCTGTTATTTTTCTAGGTAAACGATTCATAAAAATCTGTGAAGGTAATTTCAAGGTTGAATAGTCACCGGCAATAAGGTTTGATTCTACAAGAAAATATGCGTATTGAAGAGGATCTCTGTACCAAACATTAACAGATCTAGTTTTTGCATAACGCATTGCGTACAATGACATAATATTACATAGTATGTATACCGTTTTTTACCCGACGGTCATCGATTCAGTTTGAAAGGACGACAAATTTACTGCTCAGTAGGGGATTCGTGACAATTATTCGTGTCCGCTACTTGTCCGGCCTAGACGAACGGTCTACGACCCGGACGCATCTTATAGGAATGTCATTTTGCTCTTTCCAGCAGAGAAAACCTCAACGATTGTAGTGACCATGTTATATTGTTGTTCACGCAGTTTATTTTGGTAATTTGAAAATTGCACCGTTAAAACGCATCGTCGTTCAAACTACACATCGATGTTATGAGATAAACGACATCTTTCAGAGTAAACGATATTGAAATCGTTTGTGTAAGTGTAAACATCTCGAACGTCGGTTCTTAAGCTGGTAGACATTTTCCTAATTAAAATTTATCTTTTTATTTCTTTTGTGCGTCCAAAATCATTTCCAATGTCGACAACACGCTCTGTGATCTCAATTTCAGACGACCATAACACTGCCATTAATGTGTGTTGCATTATCAGATAACTAGCTACCAATTTGAGATACCGGAACTGTACTGTCGCAGCTCTAGCGGTCCCACACACGGTTGAGCGAGATATGGTCGCGGACGCGGTGCTTGGCATTTAACGGCGGAAAAACACACTTAGTTGCCACGAATCTGAACTTACACGAGACTTATCACATTGGTGTAAGAACCGTTGTGTTATTTAACGGGCCGAAAGCAACGGGTGGATAAATCGGTTAAACGTCGTCCGGCGTCACTTTTTATTTAATAAAATTAACGACGGCGAGTCAACTGAGTGATAAACTAATTATTTCGAGGTGGCTGACACTAGCGCGATGGTTTTATAAAAAGATTATTTCGGCGGGACATTATTTTTCGCTTTACTGCCACACAAGACGTTTAACAACAGGAAATAATGATTTAATGGAAGACGAATACACGGTCGTCCGACAAATAGAGGTATCATGTTTTTTCCACTTAAAGCATTACAATAAATAACATTTAGCCTATGATTAGGATTCACCAAGTACGCTTAGATAATCATAGATGTAGTTTTGCTAAAATTTAAATGATGATTATATTATTACGCCTACTCAATGTAATCATAACATAATCATCTGTTATAACGTAGCATGGCTATGTTATAGTAACGCATTTTTTTTATGAAACATGGATAACTGAGATGTAAAAATCTTAAACAAAAATGTACACGGTTCGATGGAAAAATATCTCTAATATCTATCTATAAGATGTATTTTAAAGTTGAAGAATTATTTCTTAAAATACCATCTAGTACCATAGAAAAGCTCAAAGAAAAATTTTTTTAAAAAATCATAATAAAAATTGTTTTAATCTGCCGACATTTGCATAGAAATAAACTAAGGAACGAAATAGCGGTTAGTAAAATATATTTAAAGATATATTTATTCCTTCGAAATCAATATGAAAAGTATATTTCACACCTATAGTACTGTTACTACATAAAATAGATAAATTACCTGCATTCAGATACCGCCAAGTCAGACCATTAGTCTAAAATTACTAGCTTTAGTCATATAAAAATATAGTGAAATTCTATTTTTTTTTTTTATAGTGAGATTCTATTAAAAAAATCGAAATGTTTGTGTATTAAAAATTATAATAGATTTATCTGGTTGAAAAAATAAACGTTTAATATAAAAACTATAAAACGCTAAGTCACTAAAATGTGTAAAATGTGTCAGTTGCTGTTAAAACTTTTGTCCATTTGTATAAAAAAAACCAACATAATCAAGATAACATTGATTTGATTGTAGTTGAGTACAAATGACCTCAATGATGAGAGAATTATTACTGACAATAGTGCTACCGATCCTATCGATATAAACCGCTAAAAATATATATACCTTAAGATATTCATATTTTTAATGATAATTATCATTAAGATATTTTAATAATAGTATTAGAAAAAGAAAATCTTAAAAGAGTTTTATGGAGCAATAAATATAGTTACTGTTCTTTTTCTAGTCAAAATAAAATGTAGTATTTTACTGTAAAACAATGAAAAAACACTAAATTTTTCGATTAAATTAATTAATTTTTGTTAAAATTTTTATATAAACTATTTCTAATAATTTACTACTTAATTACTTCAGATTATCTTAATTGTTTTTTTATAATCTTATTTACTTGTACAATAAATAACAGATTGTTACTAGAAAAAGATTTTTTTTCAAACATCCAAATAATTTAAATCTATCAATACGAGTATAGGTTATTGGAATTAAATACTTAAAACTTAGCAAAAATGTTAAATATTATTTAAAAATCATATTTTCTACAATTTTAATATTTGTATGTTCAATATTATAAAAAAACACATAGTATATCGATGATAATAAAATTTTAATAATTATAATATTTTATACATTTTGCTCTTGTTTTAGATATTTATTGGAAATATCTTATATGGAAAATATTTTACAATAAGAGTGTATATATGTAACCCATTTAAAAAAATTAACTTAGACAAAATTTTACAACAAGAAGTGTTTCAGCAATTGGAGTCATAAAATAAGTAATAGGAATCAAACAATGAAAATATCACGTATGTTCTTTATTAGAAACTTTCACAATGAAAAGTTTATTATGCTTTTAGTTTCGTTATTAACAAAATCGATACATAGTATAGTGTTCAGAAGTATTTAAAAATGATCTGATGCGAAACATTTGGAAAAACGATTGATCTATTGTTTGGATAATCGTTATTCTACTCCTTTCTTGACTTACAAATAACTAATCAGTGACCAAATCGATCCTTATATTACTTTAGTGACAATCTATGTCCAATACTTGAACTAATTTCGTCTGTAAGCTTTAAACATTATTAGATCCAACTAATATATATATAGCACACTAATATCGTTGATAAAGTATTACATCCAAATTCATAGAATAACCGAAACAAATAGCATTTAATTGGTTCTGACATACACAAATAATATTGTTAGTGTTTATGTTTGCAAGAAAACAAATCGTTTGAAATATAGTAGTTTTTTATATAATTTAATTATTACTCGACCAATAAGACTTCAATAATGTTATTGGATAAGTCATTGAATGTAAATTATAAATTATAATGACTGTTTTATGGTAAATGAGTCGACGAGTTATTGAAAAGTTAATTCATAACAATTTTAATTAAAGACAAATGTAACAGAAGTATTTTATAATTAGTATGTCTATAGTGTATAATTTTTTTAGTAATAACGTAGAGCGAATATCAAGGTTTATTGACAGAAGTGAATACGATTTAGCAAATCCATTGTCATAACATTGACATACATGATTCAATGTACTTTTGTACAATTATTTACTTGGCTGGAGATAATCACTGAGTATTTTGATAAAATGAATAACGTATGAGCTTAATTATTAATTATTTTACGAGGATACACAATGTGTACGAAGGTCTATAAGGAGTTAATTTTGATTGTTTTTTTTGATTATTTATTTACAAATTCCAGTGAATTAAATTGAATAATTGTAAATTAATTACTATTATCATTTACACACACTAATTGTACAGCAAATTCGTTGGATACGAAGATATAAAATAAAAATATACAAGTTAAAACCAAGCAGAAGATGGACATATCATTGAGTAAATAGTGTAACAGCATAAAAAGGATGTCGTGAGTTTCAGATGTCCATTGATATCACATCATATAACAATAGTAATTACAAGAGTTTAACTACTAGTTACAGTACTTAACAACAGCATTTAAACCATTGATTTAAAGCATCTATTAAATTTATTAACTTGATGACCCCACGGATAGTGTACAATGTTTCATTTTACAAAGACGCTTTGGGATATTCACCGCAGCTGCTTCATTATTTAACAATCTATTACAAGACATTAGTGTTGAATAGTTTTTTACACTAAATGCTAGCTGCATTCACTTCACTAATCGTTGATAGTCAGTTATTGTTATTGTTCAATGCACTCGTGTTGTTTTTTTTGTTCGGTTAATGCCATTGAACAAGAGATTTAGCGAGTTACCATCGACCGCAGCATTTATTAATAGGGATTTACACAAAAACAAGTTACTGTACTAATATTTGCAAACTAGTTTTTAACCGTTCAACTTAAGTGTAGAATACTATATAAATAAATATAATAAGCTCTCTAAAGTAGCCATTAACTAATATGATTTTAATAAATCAAATCCATAAAGTATAAGTACTTGTTTAAAATACATTTAGGTTTTTATTCTTAAAATATCCTAAACTCTTTCTATTTTCTTGTCAAATGAACTTTTTTTAAAATTGTCTTTTTTCACTACAAGACTTTATTTTATTTGTTAATTATCTCTAATTACTTTATTCTAATCGATTTTATAAGTATTCAATTGAGCTCGAAAATTGCAATACTAATGTATTCCTATCTTATGTAAATTCGTCAACTTTACTTAACTTTATTATAACCACCAAAATAAATATCCAGACGAATATCAAGATCCAAATACAAACTTCTCAATTGCAGATTTTTCATACGTCCATAATAATGTCTTTATACAATGAATTAATTTCTTCAGAAGTTTTTGGATTATGATATCTAATAAAATTTTCTTTTATTGATTTCATCTTTCATAAATTAAACAAATATTAATAACAAAAGGACTGGAAATTGCCTAACTTCTTTTTATACTTTACTGAATTGTACTTTCATAATAAAACTCTTATAAATCTGAATTTCTTTTCTATGGATCTTGCTGAAATCTTATAAAATATACAATGTTACTTTTATAGCAGAATGTGTCGTTAAATTGCGTCGTTGAACTCCCAACGAAGCACTGATTCATTATTTTAATTAACGACCCACGTATGAGTAATCCATATCAACTTAAACACAATGATGAGTAATATTATATAGGTCACCATTACCTTATTACATGGTCATGACTGACATCAAGAGTTTTTAGACAAATATTTTATGAACATTTGATATGCCTATCAAACAATAAAATGAGTATTTGATGAAAAAAAAAGTATTACTTACTGGCAACAATAAAGTATGGTAGGATAGGTGCATGATAATCATAACATTGGAGAGCTGCATAGATTAAATTATAGATATTAAATATAATTTTTACAATATTTTTAGGAAGAATTCAATGTAAATTATTAATTGACTGTACTCATGCAGAAATATTTTGTATTTTTTAACTTATTAACTTAATTATTTGCTTAAAATACTATTTAAAGAAATGTTTACGGAGAAGTGTAGACTGTAAATTAATCAATTTAAATTTTTAATGCAATCTTAAGATATTATACATAGCACACCCTACTAGTGATATTAGGCATAACGTTTTATTTTAGTTACCTTTTTGGAAGTTCATACAACAACTCACCAATTTTCAACGAATGGCATAAAAAATTATCTGTTGTCTACAATATTTTGGTGAATTTTGTAAGAAATTTTGACACTAGTTCCTCATAATTACGTTTTTGCCAGTAATTGTCATGTAAATACAAAATTGATATTTTTGAATTCCTTACAAAATTATTTATCTATGGTAGTAATTTCATAATTTTTAGATTAATCCAAATATTATTATAATAGAAAGATTAACTTTGTGTCTAAAAAAAGTCCATTCAAATTTAAAGGTCTAAACTACACGGTTAGACTTGACGGAAAAGCCATAAATTATGTTTTAGTTTTTATTTTGATTTGATTGTTTAATTATCTCTTAATTACTAACATGTAATTATGTCAAACACTAGAAGTGACGGAAAAAATCTGAATCAAAATTCGAAATCAGCGTTGAAATGTCTTATAGAATTCACCTAATTATTGAAGACAATAAAAAGACTGGTCGCGTGTAATCATTTTAATAGTAATTAGGTAATTAAAATAGTTGCGCTGTCTAATTTAAAATAACATATAGTTTTGATCAGTTTTAATGAACTAATAAACATTTTAAGTGATACATTTGGACTCTTCTATAAGGTACTGGTGATGTTTTAAAATTTTGACTGCAAACTCTTATAAATATTATCGTCGACTAATTTCAGGCAATTGAACTCGTGTTAAACAGATGTACAATGCAAAACGTATCTGCGTGCGTTCTTCGTCATCCACGTAGTGTCTTCAGCGTGTGCTTATCTCCGTGATTGCCGTGCCCGCCGACGCGTACACGCATAATAATTCATAGTGACATTACAAGCGGTGAAAACTCGGCCGAGTCATGAGGAGAGTGTGTATCGTATACGGCAGCGATGGCAGTACCGAAGACGGTGAAAGAGTACCCCACCTTCTGGTGAAAAACGCTCTTGCACGTCCCCCGCATTTATTGGCCGAATTCTGCACCGCGATATTCGGCCGGCAAAACAGGTGGGAAAACCGCACAGCCTATTTTCCTGCTCCTCTTCTTCTTTTTCACCGTACTTCCTCAGCTTATTACCTCTTGGACGAATCGGTCGTTGTAGTATCAGTGCACCGGCGCTAACGAAACAACAACGACGTTCACAAAACGCGAAAATCTGACTAAAGAAATCGCGATAACCATCACAATTGTATCTCATATAAGAGTCTTCCCAACCAAGTGACGGGGCGACACTCTGTGCAGTATCTATTTGGCATCGTTGGCCAACCGGAGTACGCAATATCAGCTATCACTGCTGATGAACCCGGTCAAAGTGCATAGATTTTAAGTTGTTCTGTTTTGAATAGCTTGTCTTTGGAACGATCGCATTTAATTAATTATCGCCCGTTTTTTCTGTCTGGTATTTATTCACACATCAGACGCACGTTCGATTTTGTCAATAGTACAGACTACCATCGTGACATGATGATACTAACAAAGTAAGTCCATTCAAAATTTATTCATCGATTTATGCTTAAAATTTAAGTTTAGGCTCGTTATAATTCTTCATTGAAATGACTACAGGAAAAAATAAAATAATCATAGTTAAGTATTTAAACTCATTATAATTCATAACAATTGCGTTTTAAGTAAGAATTCTTACTTTAGAATGGTTACATCTAAACGTAATAAATTTAAAAAATGTTTCATTTACCCCATTTCCATAAAAAAAATTGTTTTAATTTTTAATAAAAAATTGTGTTAATGTACTAATGCCAATATTTTTGAAACTGTCCTTGGCAGATTCCAATCGAAATTGGCTATACGAAATGGTTGGTTTTCAATTATGACATAAAATTCATTAAACCAACAATTATGTAGATATTAAAGTATATTTATTTGTGCATCTGCACTAAATGTCCCGTTTGAAGGTTCTGCGTAAAAATTGCGAACGGTTCGATTTGCAATAGAAGCCAGTCCGAGAAATTACTCCGGAACGGATGCACCACTTACTTAACCGACCGGGCGTTGACAGCGGCGGGAAAGACGACCGAGAACGTCCTTATTAATTTTCTTGATCGTTTTTCCGTTCATTTGTCATGTAACGATATATTATCGTCTGTCATCGATAACATCGTTTCGGTTTAAGCGCCAAGTAGATCATCGACCAGACAATATACCAAAAACCACTAAGGAATACTCCTACTAATGTTCACGAATCTTTCACAGCTAACCGCAACTGTCCTCTATGGTTCCTGCACTCATAGTTACGTACACGACAACACTTAAGCTTATTTCGCGTAATTATCAACTAGCCTACTTTATTTTACATATTCGACACTATGAATTTTCTGAGTATTTTTTTTTTACGTAAACACAGCAATAGCCTTGTAGATCACAACCAACGGATTTACATTGTATACTTGGACCGTTCGCTTGTGATTTTAATTTTTACGTATATGAAGTGCCCACTAACTGGTATCAAAGGAAGTTACATAAAAGTGTAACGATTAGTTCACTCAGGGTGCATGATCAGATGCAACGACCATTGCGGGAGAAAGTCTATTATTCTGATAACTTCTTTTTACGCGATACTTTTACGTGCAGTTGCTTTGAAATCAAATGGATATCCGTTGCACTTGGACGGCGCGTGTTGTGATGAGTTATTCAGTTGTTCAAAGCACGATGTATTGGATAATAATAATTCTGTAAGATTTGGATGACTGAGGTTCCAAATTTTCTAAGTTCATTCCGGAAAATCATTTTTCAAGCAAATTTAAATGATTACACGTATATGTCATATGTATCTTGAATTGATTCCTTCTGACCTCATACATCATGAAAATTAATTATTTAATAACATTATTATCATGTTATTATATAACTACTGTCTGCTTTCAAATCTCACCTATCTTTACTACAATATCTACAACAAGTAAAAATCACCTTACAAAAATAATAAAATTTGTTGCAGGATTTTTGCTTATACGCTTTTGATAGATGCATTTATTTCCATAAAACAAATCTCTTTACACTGAAAAAACTCGGGTATACCATTTCATTAGTTTTCGAGTAATTTTCAAGCTTTTTGGCTTGATTATAATTTTACCCTCAATAATAATAGATTTATAACAAGATTAATTGGTCTTCAAATACTCTTGAAATATATTAAAAAAAAAAAAAAATCCTTAAAACAAATAGGAAATGCCTGAATTCGACCAACGTTATTGTGAACAATGACTCTTCAAAGTTAATAACGATTTTATAGAAAAAAAATTACTCATGTTTTACCTGGACATATGGTAAAAAATGCGATTCACACGTTATACATATATCGTGAAAAAAGACGGTCATATCAAATGCTACTTTATGGGTTTTAGTGAATTCTGCTTGACTCGGTCACGGTAAACAATCGGTATTCCATTATTTGTCCAAATTATATAAACAGCTGACCTAGACAATAATAATATGGTTTTCGTTTGACCGTTACAATGAGTATATAAACCTCCTTGACATACGTTAGAATAATTTTTGATTAATGACACTGAGTAATTTTGAAAACGGAATATTTGAATGAGGTCTTACCGCATAACAGGAAATATTGTTTTACTTAGATAATTTTATAGTAAAATAATTTTGTTGACGACGTTATTTTTGACAAAAGCCATACGACTAATATTCTAAAAATATAACGTTGTTAAAAATAGTTTATTCGTGGAATTATGACTCAGAATATTTCGGTCTGTTGAGTTAATTCGACCAACGATGATTGAGACCACTTTCATGCGCATCAATTACCGATGAAAATATTATAAATAGCAAACTGTTTTGGTTGAGGTCGTTTAATGGCACGTACTATACGCATGTGACCACCGGTGGTCAATGTTGCGATGACGTTTCGCCTATGAACCGCTTCATGTAAAGATGTGATCGTTGGATTTGATGTCAAAAAACCGCGGTATGCTACGCTCGGATAATACATTTATATCTTATCGCCTTACTTGCAATTGATGATCGATACGCGGGATTTGTAGTGCGTTCACCCTAACTGGGATATGATCCGGACGTGCTTATAAATTTGCGCGCATCTGCAACAGCAATCGGTACTTAGTGTCAAGTAAGAGCCGTTTCCGCATCACAAATCAACCAATTGTCCGTTTAAAACAGCAGCCGAGGTCGAACCATTTTTTCGCTACAGTTTTTTGAAGAACCGTCCATCCAGAAATGAAACTATTGGAATGAAAACTGCCCCGATATTACTATTCGAACGTGATTCTTTTGATTGTATTTTTTCCTGCCTTCTATCTGTAATACTCTGCGTTTCCGGTATACGCCGGTCATAGATATCGATGCTATTTAAAAAAAATAAAAAATTGTTTTGTTTTGTCCATTGACGAGAACCCGTCTGATGAACTTTTTTTTTAAACACATACCCTTGTATAACATAAAACCCCGAGAAGGGCGAATATCTAATTACAGGTGCACATTGATTTCACGGTTTTTTTTCTGTCGTTCCATATCTAACGACTCTATACGGTCACCAATTCCAATTGAACGGGCAAAGCTATTGTCTTTCATAGATCATGTACCTAAGATACTGTTTAACCTCGCGCCGGCTTCGAGAAGACATTTACTGTCACGAAAGAAAATTGTCTGTAGACTACTAAACCATACACTCGTTCAACACGAAAACGTGTCGTCTTCATGCTCCGGCGTTTAAGTCACCACAACGACCAACAAATTATCGTTATTATTTTGCACATATCACACCACATTAATTCGCTAATAGACCGTTTAAGTATACGCCAAAGAAACCCAACGCTTAACCGCATACCTACATGACATAAAATAATACAAATATTATTAGTGTTTTATTAACCGTAAAAAAATCGTGTCACGCGTTCGGCGTTAAAATAATAATTCATTAAATGCAATTATACCACAGTGTAATTAACTTGCAATACAAATATGTATGTTAACCGTCAAGTTCGTGTAACTGAAAATATTACAATTGTACAGTTTTTTTCTTCTTCTTCTTTTTATATATATATATATATATATACTTAACACTTATAATGAAAAATATTTGGAATTGCCCTCGTTACAAATAGAAGACATTCGTACCTTACAAAATGGTATTATTTTTTTTTTTTTATCGTACGTGTACCTAACGGGTGTTTTGCCGTAAGATTTTTTTCCTTTGGTTCCTCTATTCATTGCGATCGTCGCTCTCCGCTTCGCCCGCCGCTTCCAAATAGCTACCACGCATAACAACGAAATTATATACTGTGCGTTCTGTAACAGTCGAAAAAACTAACACACGTGTACGACAACAATAATAGGAACACACGACAACGGCAATGGCATTGGGGCGTTACGGTCGAATTGTAAAACAAACAGTATCAGCGTGCTCGTCCTCTACCCTGAATACTTGCGACTTGCGCACGTCTGGACTGTCGTGACGATTGGATTGCAATCGCATACGCGTTGTCTCCACTAACAAGGTGGTTTCCAATTCAAACCCTTTGACTTTTTCTTCTTTCCTCAGATACCCGCCGATATTACAACATTCCGGTCCAATTTTAATGCTCTATCGGTAATTAATTGTATCGTCAAACGGCGTTGTCGAAAAATCAAACATTTCTCTCGCCAATCAAGTGGAACAATGTTTGCATACATTTCACAGTGTTCCGGATACATACAAGTATTTTCGGTTTAAGGTTATTCGCAGCGAGTATTGAATAACAGTTATAAACTGTGGGTGTTTTTATTATAATCGTTATTATTTCATTTTTGGTTCGTTTGTTTGCCAACTGCCAAAAAAGTGCACACACGATTGTTACGGTATTGTGACGAATCGGATGTTATATTTTCAATCGACTACTGCGTATAATAGAATAGTACTTTTGTAGCAGTGACGATCGCGATGACGACAACGATGATAATGATGATGAACATAATAACAGAGTATATAAACTGTGTGAATAAACTTTTGTGTGAAAACGTTGCCGAGAAGTACATTGTTTGCCAATCGTTCATATCGTTTGGATTATTTCATTAATGTGCATTACTCGAAAATGTCAACTCACGTGTCACAGAATAAAAATATATACTCACAGGGCAACATACAAAAAAATATATTTTGTATTTATATAATAATAATAAAACCAAGTTTGACAATAATACCTATTGTTAAACTTCGATACTCCTACTTTGATGGGTTTTACATTTCTGAATCATTGACGGGAATTTTATGTCGATATAATTAATTAATATTTATATAAGTTAGTGAAATTGACGATATTATAAAAAACATTGCCTACAAATGATAAATTGTACAAAATACTTCCGAGGCCGATTACTCTTATTGATCAAGAATGTTTGGAATTTGCCCGTTTACGGGCTGATATATCCTAAACTCGGTGATACATTCCATGCATTCATTTATTTTAATTATAAATTTTCTATTGCCTTATTCCATTCATAAAGTTTGATTGTCGTTGTTGAATTAACGTTATGACAAATCATGTAATATTATAAAGTAACAAATAGTCACTGTTTTATAGACTACGACTTAAATGAGAAAAACGTATACACGAACGCGTTCTACTTATCACACGACGCCGTGACCAACCCATTGTTTTTATGGGTGATTTGACAAACCCTAGAGATTTCATGTAACCAAGGAAAAAAAAATCCGCGAGCTTATATGATATAGGGCGCTATGTATCTACATGTTTTAATGAATAGTGAAAAAAATAAAAAAAAATTTGTGAACAAAGAGTAAAAATTGATTCTATTGTGTCGAATTGTACGTGTTAAAATATTTATGCATTAATTATTTTACAATTAAAAAAATGCTTTCAAATGAGTTGTCACGAGACTATTGAATTTTTCCGTCGACGTTTGGAAGCTTGTGGATGCAAATGGAGTTTATTTTAGCCTTAAATTTCTATCACTCGTTTTCATATCTTTTAAAAATGATTTACGGAAGAAACACTGTACCTGACATAATAAAATAATAATAATAATGTAGCAATGGCGAGAAAAGCAACAACAATAATAAATCTGACTATTTTCCAGTTCGTTGAGTACGCATCGTTGGATAGATGACTTGAATCTACTGCCGTCTGGTAACAGTACCGTTACCACTAAGTTAGGCTAGTGGAACATACCACCTGTTTAAATGCAAAATATACCGTTTACTAAAAAAGAGAAAATATTAAAATCAAAATTATACTCATATTAACAGTGATTACGAAATTATTAATAAATGTCATAACAAATAACAAACGCGGCTTAATTATCCCATGAAATTTATTGACAAATTATTATTATTATTTTTATACGTTGTTTATGTTACGGGTCAGAAATTTTAATTACCGAGTTTATTTTAGTCTGGTAGTTTGGGTTTAACTATTGTTGTCTTAATAGATAATATCTTTAAAATAACTTTATTTTATTACCTGGACATTTAAAAAATATAGATTACTAAAAAAAAAATACAACGTATTAAATTAAAAATAAAGAAACCTTTAAAAACGTTGTAAATTATGAAATGGACATTTCAAATTTGACATTGAATAAATGATTAACTATAAATAACATCAATGATTATTTTACACTCTATACTAGATGGAATAATAAATGTTATTATTTATGATATTCATACCATTTAAACAATGAATTGTATTAATTAAAATTCGGACAAGTTCGCTCAGCACACGTATAATAACGTTTCTTTACTGTTCTTTCGAACATCTTTTTGGACGTTTTGTAAATAACACAATTGGCAATATACCTGAAAATAACTTTTAAAAAATTTAATTTTGAGAGAAGTAATTTTAAAATTATATTTTAAAAAAAGATAGAAATTTCTTTAATCCGGCTTATTGATATCGCTTTAATGTCGAATATGAATGAATATATAATCGCTATAATATGAAGACTGATTGATTAAATGTAACAGTATAAATTAAAACTGCAAAAAAAAAATATGCAACCAAAAGTAAAATATAACTATAACTATTTTATAACTATAAAAATTGTAGAAAAATTTTGATGAAATATTTCTCTACAGCTTGAGATAAAACTGTGACATATTTCAATTATTCAAGGATAAAATTTAAAGGCTGAAATAATAATTAATATTTCAGTCTTTAAGTTCTTATACTTATAAAACATATACACATATTGATTTGTGTATATATAAATAAGAATATATATATTTTTTTAAAACTAATCACGAAACTAATCAATTTATTGCATATTTTCACAGATGTCAGTACGCGGCGCTCGTGATCTTATTCATACAGGTGAGTCATTTTATGAACTAATATATTTTCATGACAGTTATCATCTTAGATGATAACATTTTTAAATGATAGGATGACAGAAATTAATGATAAGGTCATAACTTTTCTCCCTATATGTTATATTATTCTGTGTTTTTCATTTAAACTACGCTAAATTTGATATACTATTCTGGTATATAAAATGGTTATACCATTTTTTTTAAGTTCAATGACTAGTTTATTTTTATGGAAAAATAAAATAAGCTTTATTTGGAGTACCGTTTTTGAATAAATAAGTATGGCAAATAAAAAATATAAATGCACTAGTGAATGATAGGTAAATGTTTTTTACAGTGACGATGCTGCTGCAATTGTATATATACCAATTGTAAATAATATTTGTACCGTAAATTGTTTCCCATAATCTTTGAATGTATGTTAAAAAAAATCATAAATAGTTACAATAATGTTTTAAAGTCACCTATATAATTTGGACAAAGTCGTTTAAAGTGTCATAGGAATGCGAAAATTCTGACAACATATTTCACGGGAAAACTACACATTCTATTATTCTTTTACTCGCGTTTTGTTTTTTTACTTTATTTTCATTTTTTTTTCTTATTTGAGTATTGCGATACTCTAACCGGATGAAAAACTCATATCGAAAAACTCACAATTATTATAGTACAATAAGAAAATAATTTACGGAAAAAAAATTATGCAATCCAAACCTCATACACTAAAATAAATTGATTATAAATTTGTTTAATTTTGACTTGAGCTTTCATCAAACTCTATTAATTAGACTACAATGTAGAATTCACGGTCCATGTGGGGCATCTCTAGGCTTTGCACAACCATTATCTAAGATAGCGTAACGTTCGGCACAACGAGGACGATTGCAGCAAATCTCACGGAGGTCAATCGTATTAACATCTCTAGATGTGCTAACTTTCGAGCGGATACGTTGCCGGAAAAATAAACTATTTAATGTAAATCATTGCTGGGTGATGATAAAAAATAACCTTACGCTACAATGAAAACACAATAAAAATTATTACAATAGTCAAAAAGTGTCAAATCTTCTAATGTAATAATTTGTACATCGTTCGAGGTCTACCATTCTAGACAATTTTTCTAATGTATTGTAATCATTTCATCTGATTTTACAACACTTCAGAAATGAAAGTGACACTAACCAGTTTTTACATTCATAAAACAATTGTTCAACATCTGCAATTTAAACTAAGAGTAATAAAGTTTTGGTCCTTGTTACTAAACATGCAAACATACAAAGGATGAAGTGTATGACTAATTGTTTTTATTTCTATTTCACCGAAAAAATCGATCAACTCTATAAAATACAAAGAAAACTAACGTAAATATTTATTAGTGTTTTCGCGAATGCCAAAAGAAATGTCAGCTTGGGCGGATGCTGTCGCTACTTACAACGATATGATATTTTCCATAATAAGGACTGCAACTTGATACTAGTACTGAAAGAAGGGTTGTAGAAATGTACGTGATGATAAAGGAGGTATTATAACTAACGTTCCAAGGGTCAGGAATTTTTCATGATATTTGCTTTGTTAAAAAGGTACTTTTTTCTTGACACTTAACCGAACGACGTTGATGTTATAATTAGAACCGAGTCAAGTGGAAGAGGATCGTTTTTCAAGTGGAAATTTTGTTTAATTTTTTTTGGTCCTAGGCATCTCCAAAACACGGGCTCGGCAACTGCATAGCAGTGCAAATTCGTCACGTTATCGTTTGCTGCGAATATAACAATGGTCCAATCGGTGTGTATATGGTTCGTGAGATTTCACGGGAAACAGGTGCACTGCAACAGCATTATCGTTTGTCATTGACATCTCTCTACGCCCCGACGACGGTCTCTCACCGTTCGCTTCCATTCTGTGACCGGTAAATTCCGTCCGGACGTCAACGTCCTCCCGTTTTCTTTATGTACCATTAATACCACCTTTTGGCTAATAGCACTTATGTGGCGATTAATGAGAACGAAAAGCATTTATTTTTACCATCATCTACTTAAACAAACCCAACCAAACATTTATACTACAAAAATGTAACCAGCAACACAACGATAATTGTAATGCGATCGTATAGTGAGTTAAAGGATTGCACAAAAACCAAACTTGCTCTAGATCGTGTCAACGAACAAACACCTTTCGAAACTCAGATTGATCTAGTTTGTCGATTTTTCCTACAAAATCTTCTCAATTATTACACCGAAATCGCAGTAACAACGCGTGTCCACTGTCAAAAGGCGCTCGATAAACTTAAGGTACGAAGAATGATCATAACAAATAAAAAAAAGTACAACTATAACAACAGCAGTACAGCTGCAAACGTATTCAATACGTTGTACCGTTGCTGATGGTATTTTTTATTATTTGATTACAATTGTTATGATTCGACGATGATGTGACGTGTCCAATTTTTGCGTACACAAACGGTAATAACACACGTACTAGTGTGAGGCTGAAGTACATTCGAGTGTCTTATTCAATCCGCGGAGACAAAATGTAAAATATTTATAACTGTACACGACGACCAGCACAAAACGATTGTTCGACAGTTGTTTTTTTTTTTCCATCTCATTTTTTCATTATTGTTATTATCATCATCATCGCACGTTAAACGGACTCTCGTTTGTTATGTTACGTTGTGTATTTATTCTCAGTTATAGTGTTATTATGTCATTACGCTCGTGACAAATGAATACGACATGGAACTTCTGTTGTTTACACTGATTGTTCTCGGATTGTGTGAGTTGGTTCGCCGTGTCTGTGAATTTAGCAGCTTCCGACAAGTTCATCGCCGCCACCGGCACTTGGGGTTATTTGTTCGCCTAAAAACCTGCCCACGCCAAGTAAAATCATTGTAATGAATTAACATGCACATGTGCCGGCAATTCACGTGTGAAACATCACAGTTCATCACTTGGAGTGTACTACTGCCGTGATGAACTGCCGCCGATTGTGTGACGCGATTACGGTTACTATGCGCGGGGGATGGTAACTACGACGAATGGTCACGTTATCCAAACGATATTCACATGTGCATGATGAGATCACACAACCGAAAAGTACCTGATCCATCTTTAAATGTAACCGGTTACGGCTAAATCGTGAATACGTCAATTTTATTAGATTTTCGACTCTTAGTTGTTTTTTAATACCACTGGGGTATATTAAAAAAAAAACATTTTTTTACGTTTCATTGTAGATCTGGTTTAAAACGTTTTTAGAAAAATCCGGTATAATCATAGAAATGTTTAAAAATGCGATAGAAAAAATCACAACTTGGCAATTATTATATATTATTGATTTCATTAATTCTTTTGTAGGCACATTAAACATTTGAAAATTACTGTCTGTAACAAATTGATAATTACTTGGATTAAGAAAGACTTTACATTGTATACACATCGAACCTTTTCAACACATTTCGTAATTAATATAAATCTTTTTTTAATGCATCTGGCCGCAAACGGAATTAATGAAACACACGTTATATGTAATCGGAGCAGTGCTTTATTTTTTATTTTTAGAATAAGGAAATTAGAATTTTGTTAAATTTGTAGAATTTCAATGGATTTAACGGTAATGTAGCCATTACAAACCGTAACATGTAAATTCACCTTACTTTTGAATAACTTTGATAATACAATTGGTCGTACTTTTTTATGACAAACAGAAAAATATATGTACTTCTTAGAATAATAAACATTATTTTAATCAATGTTTTTCGCGAACCATGTGAAATACACTTAATTACTCATTAATTATTTTGATAATCACGTAAAAGATGAAGATTATCAACAAGAAATGAATGTTATTCGTTCAACTCGCTTTATGAAGAATTTTTCGAACCAATTTGATAGTAGTAAATACTCTAACGGGAGAGATAGGATAGTAATATGATTATTTTCGATAGGCATCTCTATTACTTAGATAGCTAATTCTTTATGTAATATAATAAAACGAATGATTCATTGTCGAGGGTGAAGTAAAATGAGTATTACGTAATATTAGATATTTTTTATTTACCTAGCACATAGAGCTAAACAAATCTAGTTTTTAGCAAGAAAGTTTATTGAGGTTGTAATAAATAAGTGTAAGGATTATGATTACAATCGTTGCTGAACATTCGACCGTATCCAAAGGTCACAAGTATATTCAAATCAGTTACTAGTTGAGTAACTTCAACTATACAAGTTAAAACTGACCAATTCATCAACAGTTTGAATCAAGGGCGACTCTAAGAAACGCTTAATATTTTTTTAAAACAATATCTAAGATTAAAATCAACTAAAAAGTTATATAAGGAAAAATATTTCAACAATATTCAGATCTAAAGAGTGCATGTAGCGAATCCAAATAAATAGACAATCTTAAAAAATTAACCATCGCAAAAAATATTGTATTACACATGTAATTAGTTTTTACCTATGCGGATACCAATAAAATTTGAACTGCTGTCCACGATTTGTTATTTTTTTGACATACTCTTTAGTATTAACATATTATAATTATCTTGACAGAATGAACTCTGTTCCGTTTGTTTTGTGTACCACGCACAACAGAAATAATTTGAATGCGTCTCGCGGATAAAATATTTACTGTTACTTAGGACTTTTTTCCTCCGGAAAATCGCGTGTGCAGCTAAACTCTGACGTCTTGCACGAGCAATTCGAAGGAACTGCGTGACATGTCTCTTGAATAATAATCGTTATTAAATTACAATGCATCTCGATTATTATGCTGATTTAATGTATGAAAAAGGTGGTTTGCTCGTTAAAATTACAAGATCCTTTTAAGGCTTTCACTTAGTATGTTCTAAATTTTAGCTTCTTCCGACAATAGCCGGTAAAATTCCACTAAGTCCCGTATTTTATAACTATAATCATCACTAAATGGCATATGTTTGTCTATCAAAATATTACTTAAAGATAGATACAAACTGATATCATTGAATTATTTTTTTAATAATAATAATGATTAGTGAACTTTTAATGGCGTTAAAAATACTTTTACAAAATTTTTTTATTTGAAAACTTTTTCTCGGAACGTGAAATGTTTTTTTTGAAATTTGTCAATATCATTTTAAAATATATTCAAGATATTTTTAATATTGTATTCTTTTACTTAGTGACACAGCAGAAGTGACTAAACATTTTAATAAAATTTGGTTTATCATATGAGTTATGAATCTCAAGGTAGTCTGAACTAGGTTAGGTGGTCGAAATAATTGAGAGTATCGTAAAAAAAACAGCTGATAAAAATGTTCTGCTCAAAACCGTGAACGCGATGCTATAAAATTTTCAATTGCACTCAGAAACTGCTACAATTGAAATTCATAGAACCATAAGAACTATTATAATCTGACGCATGTACATAAAATTCAATTGTACATGTTTAAATCGTCATTGTACGTTAGAAAACCTGTTAAAAAACACATAAGTAAATAGTTTAAAACGTCCCATTTGATGATTATAAATGTTGAAAATTGTAGTGTTTCAAACGTTTCGACTCTGTGATTCATATGAACTCCCGTGAAATATTAAGTTACTTTTGAAAATTATTACGTTTTACATTGCGTGGTTAGAAAAATGTGTTCTTGGAAACTTCAAGTTTGCACGATACTGACAGAATTCACGAGGAAGACTTTTGTTTCATTCTATAATGTTATTATCTTAATGAAAGTAATTGACATTGTTGGATAGTTTTTTGGTTCGACCTCAGTTAACCTTTTGAATAATTGAATTAATGGAATAAAAACTAAGTGAATTATAATAGCGTGAGCCGTTTTAGATTGTAGTAGTAGCAGCTAAATTTACTAAATGGAGTTTAAAAAATACACTGACGATCACGTGTACAACGTCCAAGTTATACTCGATTGATCTTTGTGTCAATATTTAGGACACTGGAAATGAGTATAATAGAGTCACTCACGAGATGCTGAAGCAGTAACAAAATATTCACTTTGTTAGAGCGGTCACGTTTTTCCACCAATACGAATTTTATTAACGTGTTTGAAACACTAGAAACTGATAACGACTTATTGGCCAACATAAAAAGATACAGCAATCGGTACAATTTTGGTCACAAAAATCATCGACATCCCATCGGTATCCGTGTTATTGATAAGATGATTTTTATAGCAATTGAATATTGTCGCAAAGAGTTATTCGATGTAAACGAGCTTCGGTCACTGGCGTACACAAGAGGGGGGATTGAAAGCCCCCAAATTTTTTAAGCTAAGCGAAAATTTCGGACGATAAATAATAAGTAATAACAATAAAAAAGATCATATCATACTATAAATATTTCCACAATAAAGTAATCGAAAACAGGAATTTTTGTGAGCGAACAATATGGGCAGTGTCACATCTAATTTTCTATAAATTTCAAACCCCCCCCAAATTTAATTTCTGTGTACGCCACTGTCTCCGGGGATCATTTGGCATCGGCTGTCGATATTATGAAATGGCGAATCATAAAACAGTAGAAAACCGGAAGTGTGAGAACGTTGTGCCACACACTTTACGGGCAGACGGACTTGTGCGCACTGTTTGTTTAATTAAGCGACGCATTCAATTGCTCGCACGTGTTGCGAATAAATTAAAACAATTATTATGCTAATGGTACAAGAACGAGAAACAGTTGTAACTGTTTTATCGTCACGTTCCCATATAGACTACATAACACGGGTGCTGTGTAATATGTGCTTTCATATTACAATACCATTTGTCTTGGCATTGGCGGCGGAGGCCGCAAACGCCGTGCATACGCGTTTTTAACGAATTCATAACAGGAACCCTTTTTTAATACAAAACGGCACGCACAATACTCGACAGCGCTTACACTTAATCCAGGCGTCGTTGGGTGTCATCGTATCATGTTTATGATATAATAATATGTTATGCCGAACAACAACGGCCCGTTGTGGTTGTTGTAATTTCCATTGGAAAATGTTTAATCAAAGACGCTTTGATTCGCACCATAACAATACACGACGTTGCTTTTTTTCGAACTGCAAGTATCGTCGATGTACTCCATGACCGTTCTTTTGTCTTCTCCTACACTACTTGCGAAACGCTTAATCCAAACCGACTTGGCTTACCCACGCCGCACTCCGTGTGCTATTTAATCTACTGCTATTTTTTAGTGGCTACTGTGGGAGCCGCGATTGATTCGCTCGGTGATTTTTTAATTGTAACGACGCTCATTGTTCGGCTTACAACAAGTAATAGTAATCGCAGAGAAATATCGAACGGTATTGTCGAGTTCGAACAATACCATATTAATAATACAACGGTTTATATTTGTGTTGCATTAATCGCGATGATAAAAATAATTGCCGAAAAATGCGCGGCCATTAAAAGAGAAATATTCAAATCATCCGTGTTGTCGTTACTAACTAGGTCGGACGTCTACTTTTTCAGCAAAAACACTAATTTAGCATTTAAATTAGACAAACTTTGTTCTGTGTTTACACAAAACGTAAGGCGTGTGTTTAAGTACCTATTGTGGTAACGATCAGTGTGAAATCAACACGATTTTATGAAAAAAATTTCCAAGTACTTGTCCGTTGTTAATGCGTGACGCGCGAGGATTACATTTGATTAATAAACACAAAACGCGTTTTAAATTCAGAACAGATGAAATTACTTACACTGTTAGACCAAACGAATGCGAAAAATTGCCAATTCGTATTAATCGTGTTGCGAAACAACAAAATATCGTTAAAATAGAAATGTGTTTTATAAGAAATATAAAGTTTACACAACTGTTTGGCGATTACGCATTGCTCAGATAAAAATCACTCAACGGTCTAGTGAGAATGTTCGGTCCACAATCGAAACTTATGTTATAAAAATGGCAACACATGGTCGTCACGTCTGAAATGTTTCATCCACTGATTACAATAACATTAATTAAGTGTACCGAACTTAAATGATGCAGAATTTAATTTTTAATTCACTTATGTATATCAAGTGCGGTTACACTAATAACCAATTAATTATTCAATTTGTGTATTTTTTTTTTCCCATCATCGCTAATGATATTAATTTAATTTATATTAATTTTTAGATGCAAGTACTGTGCCAGGAATCGGTCACGACGGAAAGTGGAGTCGTAGGTAGTGGAGCAGGACCAACAGAATTGTATCCAAACAATGATGAAACAGTTGCTGCTGCTAGCGAAGAAGACGTGGGTAGAGAGAACGTTTTCGTTCTCAACGACACCAGAGATGCTCTAGCTCATGATGGGAGTGAACACAATTCTGTAAGTGTACAAAAGATCTATGATATTTATTTGATAATCATTAACGGAAATCCTAAAATATCCTTTCATTTTTTTTCACGTTTGGGTAAAATTTATCACCACAATTTGAAATGGAATATTACATAGGAAAGTTTAACCGAAAATTCGACAAACTTAGTTATATATGACGAAAAGTTAAATGCATTTTGATAATGTCACACAAAATAATATAAGAGTTCTTTTATATACGATTTAATGGATCCATAAACGCGTATTTTCCCTCTGACCAGTAGATGATTTTTTTCAATATATTTCAAATAAAGTAGTGCTTCTCATTTTTCATGCTATTGTATCGAAATCACACTGATTTGGTATTGATAATTTTCTTATCACCAATCATATACATGATTATACAAACATCATTATATATACCTTTTGAAATAGTACTCTATTCATCACTTTAAAGTGAATTGATAAGTAAAATATTGTTTAGGATAGAATACATTTTAACCTGATATTATTTAAAATCTAATCCTCTGTAGACAATTTAAGAATTAAAGATACTAATATATTTTAAATCAAATTTCTGTAACTTTTATCTCATGTTAAGACGTAGTGAGAAGAAGCAAGAAAATTTGTTTCCGCTTTCAGTGAATGTAAGATTAATTTAAACAAATATTGTTGACATTATAGGGATTTGACCAAATCCGCTTACAGTACCCTGAAGATTATTTTAGAGAACCGTTAATCGTGTTATCGTGAGAAGTAGGACGATGGGCTTCCTAATAAAAAGTATTACATAAGCCATGCGTTAAGACTGCTGAAAAATGTACTATTATTTACCTAAAATATGAACGACGGGCAAGTACATGCAATGTATTATTAAAACACAAATGGCAGGTTGTTGATCATTAAAAATACTAGTGGTGGACGATATAGCAATGTGTATTTGGAATTCTAAAATACCATTATACACGCGATTTGTGAATAACTATTTCAACTAACGTTTCCGATACGAGTGATAACAAATAAATAATTATAGTCAATCAATGCTATCCCGTTGCTGTGAGAACCTTCTAAAAGCTTTCGATTTTTTTATTCAACAATTTTTATCTGATATAATTTTTAACCTTTCTGATTTATACGTCAAAATTATTCGACGTCACTGACGGTTAATTTTCTTGTCTACATCAAGTTGTGAGATTATTCTTCACCGTTATTTAAGTTTGTTCGTTTTATTTATACCCCACTTCTTTTTAAGTTTCCGGTGAAATGAGGAAATAAATAACAATTGAAACGGTAAGTCGTTTGGCTTGAAGGTTCGCGGATCGATAACCGTCTTTTATAAGTATACCTCACAAAAAAATTTGCATAATAATAATATTTTAATCTAAAATCGGTATGATGGACTGGTACCAAGTTCTGTATCGGAAGTTTGTTTTGGAAAAATTCTTATTATACCTTTTATGACGTTTCTCGGATCGAATAACATGACAATATGATTTTTATAAACAAAATTTTATACTTGAACGCTTATTTTGGTTTAAAATACCATAATTCTTAACTCCCATTCGAAATTAAAATCAATCGAAATCGCATATATCAAGACAAACGTCTTCCATTAAAATATCTCGTATAACTTATCCAGTGGTGACAATCGCCTCTGTGTTGTGTGATTCGTATTGTATCATATAAAAAATGAGCGCCTTCGTACCTTTTATCGTCGTCCATCACTCTTATTAATAATATTGTCATCGCAGTCCGTTTAAGATACTACTCATATTCGTTTTGAATAATGCATGTTTATTTTCACGTTGAAAGGCTCACGTTCGTGTAGTCATTTTTCTTTTTGTTATTTACTGCTGCTATTAATGGAGTATGCATGTACCCGTTTGTATAGCATTGGCAATATATACAATAACACCATATAGTTCTTGTAAAAAATATTTTCTTAGTGTCATATTATTATACAACGTTATTATAATGGTAAACGAAAATCATCGATGAATCCATTCGAGTCCACGACACGTATCCAACTATTTAACTTGTGTTGAATTCAATATCATTAGTTTAAATATAAAATCATTACATATTACAACACTGATGCTACTTTTCTATTAATTAAAATCATTGATTAGATTGACAATCTATTGCATAACGAATAATGTAAGCCAGGATTATTTTTAAAGAGAGCGTTTCATCCCTCTTCAGTATATATATATATATATAATGTATATTATGTTTGTAATATTAGACACATATTTTTTTTACTATTGATTCCTGGTATGTAGATTATTTTTTATGTGATTATGGAAGCAGTTAATATTAAAAATAATAATTCCCAATAATACGATGCCGTTAAGTAAATAACTCAACAATATATCCGTCATTTCTATGTATTTTGACGGTGTTTTTAAAGAAAAAAATTTGTTGTCGATGGAAAAATATTACTTTTTGCAAAAGTTTAAACACTTCTGTTTAACTACACCCAAAATATGTATCTACCATTGGCATATTATAACGTCCGGTATTGAATTTGTTTGCACGGCGGAATGCAAAGGGCGCAGACAAACGGTTACGTTGTTAATCCCTAGGTAATATATCCAAAGACAAGTTGTTTCATAGAGCCGAGAATTATGACAATTTCGGATGGGCATCATTCGTTCATAATCTTGCAGTTGATAACAATAGATATGTGCACGGAAAATCCTGTGGGGGGTTTATGAAGCTTATAAAGCCGACAGTCACTATTTTTTTTTTCCACTAAACGTTTTCTCCCCTTTCAACACACTATTAGCAAAAAATTATTTGCGGAAATGTAAACAAACACACTAATACGCGATCTATTTGTCACGGTCGAGTGAGAATAATCTTGTGGGTTTTTGCCTTGACGCTAAGGAAGGAGGGTAAAATTAGAGCACTTTTTTTTTAAATATATTTCACTTATTTGACACACTTAACGTTACAGTTATGCTCCGATCTCTTATACAGATCTATAACCTTGATAAACGTCAATTCGTTAACCACCTTGTAAATAAGAAGAGTTTCAGAGATTTTAATGTAATATACGTGATCGAATGGTGGTCAGTTTACGTGACTACAATATTATTGTATTAATTTTGTTATTACAGTACCAAATTCGTAAAAACTTGTCCATTTCCGGTTAGAATGAAATGTCTTTTTCCGACCAAATAGAGCGGCATACGGTCAAAATAAATATTTATAAAAAAACATTATCTATTAAATAGTACGAAAAACTTATTTTATTCAACTTTTGCCACGATTAAAAAATAACCGTGCATCGTGTTTAAAACACGTAGTTTTTTTGTTCTTACGTTTTCAGAGGTAAACATTAATAAGGATATTAACTCAACAACCCTTAAACAATGTAATCTCCCCGATTTATTATGTTGCAATGATGCTGACTATCATTTTACATCTACTAATCGACGGGGTGCGGAGATTAAAGAGTATAAAATTGCACATACTAAATTAAACTATAATTTATAAGATGATCTCATAAGTTAATAGATGAGTGAATAACGACTCTAAAAGGCTAAATTATGTCATTAAAGTAACCTTGGCGAACAGAAGACGAACAATAACAATAATGCTTTTACGACTGAGGTGAATCTTTTATGATAATATGTAGTTATATAAAAATAGACGTCAACGCAATTAACAAATAATAGCGATTAATAGAATAAAATAACTTTTATGATGTTCTTAGTTTACAACTTCAACGAATTAAAAAAATATCGACAATTTTTCAATCCTATGATATCGAGAAAAAATTTCAGGAGTGCAAAGGTGTGTACATAAATAAATAATCACAGTAGTTCTAATTAGCGGATCGGTGTCATTCTCCTTTTTTCCTGGTCCTACTTTAATCTCACGTTCAAAATCACTATGGGCCGATAATGCGAATCCCAAATCTTAACGGGGGTAACGTCCGAATGCTTTATCAATTATTACACTAATTTATTTTTTCCGGTGTTTTTTTTTTTTTTTATAGGTATTGTTTGTCGGTGACAGTTACGTACCAGTAACCACTCAGCTTCGGTCTAGGCCCATATCACCAGCTGATTCCACGGCGCTCGATTGGAGATTGCAAACTGTGGAAAGTTGGGATGGCCGGCGCCAAGGCAACAACAAGACCAGAGTGCAACGTTAGTTGAATTTTTTTTTTTTTTTTTTTTTTAACAAATTCCATCATATTTTCATGATAACGAAGAGAGAACATAAAAACATTGACTAAATATTAGTAATCTTTAATTAAATACAAATAAAACGCGTTCTATTAAATCTGTTGAATATGAAACTTTGAAGATTATCTACTATTAAAAAAAACATGTATAAAATTTCCCAGATCGATGTAATAATAGAATAGTATTTTCCCTTTTAATCTCTCTCATAATAGTTAATAAATATAGAAAAATAGTCCTTGATTATAAAAAGAGGTCATTGTGATAAAAACTTGGATTAAAAAAAATGTTGGACAACCTCGGTAACATTGAAATGGATTCAGTATAGGAGAATATTGTGTACGAAAGCATCGGACCGTTACAGATGATTATAATTATGACCATCGACACATCCCGTCGTTTATGCACATAATATAGAGGTGTTACTTTCGCCTTAATTTTTCTTTTATATTTGAAGTATTTAAGTTGCTTGTTATTTGCTTAATACTTACTACAAATACTGAATAATATAAAAAAAAAGAAATGTTTTATTTTTTTTTCTTTAAATGAATACTTGTCAATAATCTAGTTTGTCAGAAGCGTTATAGAGGAAAATATTTGTCATGTTTTGAAAAATTTTAACTAAAAATATATGAAAAAAAAACAGAATTCTCTTTTGACTCTCATACTATTGTGCTGTTGCTCTACTTTACTTAAAATCATTACTCATTAATCCATTAGATCCGAGTAACTTTTTACAAGTTTCAGTTATTATCGAGCGAAGTATTCATAGCAAATTTTATTTATTAATATTTTATGGAAATAGTTTTTGAAAAAGTTTGCCATAAGATATTCCTTTATAATGAAGCAAAAATTCGAAAAGTATAGATTCTTTTTGGGTTTACGATTTGCAAGCTAAGCAACAAAGTCTTTAGATGTTGACGACACGAAGATGTATTATTTAAATTTGAACGGAAATTATAAATGGTTAAATGATTTTATGCAATACGTTCTGGTCGACAATAGATCGTGAAAAATGATGTGATAACTTTGTACGATTTTAACAACTATAAAAGTGCACAATATTCGATGAGTAATAATCGTTCACGTGAAGACAACAGAATATTGGCGTCGTTCATTAGACAGCAGCATTACGTGCGTTTTTAATTTACTCTTCTATTGTGTATCGAGGGTATTTAAAAACAATATTTAACCAGATTTTGACGACGGTGTCGATTTGAAAATTCAGCGCAGGCAGACTAACCGTGAAATTCATACACGTTTTTAATAACGGCTATTGAAAAAACTAATGGACCATAAAGTATTATTTTTCGTTAAGTCTCCCACGGGGTCCACAACCGCAGGTTTTATACACTGCCCGATATAGACCGGGTTACCCGCTGTCCTCAGAAAACAGGTTGCATACTATTATAATAGCATTTAAAAACGACCGTTGGGGGGGGGTATACGATTTTGACTTTGATGGCTATGACGATAACTAATGAGTTTTCAAACCGTACCAGTCACTACAAAGTTAAGTAATATTAATCACAATGAAAACTACTATAACGGTGAAGACCAACAGTGGCAATGGAGTTGGATACTATCCGACAGCTCCGCTGAATAATTGAGTTATAATTGTTGACATGACGGACGTCTTCTTTTGACTATCGTTACAGTTAGAATTTGAAGTTTTTTGAGGTTTCCTCGCTGATATCGAGATGTTCTCTTTATACTGTTCTACAAACAAACATTTAACATTTTTTTGAATCGGTTCACTATACAGGTCCACATACTCGTTGGCATTCAAAACGCAATAATTTGTTCGACCGTTAATAATTTTTTCATCTAAACACAAAAAAACATAAACGTACAATATAATAGTTATAATAATCGAGTGTTTAGATGGTTCGCGAACGTCCGAAGTTAAATTTTATATAAAACGCACTTACCCAACGTTTATAATAGGTATCCATGCAGACTATTATTGCGAATAACGAGCCCTCTTGATACGTGCCTCGATTCACTCATGCCATTCATCCACTCTAAATATATTAAAAAATAAATTGTTAAAGTGTTCAATTTCAAAAAGCAAAACTATTAACCCTACTTAATTTAGATCAATATACCAATGGAAACTGGAATGAGGAATAAGTTGCTATTGCACTATTATGTTACTTGTGTATTACAAAAAATTTCATTAATTACTATCAATCGATCTCTCGTTCTTTAGTTGACAACGTTTTTCTTAAATAAGTACTCGGAATAAATAACACGTAAAAAAAAACATTGCACAATATCACTGTTATCTCCAGTCATTGAACTAAATAATACAATGATAAGTACAATAGAACCATAATTGATGTAAATCGGCCGGCAAAGATTATTTCACTTTAAGATGGTAATTTATCTCATCTAGTATGATCGCTTCAAAGTACCGGACGCCCTCTCTAACAAAAGCCACTTAATAACTGTTGTTAATACCAAATGCGAATAGCTAATATCATGGAATATTCAAGTAAATTAACCCACCTGTAGGATAACTCAATTATCATGAAATTGTTTTTTATTCTTTTGAGTTCGCCATCAATCAGATTTTTTGCGGAAATCTAATCTTTGTCATTATAATAACTTTCTGTGACAGGGTAACGAATAATTTACTTAAATTACGTTTGATATTGACTTTGTAACATCAGCGTGAATTGATTCAGATTTTAGTTAAGCCGTAAAATTAAAATTCAGTTACTTTATCAAAGAAAATACAATTTGCAATTATTAAATTTAAATCCTTTGATATAAACTTTCTAAAAAAACAATTGTGTTTATTCTCCTCTATTTTTTTTAACGAAAACAAAAGTAGTCTTATAAGTTATTTTGTTTTATTGATGTATATATATATATATATATATATATATAAATATATTCCTATTAACACAGAAAAAAATGAATGCATCACCACTTGAAAATGGTTGTACATTTTTCATTTGATAATGAGTCATTAAATAAGTAGGTTATAAGAACGCCTAAAAATGGCAAATTCGACAATCGGTTGTGTGTATATTATATAAGGGTGGACTGAAACAAGTGAGTAATGAACTAAAATAATTTCCCGGGAGAACTCGCTAAACAAAATATATTAAATGAAACGCGCGGTGTTTTCATTTCGAAATAAGTTTGAAAAATATTACTAAACTTACAACAAAACATTGTCGAATTAAGGTCGTCATTAAATTTGATGGACTAATACATTTTTAAACGATTTCTAGATTGAGTAAGAAGGGTAAATTATCATTTTAAAACTAAATTATGCATTTGTCAAGTATAAAGAAAGGCATTAATAAAATTTTTAGGTACTTTTAGGTAATTTGTTGATTTCAACGAGTAATACTACTAAAAATAAAATTCTTATTTAAAAATGCTCTTAATTTTATACCATATACTATTTTTTTTTTTTTTATCAATGTTTGTTTACTTTACAAATTTTATGGTCATTACAGATATTGAAGCAGAATGTCAAGACGACTATATGAAAATTCGAATTGGTTTCAACGGTTCCTTTGGGGGTTTGCTGTATTCTTCAGGCTATTCCTATGATCCAGATTGTGTTTACATAAATGGAACTGGCAGGGATTACTACGAGTTCTACATTCAGCTCAACAGATGTGGTACTTTGGGAAAGAACTCAAGACAAGAAGACGCACGGAAAAACCCAGCGGTAAGTTGAATACTAAGGTTATTTATTTTATTTCGAAAATCATTAAGTAGTTAAAAATGAAGTGGAGTTTACATTTATTTATGAAAGATATCAGTATGTGAATAACTTGTTTTCTGTCACGTTGCTGTTTTATTTCATTGCATTTCCCTTTAATATATGACCGGAAAACGATTTTTTTCGTCCCCATTATTCGACATTCTTTAATTTGTGTAACAAAAAAACCACAACAATTTATATCAACTTCTTAATAAACAAGACTTCTACTTAACTATGAATTCAACTGTTGTAAATTAGTCAACCCATTGATCGGTGTAGCGTTACCGAATAGCATTGATTGAAGTCAAGTCTAGTATGAGACGAGCCAAAAAGCGACAAATCACACATCAATCCATTCAAATTGTACTAGTTTCTTCTTTATAATAGACAATATAGTTTCGAAACATTTTCTTACTCACATTGCAACAGAACCATTTCTCATTTATTCTATTTATTTCTTCTTTGTTTTTCATTTCTAGTAGTTTAACAAGTTCGGATAAATTGTCTTAAGAGTAGCAAAATATATTTCACATGATTGAATATTAGTTATTTATAATAATAATGATATTAATATATAACTTATGATCAATGCCTCGAAAAACTAGTATCCAGTATGTGCAAAGTACACGAACTCAGGTGTACACACATTGGGAGGAGGCCTATTATTTTGAAAATTATGATGAATGAGTAGTAGCACACGGGCCCTCAGCTTAGTAGTTTGCACACTGACGACGGTCATATTACTCTTAATATAGTATCGATGATTAAGAATAGATATTATATGTTAAAATAAGCAACATTTAAAAACACTACTGACGATATCCGTTTCAAATTTTTAATGTTTACCACTTGAGTAAGAGTTGTACCATACACTGTTAAATCTGTATATAATAGTACTAATTAAAAATAGCTAATATTAGCTCTTAGCTGATAATATTAAGCATATATATCAATAAATGCCCTACTCATGTATCAATTGATTTTTTAGAAAAATCTTATGTGGAACACCGTTACTGTTCAGTATAATCCTATGATAGAAGAAGAATGGGATGAGCACTTCAAAGTAACTTGCGAGTACGGTTACGATTTCTGGAAAACGGTGACTTTCCCATTCTTAGATGTCGAGTGAGTGCTATTTATATAAATTCTAGTGTATCAAATATTTATGTACTTAATCTTTTTTATTATTTAAATAGGGTGGCCACAGGCAATCCGGTAGTGTTCACGTTATCACCACCAGAATGTTACATGGAGATCCGGTATGGATATGGAACAACCGGTAATCGAGTAGGAGGACCCGTTCGAGTTGGAGATCCGTTAACGTTAATCATCTACATGAGAAGCAAATATGGTAAGTTAAAAAAAAATTGCTACATATCCTTTTTATTACAACGTACAGGAACTACGCAACGTCTAATTTCGCACGAAAGTCAACATTTTGCCTGACTCATTGCGCCTTGCCAATCATACTGTTTGCACATTTTAACTATCAATTGTTATATTTCTAGATGGTTTTGATATCGTAGTCAATGATTGTTACGCCCACAACGGAGCGCAGAAAAAGATTCAACTCATCGATCAATACGGGTGAATAGTGCTAAAAATTAGCTATTTATATTCTAGACTTTTTTGCGAAAACAATTTGTTTTGATACCCAATTTCCTATTTGTATTTAGATGTCCTGTTGACGACAAGCTTATCAGCCGTTTCAGGGGCTCGTGGAGCGAGAGTCAAGTATTTGAGACACAAGTATTTGCTTACATGAAAACGTTCAGATTCACCGGATCGCCAGCTTTGTATATAGAATGTGACGTCCGCATGTGCCACGGTAGATGTCCGGTTAGTAATTAAGAGATAAAATGGAACGTGTTTGGTGAAAAAATAATTATATAACTATAAACTTTAATAATTGCAGAGTCAACCTTGTCATTGGAGAAATGCCAAAAGTGTTTCAAAACGATCTACAGACATGGAGGTTGCGACAACCCCTGCAGCTCTATCGCAAAATATCAACTTATTTCAATCACTGCGAGTACTCCAAGAAGGAGAAAACTCTGAAGACGCTGCTGCTTTGAGTAATAGTGAGTATTTAGGATATAAACAGTGATACCCAAGTTATCGTTTATTACTTGATTGATTTAACTGTGTACTTTGTCTTTCAGAAACCTCAGGTTATTACACTGATAATAGCCAAAACTCAGTGTGTGTTCGATCTGGACTATTGGCTGGTCTATTAGCTCTTGCTTCAACAATCTTGTGCTTCCTAAGCTTAGCATTGACCATCATGTGTTACCGCGCAAAAAGGCTGGTTAAGAGCATAGACGACTCAACGTCTCATCACGTTATTACCAGTGCACCGACCAGATGCTTTTTAACGCATAAAGGACGAATTAATTAAAGACATTCCTAGCCCAGAGCCTTTTGCTTCTCAGAGAAGACAATTCAACGTACAGGGGACAGTTCTAATTAAAAAACAGACATAATTAAAATAAGAAGGCTCGACTTTAATCTGATTCTAGTTTTTCCTATTCCGACTTATGTGTAGATAATACGGCTTAGTCTCCATTGAAATATTATTTATAATAATATATTTTGTAAAAAAGACAACTGTTGATTAGCAGTTGAATTTTCCGATCGTGGATTGCGCACAAACAGAATGATTGACATTCACTGCCATTTAATAAAATGTAAAAGTAATGAAATGTGTAAATATAATTACCTAATTAATAGTGAAGTATTTTCTCTTCGGCGTAATCTTAAGGATATATTTTTTGCGACCCTAATCGTCCTTATTATTTTATGTCACTCGATCTGCATGTGTGCTATCCTACGCTTAGTTTGTCTAAATTGTGCGAGTCGCAGTTTACTCTTACAGTATGATTATATAGTACATTTTATCAGCGTCCATTACACTAATCGTGTAATTCATTTATCAATAATCTGTGACCTTTAAAAAATATTTTCATGTCTGTACAACGGTCACTGTAGATTATAATCATTTTTTTAAAATCAGGCCATATGGTTATAAGTTTATTGATTATTTTTTGACCAAAGTGATATAGAATAATTAAAAAAATATATATATATTCAAAACAGATCTGACGACCATATTACGGTAGTGTTGTGTGTTAAATTAATCTTATTTGTGTTTTTTACTGAACTATCTATAAAAATATTAATATATAATACGACAAATTATGGACAGATTTTCCTTCAATCGATTCATATACACGTCGTAAAGTATTTCAATTGTATGTGTTGATTTTTTTTTCGATCGACCTTTGTACAGTTAAGTGAAATCACTAGTCCGGAAGTTACAATAAAAAAACGGGCTTGAATATTCAATGTATTTCTACAGGTTTATCAGTATTCTGTAAGTGACAGCAGCATAGGTGAACGAAGTCGTAAAAAGTTTACAAAAATACATTATATTTTGGCGCTTTTTCAAAAGGAAATTATTTTTTTTGTTATCGATAACATTGAAATATACTCGATGAAGAAATACACACACACAATCTGTATACGGTCGTCTGTATTCTCTCAATTGCAGTCATTCAAATGATTACCCATTGAACTCTTTTCATATTTAGGTTTTAAATTAATTATTTTTTCCAACGAATAACTCGCACTATTTTTGTAAATAATTCATCATCAGTCCTTTTTTAGCTTCGAAGCGTAGCTAAAAAGGTATTGACTTTATTTAATAATAATAATAATAATACTGTCCATAGTGTTATAAATATTATTGCTCAATTACAAAGGAAAGCGAGTCACTTGTGCAGCTTACAGTATAATGACAATCACTTATAGATATCTTAACTAAAGTGTAATCTAATTTTAATTGCACATCCGAGATTGCATTGCGATCCTCGGCGTTCATATCAAAGGAAATTATTTATATGTACATTATTGATCATAATAATAGACAACGGCTGTTACTTTAATACTATTAAAATTATTATTATTATTATTATTATTATTATAACTACTATTATAATGTTTAATTATTAATATTACAAAATATTTTTAAACTTATTACTAATATTATATTATATATATAAAAATATTGTAAATTGATACGTTCTGAACATTTGCCTTTATCAGGCCATCGATGTTTGAAGGACGTGCCAGTTAGAACAACTCCTATCTAACGAGTGAGTTTTGTATTCATCAGTAAAAAGTTGTTTGACCGGAAACAGACTTGTTGTCCGGAAGCCGAAACATAAAAATGCCGAGCAAACAAATTTTCACAACCAACTTCAATAGGAATAAGAATGCACAATTTTTAAAATACATTCTTTATATAGGGGTTGTTTTAACAAAAATAAATGCATATATTTGTTAAGTTCACCGATCCCCAATTGTATATTTTTAAATTATTATTTAAAATTCAAATAAAATTGTTAAAATAAGCGATAATTTACTTGAAAATAAATATTCTTTAAAATAAATTAATTTATTAAATATTGAATTCTATTTCATATTAGATTAGTACATTAGGTATATCTTATGTATTAAACTATAGTTTCATACTCTAATTCTGTGTAATAAAATCATTAAACTATACCCATTATTGTATACGTACAATTATTTATGTTTTAAGTAATATACATTGAAAAATAATGATGGCAAACGCGTGTTTTTATTTGGTATATAAAAGATATGTACAATTCGAATAGCTACTCACGTGAGGTTTGTAAATTATCTAAGTACGATAACCTATTGAATTGAATTTTAGGTTCATGAGAAAGTTTTTTCTAATAAAGTCATTCAGTAATAAAAATAAAAAATACAAATGTAAAAATGTGTTTATATTTATATTTTACATTATTATTATTTTTTAATTAAATAATACTAAAAAATAACAAAAATTGTAGAAACAATAATCGCTATTGTTCAATTGGAAAATGAGACAATAACTAAAAAATGTAAGATATTGAAAATAAAATAATGACAAACAAGAGAATAAGTACACGCTGTAAATTTTACATTAAGAGACAAAAAAAATAATGGAAATTTGAAAAGAGAAAATTTAAATCCAAAGAAATTTACTTGGGTGGACTCCCTCTTATTCGACTTGTAATGGAAATAATTCTCTCGGCCTCCCGAATCCCAGAGGCACGCGCACCGTGAGTCGTGCCATAATGGATAGGGTCTGTCGCTTCGCCGGCAAAAAAGAGCACCGGAGGGATTGCCTGGCGCATTTCGTTAGGTTCTGGCTTAGAGAGCACAAGGAAATCTCTAGACGTCGTGCTTAGACCATAAAAACTGTAAGCGCCACAAAAGTACGGGTCCAGCGACCAGGTAGACCGTACTATATGGCAAGGTTCAGATATAGTGGGGTCTCCCAAAAACCGTCGAAATGCTGAAGTTATGTGGCTCGATATGTCGGCGTCAGTCGCGGTTTCCAAGTATGCGGCTTCCGTGCCAGCAATGTCAAACTCGAGCACGTTAGCACTGCCGGGCAATTCACGGAACCGACCAATACGTGTAACCCATCCACTTATATGATCATTGTGAGCCAACTCATCGGGTGACCACGATAATAACATCTCGCCCTCGGTCGGCATCCAAAAAGGATCAGTGTATTCCAAAAAATATCTGTCCCTGTGCCCATACCCTATAGACGCAATAGCTTTGACCTTGCGTTCAGGCAGTTTGGGAACGAACAAATTGTCGATATTGCACTTGAGTACCCCTAGGGGCAAGGCGACAATCACGTAATCCGCATCTACTATCTGTCCATCACACAACAATACCGACGCACGGCTATCGGCGGTGGTGTCGCCCCAGATTATTCGTTCTACTGGTTTGCAGTACGTGATACAGCCGGGCGGTATGTCACGCAAAACAGATGCCAAGACTTTCACGTGACCCGATGGAACTCTCTGATCGATTTCTGGAGGTATTATTGGACGTTGGCCATAATTTCTTGCGCTCACCAGCTTCAAGTTGGCCCCCACTTCATTTCGTAACTCATTTAACATTGTGCCCATGATTCGAGCACAATCGGCCTGATAAGCTTGTGGGTAGTCTTTTATGGTAGCACTAATGTGTTTATGCATGTAATCGTACAATGAAATATTTTCTTCTAAATCGGAACAGTTTTTAGCGAGATCGTATGCTTGTTTTTTTATTTCGTCAAAACTAAAATCAAAAATTTGATAACAATATACATTCATGTTCAATTGAGGGATCTCAAATTTTTGTATTTTTAATAAAGACAAGTTATCTACTGACTAAAATTGAAGTATCGACTTTAACTAGAAATTCTATTTCCTACCGACTGAGAGCTTCGTAAGAGATTATTTTGTCGACAGTGCGTCCTTCAGATGTCAAATGCCAGCAGTAAATATTGTTGTATGTTTGTGCGGGCTCGTCAAGTAAACCCTCCATAGCTGCCAATACAAATGTTTGATTGATGACAGATCCACCATTTATCACCTCGGATCCCAACTCAGCTACTGTATCACCTACGTAACATGTTTTAATTCTACCGCCAGCCATATCACCCGCTTCGTATAATGAAAACTTTGTAAATCCACAATGAGCCAATCGTTGAGCTGCTGATAAACCGGCTATACCACCACCAATTATTACTACTTTCGGTTCCGGCACGTCCTTAGGTAACATATACAAGTCTAAGTTACATTTTGATGTATTTTCAACTGTAGGATTGAGTACTTTTTCTATATACTTTTGATCGATGTTTAATTTTTTCGGTCCGACAGGGTTTTTATTGTTTTTCATAAAACGTTTACCTACGTTTTGACTCACTAATAATTTACATAAATTCAGTGATCGGTACATTTTAAAAACACAATTAAATTTAATATAGTACGAGTGCAATTTCAGAAAAATCATATACTACACCATTAATCGTGTATATAAATAAAGGTTGATATGCAAATTCGAAATATGTATAGTTGCCAGAAAATTTGTCAATTACAGTTTTTCTTCATGCCAACAAATTGTTGTTTAATCAAATTTTTATACTAACAAGTAAGTGATATAACAGGTAGATAATAACATGTATTTTTAGACTCTTTTTAGAGATTTAACTGTAGACGAAATATAAATAATTGTAATTGATGTTATCGACCTGTCAAACTGTGAAAATTATATGTGATTGCTATGTACAAAGTTACTTCTATTAAGTTACTAAGTACCCTTTATAATTTAAATTCAATTTCTAATTCTAAATTTTCACAAGTAATTTTTACTTCATCTTATACTGTCGTAATGTCGTCTTCTACATTTCATAAAAAAAACATTTCAAAATGAGATAAAAAAAAAAAAGAAGAGAATAAAAACTGTGAAATATAACTATGCGCTAAGGACAAAAAGTTACACGAGGCTGTGATGTTTAATAGAGTACTGGAAGGGATCAAAAGAAATTGAAATCGGGTCGCTCAAAATTAACCCTCTTTGTCACCAAACACATCTACCCTTCTTCGCATGCGTTATGTTTCTAATAAAATACTCACAAAGGAAAGCTGATCGAATAAGCCCACCGTGGCGGAATTCCCACAACACAAATGACGATCAAACGAAAATGTTTGAGCACCTTTTCTTTAAGAATTCAGTAAAAGCCAAAGACGTGCGCTTTCGGGCATATAATAGAAAGTGGTATAAGTTATACCTTTTAGAAATTACAGATACTGAGAATCAAGAAACGCCTTATATTATTGATCACATCAAAGCATATGCAACATGATCAAACAACCATAAAGAAAAAGTTATTTGAAATTTTTTATTACATAAAAGTTTAGATGCATAATCAAAACTGAAATATTATACCCAGGATACATTTTTTAGGAAAAGACTTATATTAATATAAGCAAAGTAATATATAAACATCTTTATTTTATATATATATATATATATATATATATGTGGACTGCTCACTTTGCGAGTTGTTTTTGCGACATAGTTTACCAGACAATACTTTTGAATGCTTATTAAAAAATAATGTAAAATGAAAAAAGATAAAAGATAAAAAATTAAGAAATAAAGATAACTATTATAGAAAAATATAAAAATGGTAATTATCATTTATAAATATAAATGAAATGTTAACAATTGCAGATTTTTTTATATAAGTTATAATTTTAAAATTCCTATAACTTAAACAGGATACACTTAACTATTTAACAAAGAGATGTTTACTAAAAGTTAATATTTAAAATTAAAGTCAACTATATGATAGTAAATTTATTTTTTAAAAATAAAACTTCTTGTTTATTTGTTTGTTTACCTTTTTTCTATAAAATTAATTAATATATGAATAAAAAAAACTAGTACAAAAACCAAATAAATAACTAAAAAACCCTTTTTTTTAAGTTTAATCCCAGTACTTATTTTTGTTGAAAATAAAAATTTTTATTCCGGTCCAAGATCTAAATAATAAAAATATTTTACCTTAAGATCGAACTTCTCAGACCCTGTTCCAGTCTCCGATAAGTTTTAAAATGTCTTTACTTTAAAATATTTTAACGAGGAATTCACTACAATAATATCAAAACAATGAAGAAACTAAGAACGTAAAAAAGAGAGAAAAAATGAGTTACCTAATTCAATTTATACATTAATAAACATTAAATTATTTATATCACTACCATAAAAAATTTTTTTATCATTTTATATTATAAGAAAATAATTACAATCAAAGGTGCTCATTGATAAAAATTTAAGTCTGAAATATTTCAAAAAAAACATTTCATTTTGTCAATATTTTATTAATGAAATATTTATGAAATATTTTTTATTTATGAAATATTTTATCAATTAACGTATTAACAATATGGACGTGACATATTAGGGATTTGGTTATTAATTCGATTTAAAGTGTTTTATATAATTTGAAAAAACGACTTCACAGTTTAAAATAATCTAAAAAATGATTTTGATATANTTAAAATAATCTAAAAAATGATTTTCATGGTATAAATCATTTCTAAGCATTGTGTACTTAAACTTCATTATAAATAATTTAGAAATATTTAATAATTAATTTTTAATTATTTCAAATATACGAGGAATTACACGCTGGAAGAAAATAATGACAGAACAAAACGATAATCTATTGAACAAATTTAAAGATAGCAGTGTTTATAGGAAATTTTGGAATTGCTATTTATAGTAAATTTATCAGAAAATCTCAATATTTTTTTGCATTTTTATCAAAATAGATAACTTAAATAGAAATAATAGTAATCATTTCCTAATAACTTTTGGTGTTTAAAAAGATTCTACAATTGAAATATGAACTGAATTTATTTTAATGATTTACTTTAACTAAAGTAACTAATCAAAACAAAGTTGTTAAAAAGATTTACTCAATTGAGCGTATTATAAAATTTGATTGTAATTGAAAAAATCCATTGTTAATTTAGGAGAAAATAACAATAATTTTTTTTAGAAATGATTTATATAGCAACATATTACAAAAAAATTTTGGAATATTATAGTCTAGTATAGCACAAACAAATAAAGTAAAAAAATTACTAAATTACAATGTAATTTAACAATTACTATTATATCTAATTTGATTCGTCAATAAATACTTTGAAAACATTAGAAATGAATGATTTTAATTGTCTGTATAGAGAACGTGGGATAAGTAACTGAAAATAACAATAATTTTTTTTAGAAATGATTTATATAGCAACATATTACCAAAAAATTTTGGAATATGATAGTCTAGTAGTAGTACACACAAATAGAGTAAAAAATTATTAAGTTACAAAGAAAAATGATTTTAATTGTATGTATGGAGAACATGGTATAAGTAACTGTTTAATTGATAAATTAGAATTTTTGAGGGTAATATCGTCAACTACATACGAATTGTAATCATTTGACATATCGTTGAAAAAAGTAGGTTAATTTAAAACAGAAAAAATAAATGATAGTCACAAAAAAATATCTTTTTAACTTTGCATCGAAGTTAAAACCTAAAATATAAGAAAATAGTTTTAATATGAATAAGAAATTTCTTCTTGAAATTTTATAAAAATCAAATGAGTTGAAAATTTATTCTAACTAAAAAAGAATTAAGAAAAAAAAGGTAAAAATCACTTGCCATACACAGGTTGGAACCTGTACCCCAAGAACGTAAGACACAAGTGTTACCGACTCGGTTAACCGTAAGTCGCATCCAACGGCTAAAAAAAATAGCAATTTAAGCTAGTTCAAATTTTAAAGTTATTTTTTTCGAATTAAAAAAAGCAATAAAATTTAAATAAGTTTAACTTTATATGCTATATCAATTTTATTTATATAATATTTATGAAAATCAGTGTACTCCTCTTGTCAGGTATTTTAAAATAAAATACAAAACCTAAAATTTTAACACAATTATAGCATATTTTTGCACACAGTAGTCATTTTCATTATGAAGACAAGTCCAAAGGTCAATTTTTTTTTTCAAAATAAATTATATTATATAAGCTTTAATTTATGGTATATATATAAAAGTGTCAGTATTTCCGGAACATTTTCAAAAGTTAAGTTGAAAATGTTCAACTTTCTATACGCATTTTTAAAGGTTTGAACCCCCCCCCCCAGTATAAAGGGAAATCGACCGATTTAAAAAAAAAATATGTCGAATAAAAGAGGTATATATAAAATATTTATCATTAAATCGGTCCAGCGAGAGCTGAGATTGAGCGTTCACAAACACAAAATAAATAAATAAAAAACACATCATAATAAAATTAATACCTTCTCAGCTTCGCATCGAAGCTAAAATGTTCAGTAGTAATATATAAAACTATTACCTAATTTTCAACATATATTTTTTTAAAATCCTACTATGAACCAAATTATTAGCTGAGATTAACTTATATAATGTACTTATGTAAAAATACATTTTCTTATTTGTAAGTAAGTTAAACACGTATGTTTCCGTTACAAAAAAAATTTTGCTCAAACAATAGATTTACAATTATATACGTGTTAACATACATGATATTATTGAAATGAAACAGCCAAGCTATCTAGTCTTCATCTAAACATTCGAATGTTGTTTAAATGATTTCACAGGGTTAATTCCAGATTAATTCCAATGTTAATTCCGGACACAGGTATAACCATAGGAATAAAAACAATTTATAGAAACACTGATTGAAGAAAGAGGTACTGCTTAACTTCAAACTTGGTCAATAACTGCATTATTGAAAGGTAATCCGCTAGGTAAGGTATCTGAAACGTAATGGTATCGAGAATCGTTTCTCACTAAATTAGAAATGTAACAAATTTAGATTTATTTGCACAAGATTCAAACGCGTATCATTCGTTTGCAAGACCTGCAGCTATGACAAATTCATAACACAGCCATATAAAGTAGTTTTATGAATAATTATAAATCATAATAAAAATTGCTCATGCATTAATTTGTTATAGGTTAAAAGGACGTAGATTTTTTTTACCTCTGTTCATTGTTGAAAAGAAAAACAATTTTTGAATGTTTCTTTATTGTCTAAAACTCCTCTATACCTTAGTTAATCATTGGATTTTCATAAAATAAATCTATAATGTTACCAATAAATATTTTACCACGATTCTTGCTATTTTAAAAAGTTGCAGTTGAATTTAATTATTATTGAGTTCTATTTTTACGAACATTTGGAATAATAGATAACAACAAAATAATGATTTCCATTACATTTTATCAAAATTCGCATAATTATAGTCACGATGATATTTTATTGGTCCGTTATGTCTTGTGTTTATACAAATATAAACTATTTTTGTCGATATAAATACGTAATGTCTAAGTTAAAAAAATAGTCTAATAAAAAGCATCG